CAATGGCGCAATGGCGCGCTCTATATTGAACACTGCACATACGAAAATACAATGTAATTGTAGGTACATCTTAATGAATTATAATTATACTATACATGATGAAGCAAAGAAGAATTTCAATTTATATTACACTCCATATCAATTTCTAGTTTATTATCTTTAAAAGAAATTGAGGACGGTTGTGTATGGGAAGAAGTTCAAAACAACCAAAAATAACTTTAAAACTCTGAAAAAAAAAATCTTAAAATTTCTAACTATAAAATGGAATTTCAGACAGTCCTCAGTAAAATACCATTGTCGCACAGATTTGACGGGGTTTATGATAAAAACACAGCAAGCGGAAATTTAGTGACCGTTATTTAGATGTTGAATAGCATAACAATGTAAGACAGATGGGAGAAATGTTGGAACGACTGTCGCAAAAGGCACCAAAACCTCTGATACCCATTAAAAATTCCATGTTATCTAGTTCCCGTTGAACGGCACCTCGAATGTGTCACTTTGAAAGATCCATGATTACCGCCGTATTATGTACACATCTGTGGATGTTGATTAAAAATTTCAACATTATTATGTTTAAGTGATCAATTCTGTTTAAAACCGGCGAAAGGAGCACTTGAACCTACCAGAGCCGTCTTTGGCACTCCTGTGTATTTATGTTTCTATTTTGCAGTTTCAGGCGTTTTTGGTGGGGTTTTTTGGAGGGTGGATACATGAATGTGGATAAGTTTTTTCTGTTTCTTTACATTTTTCTGCTTGCTTGCCGAACCTTGTATTGATAATCATTATCTGTTTGTTACGGTTCGGTATACATGTATACAATATGATAAACAAGGTGAACAAGGAAAGGCGGCGTTCAATGAACGCAAACCCCACACGACCCAGGAACATGAACCATTGGCAAGGAGCCCAGGAGGATCCTAAATTAAAACGGGAGAGGGCGCAAGAGAGAGCTCGGGCAGGCTTATCACTAAAATGTACTTGAGAAGGAAATCAAAGAAAATTAATAAATGAATGATTAATAGGACCACTAAGTTAACGAGCACAGGGGAAGGGGATAGGAAATTCGGGGGAGGGGGCGAAATAAAACTAGGGGCAAAGGGAAGAAACTTACCATAGACGAGAAAACAACAAGGGACACAAACAAAAGTGTCACCAAAACAGTATGAAACAACAAGACATACACCTTATACATTTATAAGTCTCTTAATCTGTTCATTTGAAAATTCTGATCTTCTCAATGACTTTTTTTTTAATATATATCCTCTACTTAAAATTTATTTCAATTAAAATATGTGACCCTTCCTTAATAGTTAGTTACACAGCATATGGCTGGATCACAATAAAATTCCCTTTTAGTAAATTAATAAAGTACGTCAAGAAGACATTTAACTTTATCAATAGGTTTAATTTGGTATTATATATCGGCAATCGGTGAAAAAGAGCTCTTGAAATATTATTTGTACAAATACTGAATAATTTGAAGTGTATTTCAAATAGTTTCCTTCAATATTTCTTTTACGTTCTTAATTATCATATAAATATGCATGTATAAATGAAGTCAGTATTTTATCCGAGAGTGACATTTGGCAGTCATTAGCAGTAAACAAGAAGGCAAACCACCAATTGATAAATGTTGAGTATATGGATTAAAATATTTAAAAAATATTAAACGACAGTACTTGTACAGAGCCTATTTGCGACCATTGCATTTTAGGTTAAATACAATGATACTTTTCAATAGTATTTGATAATGCACATATTTATTAAAAAATTATGAATAGATTTATTTCCCCCGATATTTCTTTTAATTTAATCTTCATGCGTAACCCACACTTACCTGCTAGACACACTGGTAGCTACTACCAGCTTTCACGGAATCGATTTTTTACGATGACGTCATAACATGTCCGCCTAAGATATAGTAGACAGTACAAATTTGAAATAAATCGCATGTATGCGTTAAGACAGGTACAATCTACTATTTTTTCTAGGAGAAGTTTGTACTAAAATTTATATTCTATTGATCTTTAGAGGTAATTGAAGTTACTTTCAGGTTTAAGCAGTAAAAATCAGTCCAAACTATCGATAGTGTTACCGGTAGATTTTCCGTGCGTAAAAATGACAGTTAAAATTAGGCGTAACGGTTTGACAGTAAGAAAAAAAAAGTCTGTAAAATGGGTCAAACCGTTCACGCCAAATTAATTAGGCTACTGATGCAACCATTCCCACAAAGTGGCAAGCCGTACAGCTAGCCAAAAGTTCTAGCCGTACGTGAGTCACGTACGGCTAGCCAGGACACATAATTTTGTCTAGCTGTAACTTGTAAGGCACTTTTCAAAATTGTATGAAAGTTGAAAATGCAAATGTTATTAGATTTTAAGCAAAAACAGGCATTTATCGTCGTATATTTACTTTAATAAAGATGCTCCACCATTTTGTAGAAAAAGAAGAATACGAAGGAAATGCAAGCGTTGTCATCTTGTCAAAGTTACATGACACATTATACAAAGTACATTGTATGCAAAGTTATATTTATGATTGAATAATATATAGTTGAATAATAAATAGTTTAAGTTATAACATAGTTGTTTTTATGCTTATGATTTGTTATTTTATTTGCATGAAAGACAATACAGTGTGTCTCGGCTAACCGTATGTGACTCAAGTACGGCTAAAACCTTTGGCTAGCCGTACGGGCCCATACGGCTAGCCACTTCCTCTCATAAAAGTGAAAAATAAGAATATTGCACTGCAAAATAAATTAAACTTTGAAATATTGTGCAATACTGTTTTGAAGCTGCAATTTAAGAAATTTTTATGCCCCCACAGAGTGGGAGCATATAGCGTTGCACTTGTCCGTCCGTCCATCACGCCGTACTCACAGGAGAGTAATTATGTGGCTAGAAGGACAATAGGTAACTGTTCTTTCTCTTTGATGTCATTCATTCCGTAATGCTTTTATGTGGCTATTTTCTTTTGTGTGGCTAAAAAGAACAATAGAGTAGCCACATAATTACTCTCCTGTTAGAACTTCCGTCCGTCTGTCCGTACGTCCCGAAATCTTGTGAACGCAACTCCTCTTAAACCGGATGGCAGATTTTGCTTAAACTTTCAGGGATGAACAACCTTAATATGTAGATGGTAGTAAAGGAAGGAATTTTCGCTGCGACCAAATTTAACAGAATTATGACCCTTTGTTGATTTTTTCACTATGTACTATGTAGAAATTTTGTGAACGCAACTCCTCTTAAACCAGATGGCAGATTATGCTTAAACTTCCAGGGATGAACAACCTTAATATGTAGATGGCAGTAAAGGAAGGAATTTTCGCTGCAACCAAATTTAAAAGAATTATGGCCCTTTGTTGATTTTTTCACTATATACCATATAGAAATTTTGTGAACGCAACTTCTCTTAAACTGGATGGCAGATTTTGCTTAAACTTTCAAGGATGAACAACCTTAATGTGTAAATGATAGTAAAGGATGGAATTTTTGCTGCGACCAAATTTAACAGAATTATGGCCCTTTGTTAATTTTTATGCCCCCACAATGTGGGAGCATATAGCGTTGCACTTGTCCGTCCGTCAGTCCGTCTGTACGTCCCGAAATCTTGTGAACGCAACTCCTCTTAAACCGGAGGGCAGATTTTGCTTAAACTTACAGGGATGAACAACCTTAATGTGTAGATGGTAGTTAAGGAAGGAATTTTCGCTGCGACCAAATTTAACAGAATTATGGCCCTTTGTTGATTTTTTCACTAGATACTATGTAGAAATTTTGTGAACGCAACTCCTCTTAAACCGGATGGCAGATTTTGCTAAAACTTACAGGGATGAACAACCTTCAGGTGTAGATGGTAGTAAAGGAAGGAATTTTTGCTGCGACCAAATTTAACAGAATTATGGCCCTTTGTTGATTTTTTCACTATATACTATGTAGAAATTTTGTGAATGCAACTCCTCTTAAACCGGATGGCAGATTTTGCTTAAACTTCCAGGGATGAACAACCCTAATGTGTAGATGGTAGTAAAGAAAGGAATTTTTGCTGCAACGAAATTTAACAGAATTATGGCCCTTTTTTGATTTTTTCATTATATACTATGTAGAAATTTTGTGAACGCAACTCCTCTTAAACCGGATGGCAGATTTTGCTTAAACTTTCAGGGATTAACAACCTTAATGTGTAGATGGTGGTAAAGGAAGGAATTTTTGCTGCGACCAAATTTAACAGAATTATGGCCCTTTGTTGATTTTTAGTTTTCAACTTATGGCACATGTAGTCCAAAAAATATTTGACCTAGAGTCATAAGATTGACAGAACAGTGGCGTGTGGGGGCATCCGTGTCCTATGGACACATTTCTAGTTTCACTATATACCATATAGAAATTTTGTGAACGCAACTTTATGGCCCTTTGTTGATTTTTTCACTATATACCATATATATGTTGTCAGTGGGGGTAGGGCTGGGGCACCATGGCATGTTTTACAAACTGCTTTTTTCCTCATTTTCATTGAAAGTAAATTTTGCTGGTGGAATTTTATATTGGCGCGACAGGTTTTCAACCTTAACCAAGTTTATATTTGCATTGCATAATGTTATATGTTTAATGAAATTAATGTTTAGTATTGTTTTAAGAAAAATAAACATGTTTTCAGAACTATTGTTCATGTTTTTATGGGTGTCTTGATAACAAAAGATTCGTGGTTTGATTTGTGAATCGCAAGTGCTGAGTCATGGATCAGATCAGATCGTCACTTATCCGACAATCCACAGCCCTAGTGGGGGCATCCGTGTCCTTTGGACACAGTTCTAGTTCATTATGAAACCGGCATTTCAGTTGTTGAGCTGGTGATTTTGATATTGTGAAGGGTGTTTTTTTGGCCTCTTCCCTTAGCCCTATAATATTGTGTGGGAGGGGAAGCCCTGTCTAAGATCTACTTTAAGTGTATGTGCATTTTACAATGGTCAGTACAGATGTACACTTATGTTTCAGACGTGGGTGAAGTGACTATAATGGAGACAGAGGATAATTGTCCACCATCAAAGAAATTGAAACAAGGTTTGTTGCTAGGTCTAATGTTATGTTTTAGATGAAGACTTAACTGTTGAAGATTGAATGTAGGTGCTTTAATTCGCATGATACACAGACTTATATAACAGCAATTAGACTTGAGAAATTTAATCTGAATTGAACTTAATATAAAGATAACAAAATCTTAAGCTGTTAACTCTGGAATAATAATAATAAATAATAACATACATGGGGGATCCTAGGTTTTCCACAATCAGCACAGTGGTAAAGTAAGTTCTGGCTTTTACCTTGATGTAGCTTCAATATGGAAATATGCTACAAAGGGTCTATGTGCCAGCCAAGTGATTTGAGTCACTGACTAAGAATCACTCTGCTGTAGGTTTGATTATTGCCAGATTTTTTCCTGTGAGCTATCCAGTGAGCTTATAAGAGATTAGTGATTCTTCTTATGCCTGGAGTATTACGAAATCTTTGTCCAGTAAAACTGGAAATGTTGAGTTTTTTTTTTTTTTAAACTTAACCCAAATTTTAAAGAAGTTATTCAGGCATTTTAAATGTTTTCTTTGCATTGATGTCCTCTTTACATCTTTTTCTTTTAGGTCGTCTTCCCTTTAAGCCCCTAGAACATTCTGGTCAAAAGTTGCAAGGAAACACTCCCCCAGGAAGTAAAAAACGGAAACTTTCAGATAACGAATCTCCAAGTGCAAAGCAGTTGAAAACCAGTGCTCAGCCTAGTACAGTTAGACACCAGATCACTGATGGTGACCCGGAAGTCAGCAGTAGTTCTGAGGCAGATCTTATTGCTGATAGTCTTAAGACAAGAAAACTGAACACTTTGGATAAATTCTTTAAGCCTAAGCCATACACTCAAGATCAGGAAGAAATTAGTTCAACAAATGACTGTATAGAGATAGATCTAACTGAGGAAGCAGTGGCTGACAAAGATGATCAAGTAGATGATAATAATAAAGTTAAAGCTGCTGCTGATGAGTCAGCCAAAGGAGAAGAGATGGAAGAAAAGACTGAAAAGTTGGCAGAAGAAGAGACAAGTCAGTCTGAAGAAGATAAAGAAAACCTGTCTGCAAGTGATGGGGATGATATGGATAGTTCTTTTATTGCCAATACTTCTGTGTGTGAAGATGCTCTTAAAACACCTGGTAAAGACAAGCTGTCTGAGTCTGTACTCAAGGTAAAGTTTTAAGTAATAATTTATACATTTAAACTATTATCATACAATTTTTCTCACAGGCTGGGGAAGCAGCCCTGCCCTTAATTCTTTGGGGAAAAAATACTGTATATTTGCAAAACAGGAAGAAAAAATTTGATGCAAATTATTTTGGGGGAAAATTGCGATTTTAAAGAAATTTTCTTTTGGCAAGCAGCCCTATAATGGCCCCTGCTATAGAAGAAAAAAAGTCCTGGTTTGTAATTATATATGTTTTTCTTTGTGCTTACGAGGGTTAAGTTAAGGATGTGTCCGCTTGAGAGGTGTATTGGTATGTTATTTGATTGTTATTTTATAGTTTAGGGGGAATATTCTCATTCCATGTTAATTAACTTGTTTTTAAGCCTGAAAGGTGTAAACATGTAATTAGGAGGCATGTTATATGCTGTTGCTTGTATTCTAATTGATGAAAACTTTACCAATGTATTAAATTTTTTTAATCTTTAGACTCCTAAGACAAGTACAAGTTCAAGAAAAGTGACCACACCATCACAAGTTGGTACACCTTCACAAATTGGTACACCGTCTCAGGCTGTCACACCATCCCAAGTCGGTACACCATCCCAAAGTTCACAAAGTGATAGTAATACACCAATCTCTGGCAAGAAAAGGACCTCTGTAGTAAGTTTACATCTAAGTTAGAAGGGTTAGGTTGTGCTACTTTTATAATTCTTATCTAATCATTATATAAAAGAATTTTTATGCTTCATCTTTGATTGTTAAAAAGTGTTATAAAAAAAGAATGACTGATTTAATAGTGTGACATCATGTTATTTCTCTATTCCATATTCCCTTATCTGACACCTGTATTTTACAAGAAGGAACATTCTGTATTTTGACTTAATAGTAGGTTCTCTGCTTTGTTAAAAAACAAAACAAAAAAACATAGTGGCATTTTGTTTACAGCTATCTGAGAGTAAGAAAAAGGAACGCGAATTGCAGAGACAAAAGATTAAAGAAGAGAAGGAAAAACAGAGAGAAGAACAAAGATTGCAAAGGGAAAAGGAAAAAGAGGAAAAGAAGAAAGAACTGTTGGAGAAGAAACGACTCAAAGAGGAACAGAAAGAGAAAGAGAGATTGGAAAGGGAACGCATGAAACAAGAGGAAAAGGTAAAAATCTGCATTCTGGTTTCTTTTCTTTATTCTTGACCACACTAACCATCTTTAATGGACTTGTCCATCTTACATTCTGGACTAATTCATTCCTCATGTTTAAAGAAAATTTCAAAATAGTATTGACTGAATTGCAAAGTTCAGACCATGAAAGTTGGCTTGGATTTGTTGGCTGATCATGGTCAGCATTGGTCACATGGGTAGAATCAGTAGCCGCAAGCCGGCTGAGAGTTCTATTGTTTTGACCATAATAAAAGTTTGTTATTATACCCCCAAAAACGAAGTTTGTGGGGGTATATAGGAGTCACCCGGCGGTTGGTTGGTCGGTCGGTCCAGACGTCCGTTGCATTTTCCTTGTCCGGAGCATAACTTGAAAACTAATGGTTGGAATTCAATATAACTACATACAATGGTTAAGCACATTGAGAGGAAGTGCAGTGCACAAGAACCATAACTCTATCTTGACTAATTACAGAGTTATTGCCCTTTGTTACTTTTCCTTGTCCGGGGCATAACTTGAAAACTACTGGTTGGAACTAAAAACAACTTCATACAATTGTCAAACACAATAAGGGGAAGTGCAGTGCACAAGAACCATAACTCAAGTAATTACAGAGTTATTGCCCTTTGTTACTTTTCCATTGCTTTCTTTTGTCCGGACCATAACTTGAAGACTAATTCTTGGAATTCATTATAACTTCATACAATGGTCAAGCACATTGAGAGGAAGTGCAGTGCACAAGAACCATAACTCTATCTTGACTAATTACAGAGTTATTGCCCTTTGTTACTTTTCCTTGTCCAGAACATGACATGCAAACTACTGGTTGGAATTCATAACAACTTCATACAATGATCAAGCACAATAAGGGGAAGTGCAGTGCACAAGAACCATAACTCCATCTTGACTAATTACAGAGTTATTGCCCTTTGTTACTTTTCCTTTTCCAGAGAATAACTTGAAAACTACTGTTTGGAATTCAATACAACTTCATACAGTTGTCAAGGACATTAAAAGGAAGTGCAGTGCACAAGAGCCATAACTCCATTTTGACAAAATACTGAGTTACTGCCCTTTGATACTTTTCCTTGTCCGGAGCAAAACATACTGGTTGGAATTCAAAACAACTTCATACAATGGTCAAGCACAATAAGAGGAAGTGCAGTGCACAAGAACTCCATCTTCAGTATTTATAGAGTTATTGCCCTTTGTTCCTTTTCTTTGTCTTTCTGGACTTATTACAGAGTAATTCAATAAAACTTCATCAATGGCCAACCACATTGAAAGGAAATGCAACATACAAGAACCACAACTATCTTTAATTGCCACAACCATAACTCTATATTTCAATTCTTTTACAAGGTATTCTGTTACTAGTAACATCTTCATTTTTGAAGCAGTCTTGTGGGGGTATTAATCACATTTAGTGATAGTTCTAGTTGAAATTTAAAAGAAAGGTGTAGGAAATTGAATATATGATTATTGAAGACTAGATTCTTTTAAATTTGATTAATATTGATAAGATTATCATTTAAATATTCCATTGTTGATAGGATGACCATGCAATATTGATAAGAATTTGTCTTACTGTTGAATAGAAAATAACAGTTTGAATAATGCTTTGGTTCTTTACAGATATTAAATGTTTGCAAATTTGTTAATTGTATAGGATAAGAAAGAAAAGGAAAGATTAGAGAAACTGAAACAGAAGGAAGAAGAGAAAAAACAAAAGGATAAAGAAAATGAGTAAGGACCTTTTAAGTTTAATGAATGCTAGGGGCAATGCTGATCTGAGCATATCACAATGATAGAGCGAGGAAAAAATCTCTTGCAATCTGACCAGAACTATTCTTGTTGGCTTCTAAATTATTGTAACATTTCTATATTGAGTTCTGTTAATTGATAAATGAATCGTTCTAAACTCTGCTGAAAGCAAGACAAGTCTGTTCCGCAAGCTAAATGTTTGAAACACTAATTATTCATGTTATTTTTATGCATGATTATTTAAAAATGTCAATTCATTGCAAATAGACCACCATTTGATTTAGGGGAAAATCACTTGTAGAATTATTTTCTGTCTTCTTATTAAATGTATAATTTAAACTATATTCAATCACTTTTCACTTGAAATATTGGCATCTCCATTGAAGATTGTTTTTTACTTTGTAAAAAGTGATATGCTTTTAAAATGGTATATATGTATCACTCAGGGTCAAGTTGGAAGAGAAGAGAAAAAAGGAGGAAGAGAGAAAACAAAAGGAAGAGGAGAGGAAGCAAAAAGAAGAAGAAAAGAGAAAAGAAGAGGAAGAAAAGGTTAGACTCCATATTTGTTACACATTCTGATGAATATTTTTATTTGACAGATCTGGTTGACGGGAAAGGGGCCTTAGGGTGTGGTGTATTATTCTGGAAAACAGAGTGAGCGAATGATCTGAAATTTCGCACACACGTTGTTGGTCTAGACCTACATCGAATTGAATACTAGTCTCAAAAAATTATTTCCAGTCCTGTCATGCTAAAAAACTCAGTGGAAATTGTTTAAACCTGTTATATTCAGGTACCTGCTTTAGCCAGAGATAATACATGAATGGGTTTTCAACAAGTTCCCGCTGAAATAAAAAAATGATAGGAAATTTTAAAAAACCCAACACACATGGAAGTCGAGATATTCAAAATAGAATAGATAATTATTTTTTGCAAGAAATCAGAAGGTAAGATAAAACTTTTTGTGACAAAATATTATAAATCCAGTGTTCTCTATATGTGGCAGATTTGTTTCTATTGTAGCAAAAGAAAGAGGAGAAAAAGAAGGAAATGTTCAAAGGATTTTTCATCAAGAAGGATCCAGTTGTCTCCCCTCCTAAGGTTTGTGTACTATTATTTTATGTTTAACCGTACTGTGATACTGTTTAATTATCTATTGAGGCATTAACTATGCTTAGATTCTTTCTTCCCTAAAAGAAACCCAGCTGTCCTTTAAATGTGTGATGAATTTTAAGTAGACTGTCAGTTTAAGCTTGGCAGAGTGGTTTAAATACCAAAATTGTTTAAGGAGTGCTGACTATGTGTGTTCAAACCCAACCAGGGCCATATTGGTTTCATTGTGCAAGAATCTAAACTAATTGCTCAGTACTAATTGGTTCAAGGAAGGGATTCAAGATTGTGTCTATTATCTCGCAAGTTCCTACACAAGCAAAAATAAATTTGGTTTAGACTAAGCCATCATTTGATCTCAAATATGTTTTCTTATATGACACAACTGCTCTTTAATCAAGGAAGCTGAATTGAATTAATCTAGGTAGATGTTAAGTAAGTCTTCAAGAAGTACAAAGTTTTTTTTTGCTATTCAAAGACCTTTTAAAGTTTTGTTTGTACAGGAGGTTTTCGCACTTGTAAACATGATATATTGTAAACTGGTGTATCTCATTTTTCAGCCAAAAGAGAGCAAAAATGGATTATTTATGCCGTTTGAGTTAAAATTGAATATGAAACTAGCACCTGAACGACGAGCTCTACCACTGTTATCTGATGCTAAAGACAACTTTGATGAAGAGTTTGATAAACAGGTATTAGTACCAAATTACCCTTTAATTTGTGTAACAGACTTGTCATATTTTCAATTTACCGATTGGCTTAATGTTGATTGTGATTATGGTGGAAGATAAAAAATAATTTATCCTAACTTTATATTAGTCTACAACTCTTTTTGTGCAGAAAACTGCTTCTTAAAATGTGTCCTCGAGGGGCTTGTGTAATGTATTCGGGGAGAATTGCATGAGTGTTGAATAATGCTTTAATACTGACTTTATTTTGTAAATGTCATTGCACCCTGAAAACAAAACTTTTTTTAAAATCTTAGAACATTTTCTGTCAAGTTTAATTTTCATAAATATTTTGGCTCATCTGGAGGCATGACTATATACCTATTGCACTTTTATTAAATTGACTGCATAGTGTTATGATAAAGTTATATTGATTGATTACAGGAATGTGATACATTATACTTAAAAGAAATCAAGTCTCCCTCCTATAAACCTGGTAATTGTGGAAAGACTTGGCCAAGGTAAGAACATATACTTAACATCTACATTCTCGGGCATGCAAAGTTTGCCCTGAAAAAGAAAAGCATCTTGTTTTTAAAGCATATCTGATTGAAAAATCCTCATTCTTTTTTATACTGCCAAAAATTCATTATGGTTCGACCATAAAAGAAGATATACTGTTCCCTGAAGTCAGTCACTAAAGTTAAAAATCTATTTTCTTTAAGTACTAAGCGTACACCTTTACATACACAGGGTTTTACATCTCTTTGAAATTTTAGGGGTCCAGTGGATGCACAGCCTAGAAAAGTAGGGGTCCAGGTCTGAATTTTAGGGGTCCAAAATTATATTCACTATAAAAGACTATGAAGACCTCTCTCTATTTTGCTTAAAATCATTTATTTACCCTGTGAGAAATATGCATGTATATTGTACTGTTTTCATAAGAAGTATATGATTTCAATATCTTTTATCACTAGGTTTTTTTATAGCCCTTTACAATAATATCAATGCTATTTCCAAGGCTTATAAGTCTTTGTGTGGCTGGAATGTCAAGTTTTAGTAGCATATTTTGTTATTGATAAGGTGATTACACCAACAGACTGAAAATTTGCATTGATCTATTTGTAAATATTTTAGCTGAACTAGTGAACACACAATAGATATCTTTACAGACCAGTCAGCTAAATATGTTGCGTTTTTAAAAATATCATATAACAAAAGGCCGACGAAACCGCTTTTGCACCTCCTCATAAGTTAAGTTCGCCGAAACCATTATATTTATAACACCAATGATAATAACATACCCAGTGACTTAATTTCTTTAACACTGTGAAAGTTTGCAAAAAGCACTGCTTTTTCATTATTGCTGTTCATGTACAAAATACATTCGCCGAACTGGTAGATCGACATTAAATACGCTAGCCAATAGTAATTGCTTGTTATAAATAGTCCGTCTAAATATAGCAACAGAAAAACCAAAAACAGCTACCTAAAATAGATTTTACGGTAAACGTCATCAGATACTGTAGCTTGCACGATAAACGTCATTAGTTTCTGCAGCGGGCATTTGCAAAGAGCAAGCGCAGTAGATTTCAATTATGTTAAACTTCCGAAATAAACAAATGCAAGCATTTTCTGCATGCTGTATTAGATTTAAATGGAATTTTGTGAGCTTCGAGAAGAAAGAGATAAAATCATGTCGGGTCAGAAACAATAATTTCTATTGTCTAGGATTATTTTTGTGCGTACACTTGGACGCAATTGGATATATGCGTACATGTCAAAATTTATGCGTATAGGGACGCAGAATTCTGCGTCCCGTAAAACCCTGCATACAAATCTTTACAAATGCTTACATGTTTTCCAGTGGAAAGTACTGGTTTTGATGATATTTTTGAATTCAAAACTTGAAAAAAACCTTTAAAAAAACCACACACACAAAATTGACAAATTTCAAAATATATATATATTTTTAAATATAAGCAAAGGATGCAGGTGAGCAATTAATGAGCCATACAGGCATTCTTGTTTTGATACTGTTTAGCTTTATATTATAGTTGATATATCAATATTAATGACAGGGAACTGGATGAAGATAATGATGTAGAACTGTTATCACACGAGAAAGAAACCATAGAGAAAGTAACCCACCATGTCAAGTTTCTGTATTTCCACGAAAACAACAGACCACCTTACTACGGAACATGGAGAAAACGTAGCAAAGTTCTATCAGGACGTAACCCTTTTAAACAAGATGAGGTAAATGGCACATCTCATGTCGGAACAAATTTGTTTAGTATTTAAGGATAAGCACATGAATTAAAAGTGCATAAAGCTGTGAGAAGACGTGTATGCCAATAACATAAGGCCAGGCCAACTTGTCCTGTATAAACCAACAAGACTCCTAACCTTTACCCAGCTGAAACGAGAATTGATTAACCTTTGTCACAAGTATAGAGCTGGGTCAGTCTGCGCATTTTGTAATTTTAAGAAGTAGAAACTTTGTGTTAGAATCACTTCTGGAATTGAATAATGCTCACTAGGTGTTTACTTGTCATTACATTAAATATTTGACAAAACATTTGTTACATCACTTGTAAAAGACATTTTTTTTTTTTTGAAAGACAGTTGAATTAGGCTTATCTTTCATATAAATAAATGAATGAATTTTTTTATCAATAAAAATTCTAGCTTCCTCAGATTGGTTTGCAGTGAGTTGTAATTTAACTGTACTTTATTAAAGGATCAATAATTGTTTCAGAAATTGTTTGACTACGAGGTTGATTCTGATGACGAGTGGGAAGAAGAAGAACCTGGAGAGTCGGTCTCTTCTGACGAGGTTTGTAACCACACTTTAAATAATAAATGCTTCATCAGTCAGATGTATAATGTTCGTCTTGAACAAGCATAATCTGTAAACTTGTAAAATTGAGCATTTTTTCAAATAATTCTTAATGACTTGGGTACACTTATAGAACTATTAAGGACTTTTGTCATGTGAATGATCTGGTATGTTTGTCTAGTAATTCTTGTATCCATGTTTGAAATGTTTAGTATAACTTGTTGGAATAAACTTAACCTTGAATCAGAATTTTTCAATAGAAATAAAGTTATATATACCAAACCTTACATGTTTATACAATAGGAGGAAGAAGAAGGTGAGAAGGTGGAAGATGAAGATCCTGATGCTGATGATTGGATGGTACCTCATGGTTATCTGTCTGATGGCGAGGGAGTAGAGGAAGATGATGAGGTAGGTAAAAGGGAGTTTTACATCTAGTGCTTTATGAAAGGTGGGGCTATACTTTTCGTCAGCATCTGTGTCTGTGCGTATCTTCTATATATTTCAACCAGATATGCACAGGGCAGGATTATCATTATTAACAGATTGGTGGTCCATATTGTTGGTTGAAATGTTGTTAAAATCAGCTGTATTTTTCAGCCTGTAGATAAAGATATCTCCCTAGACCCTCAGCAAAATTGGTTGTTTTAGTAAGAACATGTGTTCCCTCAGATAAAAAATGTTCTATTTTGCCTGGATTTTGTGATTTAATCATTTTTGGAAGAATTATGGCTTTTCCCCCACATTTGTCATATTAGCGGACAACCTAATTTTGTGACACTGTCCTGATATTTTTAGAACCATATCTTTATATAATATGATTCATACGATATATGTGGAAAAATTTGTAGTTGCTTGCATTGAAATATAAAAGTAGTAGAACATATAGAGGATATTTATTTGTTTGTGTGTAAGATGAAATTTTATTTCATCGATAGGGCTTTAAAAACAGTATTAGTGAGAGTACTGTTTTTAAAATTCACGAGATGAAATAAAATTACATCTTACACAACAAACAAACAAATTTTCTTTTTATTTTATGCTAAGAAACAAGTTTAAATGAAATTTCCTTAATATTAACGTTAATATTAAAATCTGTTTTCCCCATTGAGAGTCTCAAAAAAGTCGAATTTCTCATTAAATACAAGAAGTCTTGGGCTGAAAATAAGTTTGACAATCAACGTTAAATGGCGGGGATATTTTTTTTATTAAAAAAGTATGAATGATCGCTTGTTTTAATAATAAAAACAAACAATTCTAGTAGGAGAAAAAGTCCAACCATCCATCCATATTTCTGTTACTGCGAATTTATATTAGACCTGGCTTTGTTAAATGTAAGCGGCCGCCATTTTTAAAAGTTGTGTATTTCACTGGAGGAAAATAATTGTGTTTGATTCAGAGGGATATCATTTTGATTTGTTAGTCATACACCTTTTTAAAAGAAAGAAAACTTATTTGAGGATTGTAACAGACAATAAATAAGTGTTGACAGATGTGTAAACATTCAAAAAGCGGCTAGGAAATTGGAAAACTTGGAAAACTTGGAAGCCTTACGAACGCTGGGTTGTTTACTTATTCTTCGGGCTGATGGCTGTCATTGCTTTTCAAGTTTTCATAAAGCATACGGCAGTTATTGCTCGTAGGATACTTAAATATGCCCAAATGTCATCAAGAGCAGTTTTGCATGTGGAAGGAATGTATTTTTCAGACTGTAAAAATGAAACAAAAAAATTAGAGACGATATTTGGTGATTGGTAATTTGAATGAATAGAAGTAAGTTTTCTTCTTTTTATTACTTTTGACATTTAAGTTATTTATCAATTTCAGCTTTGCTTTTCTCTAAACAGCCTGACATTGTCAGAATTGTCAGCAAAAATAAAATTGAGGTACCACATGGGGAAAATCTTAAAAAAGTAGTTTCGTCATTGAAAAGTGTGAAATTATATTTTGATAATTTTCACTGTGAACTTATCAAATATAATTTTCATGGATAAATCAGTAATCCACTGAAAAGCATAAAAAATAAAATTCAGGAATAGTTGTTTGATACGTGCTAGCTATAAGATGACTGTAATACTAGTTCATGGAAATGATTGACTAAAAATACTTTGTAGTGATTCTACCCACTAATACAGTAAGTAAACACTGCTTGAAAAAAATATGAGCCGCGTCTCAACAAAACCAACATAATGGGTTTGCGACCAGCATGGATCCAGACCAGCCTGCGCATCCGCGCAGTGGATGCGCAGTCTGATCAGGATCCATGCTGTTCGCTGACCAACCCTATTACAAGAAGAGAAACTAATAGCGAACAGCATGGATCCTGATCAGACTGCGCGGATGCGCAGGCTGGTTTGGATCCATGCTGGTCGCAAACCCATTATGTTGATTTTGTCGTGACGCGGCTCATATATGTAAGTCTTCTTATACTTCTACTCTGTACTTTTATATACTAGGTTGATTCTGCTAGTAAACAAGATCTACAGAAGGTTCGACAGGCAGCATGGGAGAGTGAATTAAAACGTCAAGCGAAACCACTGAAAATGTTAGCTATTGGCTGTGCCTGGGAGAACGATGAGACTACAGCCATTGCCGCTCAACAACTACAAAAATTACTCCAGTTCAAGGTAATGTTGCTTGTCGTTTTTAGCTTGACTTATTGAAGAATAGGGAGAGCTATTGTACACACCCCATTATAGGTGTTGCTGTCACACATTGGTATAGTGTTTGCATGAAAGTTGGTATCTCCAAAACTCCTGAAGGAAATGAATTAAAACACACACTTGTTCTCTGTGATTATTTAACATGACTGGCACAGGTCCCATTACTCCGAGTTAACTTTTTAGCTCACCTGTCACAAAGTGACAGGGTGAGCTTTTGTGATCACTTTTTGTCCGGCGTCCGTAAACTTTTACTTTAAATGACATCTCCTCATTAACCACTCAGCCAATTTCATCCAAACTTCACAGGAATGTTCCTTTGGTGGTCACCTTTGAAAATTGTTCAAAGAATTTAATTCCATGCAGAACTCTGGTTGCCATGGCAACCAAAAGAAAAAACTTAAAATATATTCTTCTAAAAAACCCAAAGAGCTAGAGCTTAGATTTTTGGCATGAAACATCTTCTGGTGAGTGTCAACCAAGTTTGTTCAAATAAAAGCCCTTGGGTCAAAATTGGCCTCGCCCCAGGGGGTCATTGATTTTCCCTATATGCATATAGTAAAAACTTAAAAATTCTTCTTTTAAAGAACCAAAAGAGCTAGAGCTAAGATATTTAGCATAAAACATGTTCTAATGGATGTCTACCAAGTTTGTTCAAATAAAAGCCCTTGGGTCAAAATTGGCCCCGCCCCAGGGGGTCATTGATTTTCCCTATATACATATAGTAAAAACTTAAAAATCTTCTTTTAAAGAACCCAAAGAGCTAGAGCTAAGATATTTAGCATGAAACATCTTCTAATGGGTGTCTTCCAAGTTTGTTCAAATAAAAGCCCTTGGGTAAAAATTGGCCCGCACCAGGGGGTCATTGATTTTCCCTATATGCATATAGTAAAAACTTAAAAATTCTTCTTTTAAAGAACCAAAAGAGCTAGAGCTAAGATATTTAGCATGGAACATCTTCTAGTGGGTGTCTGCCAAGTTTGTTCAAATTAAAGCTCTGGGGTCAAAATTTGCCCCGCACCAGGGGGTCATTGATTTTCCCCATATGCATATAGTAAAAACTTAAAAATCTTCTTTTAAATAACCCAAAGAGCTAGAGCTTAGTAAGATATTTAGCATGAAACATGTTCTAATGGATGTCTACCAAGTTTGTTCAAATAAGATCCCTGGGGTCAAAATTGGCCCGGCTCAGGGGGTCATTGATTTTCCAAATTTCCTTATATGTGTATAAGAAAAACTTAAAAAATCTTTGGAAAAAACCAAATAGATAGAGTTTAGATATTAAGCATGAAAGATGTTCTAGTGAGTGTCTACAAAGTTTGTTCAAATAAAAGCCCTGGGGTCAAAATTGGCCCCACCCCAGAGGTCATTCATTTTCCCTATATGTGTAAAACTATAGCAACAATTAAAAAATCTTCTTTGAAAAAACTCAAATAGCTAGAGTTTAGATATTAAACAAGAAGCATCTTCTAGTGAGTGTCTTCAAAGTTTGTTCAAATAAAAGCCCTGGAATCAAAATTGGCCCCGCCCCAGGGGACATTAATTTTCCTTATATGAGTATAGCAAAAACTTAAAAATCTTCTTTGAAAAAACCTGAATAGCTAGAGTTTAGATATTAAGCATGAAACATTTTCTAGTAAGTGTCTACAAATATTGTTCAAATAAAAGCCCTGGGGTCAAAACTGGCCCTGCCCCAGGTGTGTCATTGTTTTTAACTATATGTGTAAAGAAAAAACTTAAAAAAATCTTCTTTTAAAAATCCCAACAAGCTAGACCTTAGATGTTTAGCATGAAACATTTTCTAATGGTTGTCTACCAAGTTTGTTCAAATAAAAGCCCCGGGGTTTAAACTGGCCCCGCTCCGGGGGCCTATGTACAGGTGAGCGACTTTAGGGCCATCATGGCCCTCTTGTTACAGAGTTATGCCCCTTTTGTTACTGTCATGCTCTGAGAAGAGTCGAGTGGATTGTTTCACAGACAGCTCTCATTTCTTAGTGGCAATTTAAACATAAAACTTTTGTGACTGCAGATAAAAGCTGAATTTTACTCAACATGCAAACATATATCTTGAGAAAATGCAAAAATGACTGTTTCATTGTTACTGATTGTCATAACTTTTCCTTTATCTGTTAACATTTTCTTAAAATTAGTGTCTGAGATGGTAAAGGTCACTTGTTTGTAAATAATTGACAGTTACCGGCTGCAAAGTTGCCAATTGATGTTGAGTATGTTTGAGCAAATGGAAGGCAAATAATCATTGTAAATTTTATAATTTTAGGCTGTGTGTCTTATGGAGGGACCTATAGGTACAACATTAACTGGGACAAGAGGCAGTGAAGTAGATAGTGCTGCATCTAAAGAGAAAGCCGATGATAAAAAGAACATTCAGAGGAAGTCTGTACCTGAGGAAGGTAATAAAAATAATCATTAATTCTCACCATTGCCATCAGTATAGGGCATGCCTAGCCTGAACTTTCATGCAATCTGATTAGGCTCTAAAATGATGGCTTACCAACTTAGAATTTTGATCTTGATATCCCAAAAAAACTGGTCAAAGTTTAAGAAATGGAAGCTGGACAAGTTATATAAAAAATTCAGAAGGTTTAAGATGAAAATATTTTCTCCAGATTTTATGTATCATATTTTTAGATGTCATTGTTTTATTATTCCACAACTTTCAATTAGGCAATTGTTATGAAAGTAATGGATAACAAATAAAATTTCATTGGCTTCTGCGGAGATGATTTTATTACATGTTTATTTGCTCAGTTATGTTAACAATCGAGTCACATTATTGTAAAAGTTACTGCCATGGATCCAATACTTTGTTAAAGGGAATAATCTAAATTGTACACTGAACTTTCTGGCCATCTTTCAATGATTTTCTGAAAATAAATTTGTATTTAATGGTTTTGATGACTGAGAACAGTAAAGTGTGTATAGATAAAAAAGAGAAAAGTGAACGAAGTGCATTAGCATACAAATGTCAAATAAAAGTGAATTTGCCTGTATTTTCAGCTATCCCAGACCTTATAAGACTTGTGCATGGAAACCCTACTGCATTAAAGAACTTATTTAAGGAGTTTCGAATGTTTTGGAGACGAAAAACCAACTCCTCCTCGGACGAAAAAGCTGATGATTCTACCCTCGATTCTTCTAAACTCGATATGAGTATTGAAATTGATGATAAAACAAAAAAATCAGACACCACTAAGTCTGAATTACCAGAAACTCCTAAATTGCTCAATGAAAGTAAGTCGGACTCGCTAGAGGAGTTTGCTTTTTCTAGACGTCAGCTAGAGCTTAAGATTACGAGTATGTGCATTTATGAGAAACGAGCAGAACATAAAAAGTTGTGTTGGTATGTGAAGGACGAGATACTGAAACAGTATGAAATGGAAGACATACAACTGCCTAATTCCTGGGAGTATGTATGTATAAAACCACCTAAGGCAGTAGAGAAGGTGCCGACTACCCCAAAACTGGATGAAATTAGTTCTGCTTCTACGCCAGGGCGGGCAACTCCAAACATTATGCAATTTGCACAGCCAATGTCACCATCCCAGATTCAAGCCCTTGGGCCAGCCCCTAAAGATCCAATAAAACCATCTGAGGCCACTGCCATGGAAGAGGAGTCAGAGGTTACTGTTGTAGCCATGAGCAAGCCTACTTTGCCAGCAGACCAAAGAAAAATAAAAGACATGTTTTCACCTGCCGCTAAAAAAACAAAAGGTAAAAAAGCAAAAAACAGCACTAGTCCATTGATAGCTAAGATATTAACCAGTCCAAAAATTGATATCCAAGCTAACGCAGGTAAGAAATCTTTGCCAGAGCCTGCAGCAAGTGTTAATAATATTGCTGTAAAGACGTCTGCTAGCCCGAAGCTGGGCTCTAAAGCATCAAGCAAACCAGAGCTAGTTTTACTCGAAACTGCATCGAAACAGTCACCTGACTCTTGTAAAGTCTCAACAACTCCGAACACAAAGAAAATAAATTCTAAGCTTCAATCAATGCTGTCCTCGCCAGAGTTGATGAAACCAAATTCATCAGAGAAGATGGACGAAAGTAAAGAGTCTGAAGCCAAAGAACAACCGATGGATGTTGATATAATAGTGCTCGATTAATTCTGTATGTCATACTTTTCAGATTCAAAATCATATTCGAATGTGATTTTTTTTTTAGAGAAAAATTATGACCAAAACTTACAATATAAAAAGGGAAGATTCGTGCTTTTTTTGTTTCGTTTTTTATTATTTTATGTACATTATTAGTGAATGAAATCAGTGACATAAGATATATTTATAAAAGGAAACATTTTAATGTTATTCGCATTGGAGTATATTTATCACAACATGATGTTTGACAGTTTCATTACACAGTCGTGTGATTATGGTGAAATGAAACATTGTTTCCAATGTAATGTATTATTTAAGCGTTTTATGTCAAGAAAATTTGTGTAATGATGTCAATTTTTATCAATGTAATGTAAATTATCCATACCAGTAACTAAGGAAACATAACGGTGGACTTATATTTCATTGGTAACAACCCTAAGTGATATAGTATTTATTTCTTTGGAAGGATATTATTATATATATAATATGCTTCTTTAAGTCAATACAGATTTTTCCTGTGAACATTGAAAGTGAAAAACATTCAAAATTTGTGTCATATTTAACAAAGCTGTGATCAATGTATACAAGAAAGTTTTATATAGAAGGAAGTTGACATTGAATTTTTAACTTGTTGATCTTTCTGTAGTATTATACTGTTCATCAGAGGTTATTGGTTGTTTCTGTCAAATTTTTATTGTTATAGTTTTTAGTTTGACTATTCACAGAGTACTTATGCATCACCCATTTGTCGGTGTCCCTGTGTTTAATTTTGAAGTGTAAGCTTCATAACTACTAAAGGGAATTGATTGAAACTTCACACACTTCTGTAATTATCTAACTCTGATTCATTTTTTTTTGTCCATATTTATGCCCCTTTTTCAACTTAGAAATTCTCTGTTTAAGATTTTGCGTGTAAGCTGATATCTTTATAACTACTGAAGGAAATGGATTGAAACTTCATACACATTTTCCCTGTGATTTTCTCACGTAATTGGCACAATTCCCATAACTCTAATTTCATGTATTTATATAGGTAAGCATTATCATACTCCAATGAAACAACCTTGTGACAACTCTTTTGAATTGTCGAGCATAGCTGTCCTCCGACAGCTCTTCTTGATAAAGAAATAAAAACCAATTTCGATCATGTAGTAATCTAGATTGTGTAGATATTCAAATGACATTGACTGTAATTAAATTGATTTTATAGAACTTTTCTGAGGGGAAACAACCCCTGCTATAGAAGGGAAAAAGCCCTGACAGAACAGTCCATTGTGTGAAGAAAGTTCTTCTCTACCTGAATTTATAGTATTAATTCAAAGGATTTTACTAATTTATCTGTGTAATAATGATGGAATGGTGCTTTCATAAACAGGGACATTAAAGTGATATTTTTTGCTAGTTAAGACTTACAATTTGTATACAGTTAAACTTTTGCATGCTGAAGAATCAATATTTATTCATTATCATGTTTCACTTGTTATAAAACAAAGTTAATACAAGACGATTCATTCTGATTGAAATATTTGTATTGTATAGTAAAACGTAGTATGAAAAAATGAAATTGTGTTCTCTTGTTTTCAATCCTGTAACAAACATATACAAATACATTGTACATATACAAAACACGTGTTTAAGAAATTAAAGTGGTCCATAAGAAGATTCCAAGTGCAGTGGCCTGATGGTTATGGTGTTTGTCTCTCAGCATCCAATTATTAAAACTATCAAGACAGTATAGATAATGATGGTGTCCTTAAGATTTTTCTCTTGTGACTTTCATCTTATCTTGAACTTGATTAACACCATTGACTTGAAATAGAAATTCAGTTTCTGCTCAATAACTCGAGTTTGCTTTGACCTATTGACACCAAACTTGGTGTATGATTAACTTATATCAAGAGGCAGCTTGGGATTGCTACCCAGATGTCTGTGATCAAGGTCACTGTTACTAAAAATAGAAATTCAGTTTCCGCTCAATAACTTGATTTTGCTTTGGCCTATTGACACCAAACTTGGTGTATGGATAGCTTTTATCAAGAGGCAGCTTGGGATTGCTATCCAGGTGTCTGTGATCAAGGTCAAGGTCACTGTTACTAAAAATAGCAATTCAGTTTCTGCTCAATAACTTGATTTTGCTTTGGCCTATTGACACCAAACTTGATGAATGGGTAGCTTATATCAAGAGGCAGCTTGGGATTGCTACCCAGGTGTCTGTGATCAAGGTTAATGTATTTAGTTTTCATGTTATAACTTGAGTTTGCTTTGACCTTTTGACACCAAACTTGCTGAGTGGCAGCTTTGGATTGCCACTTAGATATCTGGGAGCAAGTTCAAGGTCATTTGCTTACAATAGAATTTTCAGCTTCTACTCAATAACTTCAGTGCACTTTGACCTATTGATTGCTTTCACATCAAAACTTGGTCGTTGAAAACCTAGTTTTCGTCGCATTGCGGCGCTTCTTGTTTTACTTGAAAAATGTTATTTTTTACTATAACTTCTTCAGTTTTAAAGGTATCTACCTCAAATTTCAAATACTTATTCCTTATCATCAATTACATCTTATGTGACAAGGTTCATAACTCTAGTTCTAATATTGCAAGAATTATCTCTCCATAAACTTAGATTTTTTTACTTGAAAAATGTTATTTTTTACTATAACTTCTTCAGTTTTAAAGGTATCTACCTCAAACTTCAAATACTTATTCCTTATCAGACAAGGTTCATAACTCTTGAAACAATATTTTCAGATTTATCTCTCTTTGAACTTAGAATTTTCTTTGAGAGATATTATAACAGGTATCTACTTCAAACTTCAAATATATACCGTATTTCTTATCATTACACACATGTGACAAGGTTCGTAACTCTAGCTTGACTATTTCCAGAATTATTCCCCCTTGAACTTGGAATTTATGTTTACAAATGTTATTTTTATGTCCCCCTTCAAAGAAGTGGGGGTATATTGCTTTGCATTTGTCTGTCCGTCGGTCTGTAGACCAAATGGTTTCCGAGTGATAACTAAAGAACACTTAGGCCTAGGAACTTCAAACTTGGTATGATGATTGTTCATGACCAGTAGATGACCCCTATTGATTTTGGGGTCAAAGGTCAAGATCAAATTGACCTTGTAGGTAAATAACTTGACAACCCATGGGCTGTTGGCCCTCAAACTTGGTAGGTGCATTGGACTTGACCTGTAGATTACCCCTATTGATTTTGGGGTCAAGGGGTCAAAGATCAAGGTTGCCTTGACCTTGTAGTTAAAAAAGTTTCCTATCTAACTTGACAAGCTATGGGCTTTTGGGCCTTAAATTTTGAAGGTGCATTGGTCTTGGCCAGTAGATGACCCCTAATGATTTTGGGGTCAGGGAATCAAAGGTCAAGGTTGCATTGACCTTGTATTTTCAAAATGGTTTTCTATCAATAACTGGACAACCCATGGACCCTTGACCTTCAAGCTTTACAGATGCGTTGCTTTTGGTCAGAAGATGACCTCAATAGATTTTTTGGTGTTAAGGGGTCAGAGGTCAAGGTCACATTGACCTTTTAGGTAAAAACGGTTTCCGATCAATAACTTGACAACCCATGGGCTGTTGGCCCTCAAACTTGGTAGCATGCATTGGACTTGACCTGTAGATTACCCCTATTGATTTTGGGGTCAAGGGCACAGGTGCATTGGTCTTGGCCAGTAGATAACCCCTATTGATTTAGGGTCAAAGGTCAATGTCATATTGACCTTGTATGTAAAGACTGTTTCTGACCAATAACTCAACAACTCAAGTTGCCTTGGTTGATATTTTTATATTAAACTAAAAATCCTTTTGGTATACACATTTCAAGGTCTTATGTAATATAACAACTTGGCTGTCATTAATGAGGCCTACATGATTCATAAAATTTATGCATATATTATTTGGTAAGATTTGAAATAACTTTGTCATAAAATTGCTGCACACAACCTTTGTGGTCATAACCAGTAATTAACCCTCATTGATTTTTTGGTACCTAGGTCAAAAGTCAGTCATAATAAACTGATCACATGACTAATTGGCTGTCGATAGGGGGCATACATGTTTTACAAACATATCTTGTTTTACTATAACTTAATACATAATTGAGCCGCGTCACGACACAACCAACATAGTGCGTTTGCAACCAGCATGGATCCAGACCAGTCTAGGCATCCAGGATACATGCTGTTCACTATCAGTTTCTCTACTTGTAATAAAGTTGGTAAGCGAACAGCATGGATCCTGATCAGACTGTGCAGATGCTGGTCGCAAACGCACTATGTTGGTTTTGTCATGATGCGGCTCAATTATTATACATAATTGATTTTTCTTTCATGGTTTTTTCTTCCTTACTGCGTCTAGTATTTTATTAGTCGAGGTTCGATGTCTCCTGTGACAGCTCTTGTTACAATAAACTGTTCCAAATTCGAAGTAATACAAGCCATTTATACAAACCAATGATTTTTTTTCAAAACAACCTGTGGCTTTCTGAAGGGAAAATATAGCACTATAAATTAGAAAATCTAAATCAAATTCTTACAAAGAATGGAATTTACCTACATTTTATAAAAAAAAATTCAATTCAGTTTTACATGCATGGTGCAAGCAGAGACTATTTATAGCCAAATAAATTTATCAAGAAGCTGATAAGTCACCTGCTGTTCAGTCATGGTTCTGGTGAAGAATGTGTACAGAGCATTTTAGGGGAAAATATACCTATTTTTGGCTAGGGGAAACGGCGTTTATTTGGCTGTAAAATACAGGGAAAAAAATCACTTCAAAAACCTTGTGAGTAATTTTCTTGTTTTGTCAAGATACAATGATCTTTGTATGTTCATCTGCATTCCACATCAGATTTGAAATATAGGGGTTGCTTGTTTCTGTGTGACAACTGATCTCAAGACATTCAGTCTTACCCCTCACCTCCGATTCAGAAATCATGTGGTTGCTTGCGGAAAAATTGGTAATAACTTGTTTGTTATACAGGAAAGCTAGAGAGGTGGTCTTGTCACCAAGATACAACCAAAATTGTGTTAAATTCTGCTTAAAACAATAACTAACATACACGATCTCCATATATAAACCTGTACACGGCTAATGGGTTAGAAAAAACAACATAAAACAATATCAACATTTTTATATTTTTTATTAAGTGTCACATTTAGTATATTTGTATTATTTTTAACAATTTTAAAATGGAATAAATAAAAACAATATATTCACAGGATTCTTAAATATACAAAATTTCATTATTTTATGGCAAAAATCAGTACACAAAAATCAATCATAATTTAACAAATTCATTCTATGAGCAAAACATAAATAAAAACATAAATAAAATGATAATATCATCAGAATCAATACATGCTTATTAAGTTAATCCATTATTTATTTCTGATAAAATATGGTTAAAAGTGACTAAAGGGTGATAATTTTACATGATACAAATGGTAAGGTTTTTCTGGTCCTTATATATATTGCCATACAAACTACATACCTTGCTAAATGTAAAAAGTCCTTAAGGAGCATGCCTCCAGATTCATGCTAATTTTCATGAAATAATTTAAAATGTATTTTAAGTAAAATATTAAAATGTGTTTTTAAAGTTAAATATTGTCATGTGAAAAAAGAAAGTACAATGTAATTTGCATATTGCAAATAGCACTTACAATCCACAAAGATCCAAATATGCAAAAATAGCCCTTAATGCAATAGAAATAAGGTGATCAATACTTCAAAATCAATTGATTCATTAATTGCACAGAACAAGTATATTATTTCTTGCATTTTTCTCAAGTTGTTTTCATTGAAATATTTTTGCTCATCTGGAGGCATGCAGCTTTAAAGAAAATAATAAATTGAAGCAAAAACAAAATAACAAGGATCTATTGCCATGACAGAGCTTGTTTTGGGAAATAACAACCAATAAAGAAAAATATAAATAAAATTGCGATGGGGCCCAAAGTAAGCCAAAAACCAAATCCAGTGACCATTTATGATAATTATAGTATTATTATATTAAAGAAGTAGGTAACAATTATAATTGTGATAATCATGATGAAATAAGAAATAACCATCAAAACAAAAAGTGTTTCTTTTATATAACTGCCAACAATTATCACAAACTAAAATGGCCTTGCATTCAGCTTCGGTAAAGTGATTGAATGCCAAAAATCTCTCACTAATAAACAAAATGGAACCATTTTTCAGTGAATAGAAAACTCAACAACCTGACAAAGGCATTTATAAAATCTTAAACTGAAAGTAGGAAAAATCTTTTACACAAAAAGCCATTAAAGTAAACAAAATAATGCAAGAAACAAAATAATTAAGATAAATACAGAATTTCATATCTTTAAAAATCCTGTCATTTTACACAATACAACATGTAAATGTAAAAATGGGCGATATATTGTTCCTTTTCGGCACTATCTTGAAATTTTAATAATCTGAACCCCATGAAAACAGTTTGAGAGTTCTAAAACTGAAACCAGACTCTTGTCATTGGTCAATTTGTTCAAATATGTTTTTCTAAACTAACCAATCACAAGCTTGACAAAGTCAGAGACCAGTTTCTGATTTAATTTCCTTTTCTATCCAGCTCTTTGATACATTAACCAACTGAATTTCTAAAAATAGACCTATTCAGCTTCCAATTTTGGAACTGTCCATTATCAACTATAGGGATATCAAGATGAAAATCCATTTTAAGCAGGTTAAAGGTTATGATCACATGGCAACTTTTCAGGATTACTGTGTGAAGGCAGACTGCAGCACAATGGCTAGTAAAATATTTCAATTTCCGCAGATTAAAGATTCCCATAATTAAGTCTGTTTATTGCATGATTCCGAGTACATTGTACTAGGAAACGCCAGTCTGCTATGCAAGAGATATAAAATCTGTCATTAAACAAATAATGTCCATACAGCTACCCTATTAAGCTACCACAAGATATGTTGCCCATGTGAAACTGTTAACAGTGTATAAATGAATACCATATTAAATAATTTCACTAAGTTCAAGAGAAGATTTCACTTAGTTAAAGAGTAGATTTCACTAAGTTTATAGTAGATTTCACTAAGTTCAAGAGTAGATTTCACTAAGTTCAAGAGTAGATTTCACTAAGTTCAAGAGTAGATTTCACTAAGTTTATAGTAGATTTCACTAAGTTCAAGAGTAGATTTCACTTAGTTAAAGAGTAGATTTCACTAAGTTTATAGTAGATTTCACTAAGTTCAAGAGTAGATTTCACTAAGTTCAAGAGTAGATTTCACTAAGTTCAAGAGTAGATTTCACTAAGTTTATAGTAGATTTCACTAAGTTCAAGAGTAGATTTCACTAAGTTCAAGAAGAGATTTCACTAAGTTCAAGAGTAGATTTCACTAAGTTCAAGAGTAGATTTCACTAAGTTTATGAGTAGATTTCACTAAGTTTATAGTAGATTTCACCAAGTTAAAGAGTAGATTTCACTAATTTAATAGTAGATTTCACTAAGTTCAACAGTAGATTTCACTAAGTTCAAAATAGATTTTATTAAGTTAAATACTAAATTTCACAAAGTTCAAGAGAAGATTACACTTCGTTCAACAGTAGATTTCACTAAAGTTCAAAGAAGTGTAATATACATCATTGATTAAAAATTTCACATTAATGATCCAACAGAGTTTTTAAATAACATATTACAACAAGATCTAATGATAATCATTTTTGTACAGTTCATGTCTATATCAATACAAAGTCCTATTGCCTTAAAAACTGGTTTTGAGTTCTTATGAAAATAGCTCCAACACTAAAACTTATCCTTTATTTTACAGACTATCTGAGCCAAGTATAAAAGTACATGTACAAAAATAAAAAGACTACCCATATATATACATGTGTATATAATTTTGGAGAGAAACATAGAGACAGATACATTTGACTCTACTTTTAATCTGATTAAAAAAAAAGTCCTTATTTTACATGATTTAGTAACTATAAAAATTTCAATAACAAACATAATGCAAAGTGCAGCAAACTCCTGAATAATGTGAGTAAAATATATATATGTACTTTTTCATTCTTGTTCACTGATTTATTATTATCAAGTATTTCCATACTTTGATATTTCTAAGAATAAGAACTTTTTTTAAATACTCAATTTGTACACTCAATTTGTACCATATATAACAACAAGCAAATAGTAAGGTGTAGTAGAAAAAGAAATATTTGAAGACCAGTCAAAAAACACTAGCTTCTGATTGGCTGCCTGAAACTACAATTGTTAAATTAACCAATGGCATGGTAGCACTACAAGACTGATTCCATTAATTTATCATAATGTATTTTGGTTCAATTACTGGGTACAAATCAAAGAGTTCATAATTCTATTGGCAATTGAACTTTCTTCTTACTTTTTTTGCTTTGTGCTTATCATACCATAGCAAATGAAGATATCACATGCATGTTGTTCATGTCACAGAGAGTGATGTCACACATGAATGAATATGTCACACATATGTTATGCCATATGCAGTGTTACACAACACATTACAATTATTATGTCACATACTCTTGTGTTGTTACAAACAGTAACATTACACTATGTGTTTAACAGGTCATATAATCAATTGTGTTGTCACAAATATACGTGTCACATCAAAAATCATTTATCACATGTCACATGTATGTAATGTCACAAGGAATGTTGTCACATCTCTTTAAGCTAGTGAGTTTAAATAATGTGTGCCCAACAAGACACATCCCTATACTAAATAAGTACAATAATCTTAGAATATATAGAATTGAAAAAGCATATTTATATATATTAAGTCCATTCAAACTACATATGCTCTGTATATATTTATATCAGAATCGAATATATAAAACATATATTTAAATGAAATTAATATATCACTATTGCCATATAACATTTCTTGGTATAATAATAACAACAACAATCTCCTTACATATAATTTGTTATAATAGAGAAAAGACAACCACAATGTTTGATCATATCACAATATAGGTTAACATTTATAATCTACAATATTTTCACACAATATACATATATAATGTTAACATTTACTCACTCTATTATAAAATCCTTGACTTGCTTTGACCAATTTTAGTATATGTTACACTAAGGTCAACAACCAAAATAATTCATGGGTGCAAGTTAAAAAATACCTGAAAACCCTGAATTAAGATTATTTCAATTGGTTTTATATATAAAAAAAAGATATTTCAGGAGTAGAAAATACCTAAACTTCAGGCAAATGCCTGAAATTCTGTACCAGTATGGTCTGGTCAGACTGTCACAAAGTGAAGCCCGGGGCCCAGGTTTGTGCTGACTATGTACTCAGTAGCATGTTCAAGCTTATACAGCCAATATGGGAACCTAGTATTTAGATAAATTCTTTTTATTTGTAATCTTTTCATTTATATAATAAAGTACATGTACATAAAATAAATTTTAAGGATTGTGAAAGAAGATTAAAAAGCTTTTTTGAAAACTCTGTCGGATAATTTAGTAACAACATTTGACAAAATTTTTACATAGTATGGTTTCTAAGATATAAGACTTATATTTAAAGCATCTATCTCTAAATGTCATTCCTACACTAACACCTATATACATGTATTAACAATAATTTACTATTTATATCTGACTTATAGTGAGTATATTACGATATGCTTATGAACAATATAATCTTATTTACTAGATAGCTTTTATTTTAAATTATAGTTAATCAATATCCAATTAATGATTGAGACAGAAATTTACATTGTGAACAAATTTCTGAAAAATAATTTTCCAATCCAATTTTTTGCATCATCTAAAATTTCTGAATTTGTTAAATGGATATTCAGAACTGTCCACAAATAACTCCAGGGACTTCTGCATCAAACTACTATAACTGAGAAGCCTAATAGTTTCAAGTGAAGTCATAGATCTGTTGAAGATGCTGACAGAATTTCAAGGGTCAGTTCTCTTTCAACAAGATACAGACTCCTCTCCCCTTTTCCAACATACAGCATTTCATGGTGACCCTTATGTTAAAGTGTGACCTTTGTGATGAGGTGTGACCTTTGTGATTAAAGGTCATATGTTTCACTTAACTATTCCAAATTCCGATGTGTGTAAATCAATTATCAGTGGAATTATAGAAACCTACAGATTTATGGGATTGTGATTATGACTTTTAATTTAAATGCATATGACCTCATAACATAAAGGTGAGCATATGACCTCATAACATAAAGGTGAGCATATGACCTCATAACATAAAGGTGAGCATATGACCTCATAACATAAAGGTGAGCATATGACCTCATAACATAAAGGTGAGCATATGACCTCATAACATAAAGGTCAGCATATGACCTTGTATTACAAAGGTCAGCATATGACCTTTAATCACAAAGGTCAGCACATGACCTAGTTTCACAAGTCATAATACAAAAAACAAAGATTAAAACACATGACCAGTAAGTGGTTTAATCTAAAATACTGGTAGTAGATAAACAAACAGTAAAAAAGAAACTTTGATTTTTACAGGACTAAAATGGAATGTTTTTAGACATAAAAATTACATTACATTAGAGCAGCAAACCACCAGAAGAATCAACAATTTTTTCAAGAAATGCATAATATGATTAAAAGATATGATTATACATATCTAAAATTCATGTGTTGCTGCAAGATATGAAGACAACTATTTTCTTTTATCTAAATACTTTCTAAATTTTCAACACAAAAAAAATCTGCACAAAACTGGAGGTTAGTTGCTTTAACAGTAGAAATTGAATTTAACATTACATATTCATATACTGCTATATAGCAAAGAAACAAAATCTGTACTTGCAATTAAATGTATGTGAACACAGCAATAACATGTATGTGAACACAGCTATCACATGTATGTGAGCACATTTTGCGAGTCTTATGAGTTTTTTTATTGAAACTTTGTAACATTTTTTCCTCAATATTTTCACTAATTAAATACCTGATTTTCATTACCTTCTATGCATTTTAATATAAATTCACTGAATATGAGAAGATTCTCTCAATTTAAATATATATATATTATACTGACCTTTGACCTCAAAACTTCCAAAAATGGTCACTAAACATATTGGTATTTATTACAGAAGCATAATTTCATGCACATATATAAAGCAAATCAGTAACTATCTATTTTTCCCTAAACACTATAATGCCATCCTATAAAATCTCAATGGAATATCACCAAATACTTTGTAATCTATCTCTCTTAAAACCATAACATGACAGTTGTAGATTGCAACTTTTCACTTTGTTCTTCAACAAATATTTGCAATTAAATGTTTATGAAATTATTATGGAACACATCACATCTTGTACAAAATGTTCAAAATAAATGTTTTTAATCTGTGTAAAATAATAATTACTGTGTAATAAATAATCTATAAATAGATCTGACCCAGAATAAGTAAATGTCTGCTCAGAATTGATGAAATCAGTGGTACATAACAAATTTCCTTATATCACCACTTTACATGACTTGTAAAGATAGAATAAATAACCTACAATGTATATGACCAGAATTAATATACATGTAATAGCTTAGACACAGAAACAATTCAGTCTGAATTTATACAAAAACAATAATTGTTTAGACAGATTTATAGAGTAACAGTCTTCAGCCTGAATTTATATGGAAACAGTAATCCCTTATACTGTATTTATCAGAAAACAGTAACCTGTTGGTCTGAATTTATATAGAATCAGTGATCATTAAGAACCAATTTATACAGATACAATAATTGATAAGCTAAATTTATACAAAAACAGTAACTGGTTAGTCTGAATTTATACAGAAATCATATAGAAAAACAGTAATTACTTAGTCTGAATTTATACAGAAATTCATCTAGACTGACTTTCTACTTAAAACAGTAATTACTTAGTCTGAATCTTTACAGTTATCATTTAGGCTGAATTTAAACAGAAACAGTAATCAGTGAGTCTGAATTTATATAGAAACAGTAACAATTTAATCTTAATTTATACAGCAACAGTTAGACTTACTGTAAAATCATTATTATTCGTGGGTCACGAATTTTCGTGGTTTTCGTGGGTAGGTCAATCCACGAATTTAAGATCCCACGAACTTTTATCCCAACAAATACTTCTTACCAAGTCTTTGTTTTATGTATTACAAACATGCGTTGGCTCTGTTCCGGCCGATATTTCGTGAAATGGGTGTATATACAGACAGATAATCAGGTTAGTGACATATTAAATCCGTTTACAATATATAAGACACTTGAAAGAAAACTCGATTATATGTCCTCAATTTACTGTCACAAATGTCGCATATACGTACTTGATCGTTGTAGTCTACTATGACTTGATTGTGTCAACAAGAATACTTGACATAATCGAATAAATATGGGAACCCAGGCAGTGCAATAATTAGCGCTAATAAAAATTGTCAGTTTGCTCTTATTTATTAAAAAAAGTATTTGATATTATTGTCGTAAGTACACAAAATTATAAAAAAAATGCGATCGCTAAAACAGACTTATTGTACATTCTTTTGTCGTTTTAAATGATCAAGTTTATATGAATTTTAATCTGTATTTGTGCGAATGCTATTCCGTCAACATCAAAGACGCCACCGATTTTTACAAGATATAAAAAAAAAATACAAGATCCACACATACTTGTGTTATTTACCGAGATTAATTTTATGCATGTAATTTACACAGTCGCTGTGACGTTGCGTGTAGTTAAGTACTGTCATATATGTTAAGACCAATTAAGGGTGTAAACTTACTCGCTGGTTAAAACCTGTAGGGTGTAGTATAAATTATGCGATGTTTACATCGGCGAATTACAGGGGCAGTGTGTATATCATGTCACATAAATGTGTTAATTGCAGTAAATTATCGGCAATAACTGTGCTATATTAGTTATGCCCAGAGGCAAGGATTAAATTTATTGACAAGCGCTGTGTGACAAGTCAAGATATGTACATGTTGTAAGTAAAAATGTTCGGCGATTAAGTTTAAGATTATTTTGCATTTGCTAGGTAACTGAATTTTTTTTAACAAGAAAACGAAAATCCACGAATTTAAGAACCCACGAAAATGCCCTTTTTGATAAAACCACGAAATTTCATGCCCACGAATTTAAGTGAATTCGCAGTATATAAATCTATAGAAAGGTAAACAAATGGACCATTAATCCCTTTTACTTTGCCAATCAATTAAAACAAATACAGCAATGTTATTTGTTTTGTTTTTCTTTACATGATTTCTTAAAAAAACAAACAAAGAAAACATTCAATAACAAATGAAATTAAACACAAATATCACACCTTGGCTATTGTTACACAACATTTATCTGCATTGTTATAATGTTAACATAAAACCAATCTGAATAAGATATGATTTCAATAATCTAAAACAGTTCTAATTTGAAGCTATAACTTAGTAAAATATTTCCATATTGTTTGACTTCTAATTGTTTTATTTTTTCTTGTCTTATTAATTGAAATGATGTTTAACTATTCCAGTATCTAACTATAGATTCCCTCTCTGGTAGCGCTCGAAATTTCATAGATCCATCAACACCGCAGGAAAACAAGTGATGTTTTGGTCCTATTGCAACTTGAGTGACACCGGTTGCTGATCCGACACTCCTGAAGAAAGTGTTACTTCTGGTATGCTCTCCTTGGAATGCAACAATTAACTGGTGAACATCTAGTCCCCAAACCTGCAAAATGCAACAATTAACTGGTGAACATCTAGTCCCCAAACCTGCAAAATGCAACAATTAACTGGTGAACATCTAGTCCCCAAACCTGCAAAATGCAACAATTAACTGGTGAACATCTAGTCCCCAAACCTGCAAAATGCAACAATTAACTGGTGAACATCTAGTCCCCAAACCTGCAAAATGCAACAATTAACTGGTGAACATCTAGTCCCCAAACCTGCAAAATGCAACAATAAACTGGTGAATATCTAGTCCCCAAATCTGCAAAATGCAACAATTAACTGGTGAACATCTAGTCCCCAAACCTGCAAAATGCAACAATAAACTGGTGAATATGTAGTCCCCAAATCTGCAAAATGCAACAATTAACTGGTGAACATCTAGTCCCCAAATCTGCAAAATGCAACAATTAACTGGTGAACATATAGTCCCCAAATCTGCAAAATGCAACAATTAACTGGTAAACATCTAGTCCTCAAACCTGCAAAATGCAACAATTAACCAACAAACATCTTGTAATTAACCATCAAACATCTTGTCCCCAAAATGCAGGGGCAAAATGGCCACTTTCCAGTTTTACTAAGTTGGCCCTTCACACTGTATTTAAGCACAGGCAATAAGTAACTGACCTGTCACATTTGCCTTCAGCTAACTAGATATCTAGCCCACAATTTAGAATCAAAAGTCCCTGGCAAGTGTTCAAGGTTACAAAGAATTTACCTAAGCTCAAACACAAATCTCAAATATTTAATGGTAAAAAATCAGCACATTATGTATATTCTTCAATGAAAAGGAGTCATTCATGTGTTTACAGAGGCCACAGCAAACCTGGGTTATAACATAATGAAATGAAGTTTTTTTTTTCTAATTTAAACAAATATTTACCTTTACATCACCATCTGCCGATCCAGTCACAAAATATTCTTCCTCTGGATCCATTGCTAGGCAACGAATTATAGATTCATGAGCTTGGAATGTATGTCGCATCTGACGTTGACGTATATCAAATATACCTATTTTGTAGTCAAGGAATTTCAAATATAAGAATGTAATTAATTTCTCATTTACGCAAAAAAGAAAAAGAAAATAGCTTACTCATCTGCTTCCATAATGTCATGAAATTGATAAATGCAATCTACTGATCAATCTTTGGCCTAAGATATTCTGTAATTCAAAATTTTTGAGAATCTGGAATATATGTGTAATAGCTATGCAACTTTAAAAGACTATGTATAACACTGAATAATGTAATCTGTTTAATAAACATTGTTTATATAGTACATCCTTTAAGCCTTAGCCTTGTGGCTGCAACACAATATACTTAAAGTACTGATAATTAAATACACATTTAGGGTACAAAACTTGCTTCATATCAATAAATATTTCATTTTATATCTAAAAAAATTACCAAAGCCTAATCCTAAAATACATGACCAACCCAAAAATTCATTAACAACATGATGAAAAATACCTAGTACATTCAAACATTATCTGAATATCTCAATTAATAATTATCAAGGATACATATTTCTCCCTTCCTTCCACCACTGATCAGCAACTGGTGATGTGGGGCATATACCAGGGCAGGACTTCCATGTTCATGACAAGTAAATGCTGAAAAAGTTTACACATCTATTAGTGTATGTATCATCAAATCTCAGAATGTATACTTCAATATAGGGCCTTCATCGGAAATTGCCATATTTACATATTGTAATGGGATTCTCAACAGTTTGATAATAACTATGTGAAATTTTGAATATCAATTCAAATCAAAGTGTCACAAAGCAATAAAGTGATAAATGGAAACTCTAAATTAGCACATTTGCATTTATTTTGCTTATGAAATTCTTTGACTGATTGTAAAAGAAATGGCGACTGTTACTGTTTACATTGTGTGTACATGCATCAGGTTAACAGCATAAGGTATTTCTTCCTGTCTGTTGTATTTCTTATATCTAAACCCTGCATAACTAATACCATGAAGACAATTTAAAAAAAAAAAAATTCTTGAATATATTAATATGTTTGAAATTTGACTTGATGTATCATCAATATTTACTCATCGATATATTGATAAACAATCAATGACAATCCTACTCTAATTACATTTATGTGAAATGAACACTTAAAACTCATTTGCTGTGGTGTAGTGGTTAGCACACTGGACAAACAATCCAGAGACCGGCAGTTTGAGTCCTGGCTGTGGCTCGATTGATTTTTCGTGTGCCTTTTCTGTGTATTATTTTCTGCTCATAATTTCCTCCCTTTCTTCTCTAATATACATAAATCTAAATGTTATATCATTACATTGATGAAAAATATTTCAAAGCATTTTAATGCCTTACAAATGACACTGGTTAGTCACAGAAAATTTTATGTTACCATGGACACAAGCACTCCTTGGAGGTAGAAGTGTATCCCAGAGACAAACATTCCGACTTTCTGACGAGTTGCCAGCTGTTGCTATTAAACTTGATGATCCAACAAATACAAAATCACTTGTTGTCTTATTGTGACACTGAAAACTCTGAAAATCAAAATTAATACACTTAATATCAAAATACCTAAAATTCAATATAAGCCATTGCATAATTCTAAATTATATGTAAGTTGTTCAATAAATTCAGTATTGAACCTACACTCATTCAATATCCTTTAAATATCTATTTTGAAGTTTAAATCAATAAATGTACATACCATGATAGGTTTGTTAAAGTTGATACCTGGTCCAACTTGCCATAAACACATGTTCCCTTCACTGTCACTTACACTACACTGTAATTACAAGTAATATATACAGTATGTACATACTTATATATTTAAACAATTTGTATATTAGAACATGGAAGTTGAATTAACACAACAATAGCAGTAGCATCAATTGATCCTCCTAAAATGTCACTTAAATAAAGCTAATTACATGATCTTTCTATGAGGAAATTTAGGTAAAATCTATTTTATGCCTCTGTAATCTTAATGTCCCACAAGCCGTAGAGGTCCATGGAAGGGACAAACATGACAAAAAAAATTAATATAAAAGGAACACATCTAAGTGTTCAGTGGCCAAGGGAGGCAGTACAAGTCAACCCTGATATGAACACCAATTTAAGAAATATAAATCTCGCACTTTCTTCAATAGTTGAACTTATAGACTAAATATCTGAGAGCAAGGATCACACCAGTGACCCCTGGATTACTTATCTGATGCTCTCTCTCTATTGTACTAAATGAGTGATTTAAATAACCTTTCTAAAATAAATATAACTAAACAAATCACTGTGACAGGAACTCTTACCTTATTCCCATGTGAGTTGAAGAGGACTTTAGTGACCTTGGGGAAGTTCCCAGGTGATCTTAACATGGCCAGTGGCTGGGAATGACCCCACTCCCACAGTCTTACAGAGCCATCAGAACTTCCTGTCAGATCTGAACAAAACAAAATGTTGCCTTCAGTTTTATTATATATCAGTTGTTTTTGTTTTTTTTGACAGGTTTGTGTAGGTAATTTCAATCTTTCACCTTTTAAATGAGGAATGAAAATCAAAACAATAGAGAAACAAAGATATTGAAACAAATTTAACAAGCAAATTAGTTGAATTTATATCACCCGCCGAGTACTGGTTATTACTAACACAACAACTAAAGACATAAGGCTTTATTTATATATTTATCATGGCATAAACAGTAATATTCTTTGTACAAAATAAATATTCAGGGCAATAACAGAGCCATAATTAAGTCGGTGTTAAATAGTTATATCTGGACATGGCAATGAGATGTTAATTGCCTTTTTGTATCTATGGTTCCCATAAAGTTTTGTTGAAATCAATACAGTAGTTGCAAAGAAATAGCAATATTGCACTATATGCATACTACATAACTAATCAAGGGCCATTACTCTGTAATGAAGGGTTTAGTCTAAACAAGGCAACAAATTATGCACATCTCATCTTGGTATTAATGGTTCCCATAAAGTTTAATTGAATTCCAGCCAGTAGTTGGAACAAGGCGATGATATGGTATTGAAGGTTCCATAAAGTTTGCCCTATATGCATACTGCATAACTAATCAAGGGACATAACTCTGAGTTTAAGTGTCTGACCGGAACAAGGCGACGATATGCGCATCTCCTCTTGGTATTGAAGGTTCCCATGAAGTTTCGTTGAATTCCAGCCTGTAGTTGCAGAGAAGTAGCGCAGAAACGATTTTTGCTCTATTTGCATAATGCATAACTAATCAAGGGGCCATAACTGAGTTGAAAGGGCTGACTGGAACAAGCCGACGAAATGCGCATCTCCTCTTCATATTGATGATTCCCATATAGTTTCATTGAATTCCAGCCAGTAGTTGCAGAGAACTAGTGCGGAAACGAAATTCGGACGGACATACTTATGAAATGGTACTTATGTGACTTTTCCTTTGATCTTTTTAGCCATTTTTAGTCACACAAGGCCTAAAAAAAGACACACAAGTAAAAACGGAATGAATAGGATCAAAGGAAATGTACTGTTACCCATTGTTCTCCAAGTTACACAAGTACCTCTGGGTTTGTACAGAAGGATGGACGAATGGAAGGACGGACAACTCCAAAACAATATCCCCCTCCCGATTCCATTGATTCCATAACCATAACCACTGTATGTTTAACACATAAAAAATATAGATAGGATTTTGCATAAGTTGCCAATGCCTTATAGTGTTTTACTGAACAAGTCTAGGAAATTATCATTTCAGCTAACCTGGGTCAAGCATTTTAACAGTTCTGAGACAAGTAAAATGTTTGACAGGTATAACCATCATGACAGCAGGACGGGGGTTAAGAGAAAACTGTACTTACAATGAGGAAGCGAGGGGTGAGAGCTGATTCTCCTCACACCAGGTATAGCACGTCTTGAAACCTGTAAATATCAAATCATTATCTTGTAAAAATGATATAAACTAAAAATTTGAATAATCACGTTGTTTTCAAACATATAAAAAGTTAAAATTCTATCCCTTCATCATATTTCTTCTTCTAAGTTTTAACCTGCTTGTTAAGACCATACCTGAATCAAGACTGTATGTATATTTTTCAGCTTGCTATCTTCTCCTAACTGGTATATTGTTAAACTTATGTCCAAATAATACCACATATGACCATAGTGACCAAAATTCTACTTTCTTATCTGAAACCATTTCACCTTTTAAAGCCTAGTTTATTATAATACAATCTTTTCCACACAAGAATTATGTCTGTTCACATAGATACAGTATCTAAAGAAAAGTATAATTCTGAAGGAGATGCGATCATTTTTTTACCAAACACACAAGATGGTTTTTATTCCTTTAAAAAATCATTAAACAACAGTGAAATAAGTAAAACTAAAAATACACAAAAGACCAGTGACTAAAGTAAAACATTTAACAAGACACATGTTCTATTCCTAAAACAACAGCTATTTTTTCTTCTTCTCAATTTATCTGTTGTTGAATTTTAAGCCATGCAGTCACTGTTTAAGTCTGACAAGCTTTTCCAGCTTTATAAACAAAGGAAAACTCGGGTGTGCCCAGAAATATGAGTGACATCATTGATAACTCCCTGATCTGATTAAACTTTTTACATTAAAATAAGTATGAGAAATAAGTATGAGAAAAAGTTTTTAAATAAGCACTTCATGGCACCATTAGCTTAATTAATTAATTTTCTTCCAATCCACCCATGAAGAGTTGTGATTCATGCACAGTACCTATATAAAATATTTTAGACATTGAACAATAAATGATGGTATTCTGAAAGATCTTTAAGTCTTTTTCGGTAAGTGACAGAAAGAAAAACAGACAACATTTTTTTTTCATTTGGTGGGGAAATGCAAGCACATACATACTATAAGAAATCTGAAATGATTCTCTACAGTGATAACCACTCAACAAAACAACAAAACTGTATGAAATTTCTATGCTAATATTTATTACAATAAAACAACAACAATAAGAACAACAGCAGCAGCAGCAGAATTAGCAACAGACCTGAAGCATTCACAATATATACACACATGATAGGGATGTTGTGAGGTGAAAGATTGAGATTAAAGTTCTTATACATGTACTAGTTTAAACCATCAACCAGGGGAAGATTCAAACTTATCAAGAACCAGTCAATATAGAGAAATATTAACTTGAGTATAAGGACTCCATTCTTTACTTGTGTCTGAGGAACCAGTCAACAAAGAATTATAAATAATTTAAATATGTCTTAGGAACCAAGTTAAGAATTGAGTGAGACACAAAGTGTTGGAGGACTAAATGCTGTATATACTGGACAAGTTGCTTGAATGATTAAATGCTAAAATCATGTCTTTTCACCCACGGAAATGCACTTTAGGATGCGTTATTCATCTATTCACACCAATTTATAAACGATCATAAATGAAAATAAGAATCAGCAAAAAAAGCCATAATTTTCTACTTTGTGATTAAGATTTCTGCAAGCGTCTAGAGGTACAGCTCCAACACTGTAGTGAGTTAAATCCTTAAGAATTGAGTATAAGGAACCAGTCACTAGAAAGAGATTCAATACCTATTTTTGAACTCGTCAATAAACACTGAACATAAATGCTTGTTAGTAAAAACTAAGATTCTATGAATTATTTTCTTAATTGGTTGACAACCTGGTATTTGTTAAGGAAAAAAACCTAGAACTAAAATATGTGTTGTTAACAACAGAAAATTTCTGTTATCTATCATGTTCACTTTAAGACACTAGAATCTTCACAGTTCACCAGGAACACTAAGGCACTGTAAGAAACTGTACATATTATCAAACCAGAAAGGCAAACATTTTATTGAAAAAGAAAGAAGATTCATAAAGGGCTGATTTAAAAGGTTGAAATATCCATTAAATTTAGAAATACAAGTTTTATTTTTAACATCCCAATCTTCACCTCACATGTAATTTTACCGTTTTCACCAAACGACGACTCCTATCAACTATAAGATAGGAGTGTAGAGGATTACTAGATGCTCCGTGGATATGAAAACCTTTCCCCTATTTTACAAGCATAATTCCAAAGCAGCAGAAAAAAGTGTGGAAAAGCAATAAGTTAGACATGAGAGCATTCAACATGAACAATATTCACAGAAAATGTTTAATTTCCTATGCTGTAAATTTTTTGTTTCAATTTTTCATGATATTGTGCTGTTGGCCACTGTTTTGTTTAATACACTATTAAATATTTCTTTCACATTGTTTTATTTCACATTGCTCAACATTCATTTGTTTAACAATTTTTTTGTTTAACACTGTCGTTTGACATTCTTTTGTTTGACATTGTTGTTTCACATTGATTTATTTCACATTGTAGTTCTGACATTGTTGAAGACTATTTCACATTGTTTCACATTGTTTAAACAATGTTTCATTTCATATTTTTTCACATTTTTTCTCTCACAATATTCTTTATAGTATTGTTTTGTTTCATAGATCAAACTGGTTGAATAATAATTACAACTTGAATATTTAGCAGACCTGAATCAATAAATGTGACAAATGCTAATTACAAGAATGTAAGTTCTTTAGTGAAATGATCTATGAAATAAAGTATTAAAATAACTGATGTGTTCCGTAACCAAATGTAACAACCTTATAGTCAGATGTCTTTCCTTTATCTAAAATTAACCATCAAAATTTTATTGTTTGCACACAAATTGAAAACAACAGTTTAAAAGATAAACACATGATTTGGATACATACCACACTGGTTCCTCTACCAGTCTGGGCTAGAGCAATCTGGCCTGGAGCCAGGTGTACAATAGGAGTTGAAGCAGTGGAGGACTGGTTGGTTTGTGGGGTGTTTGAACCGCTACCAGCATGTATGGGAGCATCTGTAGGGGTCTGTACCACCAGGAAGTCCACATTCTCTGCTGGATTTACAGGAGACGGACTGAAAACATAATACAGTTACATATAAAAATTGACATCTACATCGATTTACCTCAATTAAAGCATTAGTTAATGCATGAAGTACAATTTAATTACTTTTCCTATCATTTAAAGCTAGTTGAGCAAAGCTAGGTGGTGACATATTTAAATCAAAGTATAAAAAGCCAAGTCTCTTTACTTGTTAAATGCCTCTATGTCCATCTCATTTTCATCGTCAAGCCATAGCGGTGGATTCAACAAGTTATGAATGTCCAGCTCAATCAATTCCTTCTGGGTGGATAATGTTAAACAACTTGCATTTGCCTGAAAAATAACCATTATTATCACATCATGGTTATATAAAAAATATTCTCAAACTCAGATCTCAGGTATTTGATTGGTCAGAAACTGTCACAGAATGTACACTGACCAATGAAAATCCTGAGATTGGAGACAAAACTCAGAAAGAAAATTTTATAACCTTGAGGCTATTACTTTACAATTTACTATTTTTACAATCTAAAGGCAAGAGTAACAAATTGAAAGTCTGGAACTAGGCAGAAAGTGAAAGAAAAGTATTTAGTTTTAAAAGTAGTTTAAATGACACACATGTAAAGTTTTTTATATACATATATATACCAACACACATATTCAGACATCATTATATTCTACAATATGGCAAATCATTAAAATAACAATGAATATAATTATTCATATATAAAGAAACATTGAAAATGGAAACACCTATTGTTGACCATAAGTAAAAAATAAAGAAGCTGCCCTATCAACAGCTCACCCTCAACCTCTTGCTTAATACAACTTACTGAGCTTCAAATTCCTATTCAGTACTCATTAAAAAAGGTTAACAATTTTCACAGCAATAAAAAAAACATTCTCAAGTCAGAGACTGTGGGTTTGAGCCCTACTAGGGTTATGATAATGTTTCCTCATAGTGTCACCTTAGTTAGTGCAGTACTGGGTTAACTCCTTATAAAATTTAACCATAGTTAACCCTTTACTGCACTAAGGTAACAATTTATAACCAAAGAACTGGTTAGTTCAAGGAGTGGGATAAAAAGTAAATAATTTTTGTATCAAAAATTTGTTTCACAATTGAGCTTAAATAGGTATATTTAAACTTAACTTTAAACTTAACTGATACATGTATTTGTATTTCATGAGAAAAATCATTTTAATCTATACATTTGAGCCGCTTCACGGCAAAACCAACATAGTGCGTTTGCGACCAGCGTGGATCCATGCTATTCACTGTCAGTTTCTCCACTTGTAATAGAGTTGGTAAGCGAACAGCATGGATCCTGATCAGACTGCGCGGATGTGCAGGCTGGTCTGGATCCATGCTGGTCCCAAACCCACTATGTTGGTTTTGTTGCAACGCGGCTCATTTTTTTTCTTATTAAAAAAGACAAAATATTGAAAAATGAAACAAACAAAAGAAGACTGCCAAATAAAAAAAAATAAAAACTCATTACAAACTCATGCAAGACTTTAAGTGTTTTCAAACATGTTATATGACTGTCTTGAATATATTTTTAGTTACAATTCAGAATATTATTTTTACATCCATCTTTTCAACAAATTTTTCAGCTTGGAACTTATTTTTCAAGTACGTCCAATTCTTTGAATTCTTATCAAAATTGTCACATACCACAAACTAGTCAAAAACAATTTTCTTACACAATGTGTATTGGTAAATCACATTTCCACTTTCCCAAGTTAGTTAACCTGTTTTCATTCATTATGCTATTGACCTTTGACCTTACAAAAAAAACTTTATTTTACAGGATTTACCTGCAGAGACAAAAATCCTTGGCAATTTGCCACTATATAATTATCAAAAGTGTCCTTAACCTTTGATCTTTAAGAATTAAAATATAATATACATGTACTAGTACTGCTTCTTTGTATGATGCAACCACCAAGCCTTTACTGATACATTAACTTTGAAACATTGGGACATTGATTCTAAATATATGAAACTATTTGCTAACTTCATGCTAGTTGTGATACTGGCTGCACTAAAACCAGTAAAGTGAAATGGATTCATTCTAACTATAATGGGATTTTTATGAAAATGAGTGTATCTTTCTATATAAAACTATGGGGGGAAAATAGTTATACAACTTTTACTACATGGATGCAGACTATTTCTACCATATACCATATTTGGATTTTCCTTCCCTAAACTCTAAAAGCAACAATGATAGATATTTGATGTTCTTTCATGTGTTCAATTTTATTTATTTGATTCTAGAATCCATAGAAGCAAATAACAAAAAAAAAAATCAACCTCTCACACTGATTTAAAGACAAGAGAGCCCCTCAGGTCTTTGATCTCTCACCTATGAAACAAGGCAAGAATGTCATGACTAAAATCATCATATTAAGTCAATATTCTTAGACGTAATATACTATGTGTTGCAAGCCATGTATAAAACAAATCAATTTTTAGATCCTTTTATACAGTATCACCAGAAGTTCATTCTTACAGAGTTTCAGCAAAAAATGCACAGAGGGTCTGGGAGAAATGTCATTTAAAGTTTACTTTTAAGTCTACTTTCAGCTCTGATGGACATCTTCTTTGGCCAAAAGAACCAATCAAATTTTCAGTTTTGTAAGGACCATCTAAAACATATTTCTACAGAGTTTAATCAAAATCTGCTAGATGGTTAAATAAGAGATGAGTGGGTTTTTTTTAATTCTTAATTTAACCTCTATTGGCAATCTTGATGTGGGTTTCCTGGTGATCATTTTATTAAATGAACCTGAATGATAACACTGACAACAAATAAACAAAAGCTGAACACAATTGCTCACATGAGTAACAATTAGGCACTCATAATTATACCATCTAAGTTTTCCTAATAACATCAATAAAATACATGATGAATGTGTTAAAACTGGTAGGAAAATATGATACAATAAATGTAAATGACAACATGAAAAGCATATAGATCTCTGATGGTTATTATGAATGGACAAAGCTGTAGCATTAATAGGGGGTAGCCAGAAGTAAGTACAACAATTTTGTCAATCACGTGTCCTTACATTAATGTAAGTTCTCAAGGTCATTAATAAATGTAGAATTCTCAAATACCATATCATGTATATTCTACAATCTACATGAAACAATTTTCCCAATACCAAAGACTGTGCAAAAGGTCAGATATTCTAACCTTGAACTTTGACCTGCTGACTAGAAATGAATAACTATAGCAACTACAAAAACAGACCCAATGTTAATACTCTTACTTCAAGAGTAAGGACTGCCGTTACCTAAACTTTACCTCATAACAAGATTTGTCCCTCTTTGAATAAATGAAACATTCAAGTTTCAAATTAACATCAATGGTTATTCAGTAAAATATCTAAATTTAACAGCCAAAAGTATAAAGGTAGGTCAGACTGGTCACAAATTCATGTTGGCCCAACTCAATACTGCTGGCACAATTTGACATAATTGTCTGCTATCAGTGCCCACAGAGTTATAATAAATTGATAATTCTGACAAAATGTTAAAGAAGCAAAATATGTTAAAGCGAAGAGCAAGAGTTTACACTTTACATTACAATGAAAAAACAACAATTTAAATTTACAATTTAACAGGTGTTCAGCGTTTCTCTTCTAAAATATCACAAGTAATCATTGCAAACAAAACATTTATTTTTGCAGAGAAAACCCATTCTGATGTCTTCTCTAATAAGGAAAACAAGTAACAAGGCAATAAAACTTGAGATTGAATACCAGTCTGAAATCAGCCTCTAATTCTGGTATCCCATTGGTCTGTTCAAAATTGAAAACAGACCAATGGTAGAGCTCCATCTCCAGACTGGTACCCAATCATTGATTTATGTCCTTGACCTCAAGTGTTACATTCTCAAGCAAAGTTGTTAGCATTGTTAAGATTTCATGCCATCCAACACCAGTCACAATTTTCCATGTTTACTGGCAGAATAATAAATCTAAGTGACAAATAAGAATTAGGTATAGCAAAAGTGACCTACATATTTTGAATTTTTTTTTAAAGAATTTCTCATGATTTTATCTTATTTCAGAGATTGCTTGACAAAGTAAAATTCAATTCTAATTCCCTGATACATGGTTTATTTAAAATGTTTATTTTTCACATAATAAAACAGGACAAACAAGTGTGGTCTTATGCTGGTGTCCAACAGACAGCTTATTATTTTAAAAGCTTAAATTTTAAATCATACATGTGTAACAAATGCTATTAAAGACCATTTAAAAACAACAAACTGCTGAAATCTTGTTGGCTTAGATTTCTATTATTACATGTGCTCTGTTTACAACAGACAAAGAATAACCTTTCACAACCATGAACCAGACAAAATGACAGGGCATGTGCCTGATTGGACAAAAAGATAACACACAGTGCTACACTGCAGTTGCTTGTCCCATTATATCATGTCCCAGATATTGCGAAAAAAATATTCAAATTTAGTAGTGGATGACAGGAAATCTTAAAGATTATAAGAGAAACATGTCTGAAACATGAGACTATAGTATACATAAACCCATGCATATCCAATACATGACTTGAATGGTAATAAAACTTCAGCTTGAAAACCAGTCTATAAACACAGTATTCTTATTGGATGATTTTGAATTTGGAAACAGCCAATCAGCTGAAAGAATGCCCAGACTGGTCTTCAATCTCTGTTTTTTATAACCTAAGGCCTTGTATGGTTTTCCATGGAAAATATTAGAGACATAAAAAAAACTCACCTCATTAAAAACTATCACCTTGAAAAATTATTATATCATGTTAGTTATTATGAAAAAAATATTTCACAGAAGTAAAATTTTGTTAATTTGTAAAAATTAAAAATATCCAGAAACTGTTAATGACATATAATAGCATATGATTAATTTGAAAGTAAGAAAAATTTCCTCCAGTAATTTGAATACATTTACTTTTCTCTTCGCATGCTTAAAGTATCTAAATATCTTTTTTTTTTCCCTTCAAAATATCACCAAAATTCATAAATTCAACAACATACCCCAAACACACACTATTATAAGAAATTATGAATTTTATATCATTTAATGTTCTAGTAAAACAATGTTTAACCCTTCACCTGCCCAATTTCTTTAATGAACTAGCTTCAGTTTTTGGAACTGTCCATTATCAATTTTGGAGATTGTCCCAAAGAAAGTTCAAAGTTTGTCAGCCTTGGGTGAGACTGACTGCGTGGATGTGCAAGCTGGCCTGGCTCTAAACTGGTGGCAAGGGTAATTACTTTCGGTTCCAGAAAGGTAAGGGTTAAACAATGTTTAAGTCAGATGGTACACAGAAAAATTTGTTATAAGCACCAGTATAAATATTTTACAGATATGAACCTAAAATAGTCAAGTTTACATAGATTAGAGTTATAGTTAGCACCAGAAACTATTACGTTATAAGATATAAAGATTTTTGACAATTTATATAGCCGGCTATAAATGGTTGAAAATTTATATAACCTAAGCCTCAAGTTGAGGGTTTTATAGCTATATAGAAAACAATCATTTACACAGACATGGCCATACAACTTGTCATGACAAAATTCTTTATAAGAAATTCATAATACTGCACAGATGCTTTTTATAATGTAACAAGACCTGTCGGCATGCTCCCATTTCCTCAGTACCTGATAAAAGCAAAGCAGAAAAGAGGGAATAATTCTGCAAAAGTGCATGGCAGACTTACCTGCCTTTTATAGTACTATACAAGTATTTCAAGTTTCTTTGAAAAGTGGAGCTAAATATGGAATCTTATTCATACATGAAAATTGTTGTTACAAATGTGCAGTATTATAAATACAAGAATACACAAAGTCATGTACATCTTATGGTAGCCTACTAAACTTTTGTTTATAATAGCAATGTATATCTTGGTTACACAATTGTTTAATGGTTTAATTACATAATTATATGTATCATCCTTTTTCCATACAAACTAACCTGTATATTAGGCAGATTTTCAATCTAAAGAAATATTTATTATGTAAATAGGAATATTGTGAAGAAAATACAATATACAAGTACAAATGCAAATGTGTTTATACAAATGAACAAATGATTCCCCCCATACAAAGAAACACAATGAGGTCCAAAATCCTAATACATAAAATTTCAATTTCTTACATAGATCAACAGGAGCATTATAACAAGAAGTTATGCAAAAGATAATTAAGAAATATACTCAGAAATTAATTGAAACTCATATTATTCGACTATTCTTAGCTGGATTTGAGTGAAAAGCATTGAAACGCTTTTCAATTTTGAGTAATTTTTTTCAAAATTAGAATAATTATTTCGAAAGAAAAGAAGTGAGCGAAAGATCTGAAATTTTTACACATGTTATTGGTCTAGACCTAGATCAAATGAATTATTAATATCAAAAGATATTTCCAGTCCTGTTATATAAAAAAACCTCAGTGCAGTCCCTTTAATCAATTTTACATGAACAGGAAGTCTAAAGCAGTAAACGAGCTTCTTGTTAGTTAAAAGGAATTCATTACTGACAGAACAAACAGCTCTTAGTTTCAATTCAAAAGTATACATGAATGTCAAATTTTAGCCAGAATATATACATGTTTTTCCATCATTCACAAATCTCTTCTCATTATGTCTTTTTAAAACAAGTTGACAAAACTTTGAGTCAACTCTGTCTGTTTAAATTTCAAATTTTAAAAAATATAACATATCTGTCTAAACTTGATTCATTTTCATAATTGTATCTGCTTAAATTAGTTTAATCAATGTTTCTGCCTAATTAAATTTTAAACGGTCAGACTGTGTATATCTAAATTAGATTTTCAAAACAGTTACTGTGTATGTCTAAAATCACCAAAGTACAAGTTTGAAATCAAATGCCCATTTTTTTCTGTCTGAACCTAACAATATATATATTCTGGCCTAAAATTGACTAAATTAATCAATACACTCAAACCTGTGTGAAATGACCAAGCAGCATCTGCACTGAGTCAATTTTAGATGGTTATGCTTCACTTTTAAAATTACAGTAAAAACTTTTAGTAAATTCCCCATTTGTAAAACTTGAAAAAATTCCCTGTGAAAATCTTTTTATCTAACATGAATTTATTTCCAGACATTAAGTTGTAAGTCAGTTGTAAATTGTCAAATAGAATCCTGAATATAAAGCCTTTAATATTTAAGCCTTTATGTGGCAGTAAGACTCTCATAAAAGGTTTGACAGTACTAGAACAAGAACAGAAAAATTGTAAACTGTAGTGAGATATTATAGTTACCTGGTTAATTGCAAATGCTGTAATGATATCTTGTTCCTTATGAATAATTTTAAACGGCTCGGGAATTTTTGGCGAGTCCAAACCATCTATCGAAGAGTCCTGAAAAATAAGAAAAATTTCAGTGACAAGACTCTACAATAAACTGCATTAAATATATGGGGAAAAAACACTCTAAAAATGTATCTCTAGAACAAGGATGCCCCCACATTTTACTGTTTTGTCAGACTACAAAAAATCTGGGATGTCAGATGAACACTATTTATGTTATGAACTGACATAAAAAAACTATATAAACACAATGTTCAAGACCACTAATACGTGATGTCTTGTAATTATGTAGATAAACAAATTGACAAGATAATACAAACCTCTCTTTCACTCTGATCCAGCAGTTTCTGTTTCTTGAACACATATCGTACAAATATATCACGTAGTTTGTCCTCCCGTAACAGATGAAACCACAGCCTCTTTATTGGTAGAGTTGCCGGACTTTCACTATACCACAAACAATACACTAATTAGCCTTTGACATGCTTAATATTTTAAACAGACTTCTCAGTCAAGAACCATAAATAATTTAAAGATGATTTTTTTTATTAATTACTGAAGAAAATAATTGTTAAATGGTTAAAACCCAACTAAAAATAGCATCATAATATCATGTGAAACATTTTATTCTTACAATATTCATACAGGTTAGATATTACAACTTAAAATTGACTCAAGGTTGTAAAACCATAATAATTTTACTATAAATTTTTTGTAAGTTAGATATAGCTTTATACCCTTTAAAGATTTTCTTTCTGTTGCCATAGCAACTTGACTTTACAAAATATCTTTAAAAACAGAAAAAATATTCCTGCATAGTCAATCTTGTACAAAAAATTATCACTGCATATAATATTATATGTACTTACATAAAAGGACTATTTTTTTTGTTCAGCAGTGCTTTATATTTTGTTTTCGGGACTCCTGGAATAACCTCAAGTTCTAAACCAGGAATAAAGTTATCTGGAGCCGCGGCAAACAACTCCAGTTTCCCTAGCAACACTTCCTGCCATTGCTCTAATGTCCGCAATAATGCATGAAGGAGCGGTGAACACACGGGTAACTCTGTCATGATAAACATAAAGTCATAAACAACAGTAAACCTAGATACTATCAGAGATGTAGCTTCCTACTGGCAGTGATTTATTTTCTCCAAGAAAATGAGAAGAAACAGATACGAAAATAAAATAATCTATATAAGACTTAATTTATTTTATGTAAGTTTTGAGATGTCTGTTTATCTTATGTAGTCATTCACTTCCCAAATACATGTAAGTAGTAGTACAGTGTAACTTCCGAATTCCGGAACTTCTGAAATCCGGAAACTTCTAAAAACCGAACAATTTTTTCGGTCCCGATTTTTTCCCTTCTATTTTCAATTAATATAATACTTCTGAATTCCGGAACTTCTAAATTCTGAATTCCGGACGATATTTTCGTAAAATTTGAGTCAAATCAATGCAATTTTACCTCCGAAAACCGGAAATATCCAAAGGTGTGAAATACATTGTAAATCGAGAATGTTTACCCTGCAGGAAGATTTAATCTCCCTATCGATTGTTTACTAATTAGCGGTGATCGTGTAATTTGACACGCGTTAAAATCACAAACTGTGAAATGGTATGTTTGAAGTGATGCGGTTAATCAAAGTAATTTACCGCGGTAATGTATGCATCAAACGTCTTTAGGGATTTTATTGCATTTGATGTAATAATTAATTAACTAGCATCGGACGATATGTAAGTTTATGCAATTAACAACATTTCTACAAACTGATAGAAATTCAAAAGCATTTGCAGGTGTAAGATAAAAAAGAAATTCAAAAGCATTTGCAGGTGTAAGATAAAAATGTATTCTTTTCATTCACATCTTTATCTTGATTAAAAGACTATTATATATGATATTACAGTAATGGCCACATCTTCCTTGACATTTAGTGATATTAAGTGGCTATTATCATAAACCTCTGAATTCCGGAAACCTCTGAAATCCGAACTTTTTGACAGGTTCCATGGGTGTTCGGTTTTCGGAAGTTACACTGTACCAACATCTCATATTACATTGGTAGGTTTAACGTTTTGTAAATTCTTGTTGGGATTCAAACCCATAGTCATAAGGGGTGTGTAATTTGACGTACGGAACCTTACCCAGCCGAGTCACTTGCAATAAAATTGCTCAAATGAAAAAAGTAAATAATTGTTCTTAATTTAGACTTTAAATGTGTGCATGCATGTGTCAGACTAAGTCTTACCTTGCAGTTCTATGCCAATCTGTGGCAGGAATGAAGACAAATTATGCAGTATCAATTTAACAGCTGTATATCTAATAATACACCAGGCATAAGAACTCGGATCTGAATGCTGTTGTACATTGGGAAGATTTCTGAAATATACAAACAAAACATGTACTCGTCACCTTTTTAAACATTTTTCCATACAATTTTTACAACTTTAAAGCTAGATTTCTGAAGAGCTAGTTTGTTAATTTCCAATTATTTTTAACTTGTATTTTAGGTCCATACAAGGGGATATCAAAATTGCCTAAATTGTCCTCACTACAGTACCATGTGTCCTGACAGATATGTACGACTTACATTTAATCCAGATAATGGCTTGGATGTTTCAATTTTTTTTATTTTTAACATAAAACACTTAATAAAAAATAATTTTTGAAACATAAATATTATGAAAATAATTTAAATACCGCACCGTTTATTTACAAAACAATGACAACTCTCGAAAGAGAAATCATTCAAGTTATTATTAATTTCGACTCTACGCTTTACAAAAATCAATTTTTTTCAATAATATCAACATATTTGAGACCAGAGTTCAAGTTTTTATGTAGCTGTTTATTACAGAAAAATATTTTTTCAACGATTTCATTGGCGTATAACGCCATTTTTACACAATCATGTGATAAGACCATCATCACATGATTTGTGTGAAGGCAGTGGTTACTGGCCGTAGCATAACCGGTGCGCGGAGTTTGACAGCACGGATGAGCACAGGCTTTTTTTTTAGTTCTTATGTTAAAGACTATCAGTATTGACAGAAGTGGAGCACCGAATTTAACATTTGACCCCTTGATTACTGATCCAGCCCATTATCACTGGACCTCTAATCAATACCCTGAGTTTAAAGTGTATAAATTATAACTTTATGTTCATGTTTTAATACATGTGCTGGCAGTATAAAGGGAGCATACTCTTACAACCTTGTTAACATTAAAGGGGAACAATCTTAAATACTCTTCAGTGGAAGTTAGTTTTTGTGGATTGCTTAGAAATGTCTTATTTTTTTAAATTAATATAAAATAATTTATATTCAGGATTCTCTTTGCCTTATGCCAATACCTTAAAGGGTTAATTGTATAATTTTGTTTGTAAAGATAACAATATAAATATATTACAATGTTCTGGGTCGGTTCAATTCCTCCTCATAATCCTCATCACTGTCCACGCCATCCTCAGATGACATTGAATCGTCCGAGTTATATCCAAACTCTGTTTCAGAATTCACGTCAACAAAAGGTTTTGTCATGAAGTAAGTTATCATACTCAGCTCTGGTGGGACAAACTTCTCTTTAAACGTTTTCCGACTATCAGTTCTCTGCTGGCCCATGATTTTCCGGTTCAATGCAATTCTTTTGTTGTACAGGTCATCTGTTTTTTCTGTTTGATTAAAATTTACCTTATTAAAGAAATTCAGATGAAATCCATCACATATCAGTAAAAAAATCATAGTATTTTATAACTTGACATGAATACATTTCCACCATAAAATTTGTTCAATATATGGAACAGAGGCGCTTCCAGATTAGTGGAGTTAAATACAATGTATATGGTGGAAAATACATGGACTTGAAAACTTTACCAGTAGGAGGGGGGATAAATATAACACAATGACCAGTTTAAAGAGACCAAATCATTATATTTGTCTATCATGTTTACATGAATAAATAAGCACAGCTATACCCAATGATAACTCATTTCCACTCACAATTCTAAAAATATTTATGTCTTTAATACTTGACTTGACCAAATTTGTATGGATTTTCATAATAAATATATTTAACATCAGTTATACACATCATTACGAATAACAGATCTTACTTCCAAGTCTAGGTGATGTACTGCCTAGTTTGATCATAGTCTTAACTCCGCCCCCGAACAAGGACGACCACATCTGTGTATCAAACTTGTGCGCTGTTAGACGATACAACAAGAAACAATCGTACGTCGCTAGGGCATTGATCACTAGACTCACATACACGGCAACCAGACATTCGGTCAGCAAAATGTTCAACTTGGGAGAATCCTCATCTTTCTCGCGAGCTAATAGAACACGCAATGATGTCACACCTGAAAACAGGAAAATTATCCATAAAACCATTTATAACGTGTCTAAAATATTGTCATAAGAATTAGTTAACTCTTTACCTTCTAAATATCCTAAATGGACTTTTCCATTTTTCAATCTGGGCAAAACCAGTTTTTAAGAAAATATCAAACCATTTTAAGAAAATATCAAAACATGCATGGAATGAATAACTAACAATGAAGTCATGATCAGATGGCATGGATGTCACAGCTTTTCTTGGTTTGCACTGGTTGCAGGTTGAAAGTTAATATAATTGTCTGCCATGTTATTTCTAATATAGGTACCTGTTAATTAATTGCTTGAGGCTAAGAAGGAGACAGAAATACAGAGATTCCCTCTACTAAATCACATTAATAAAAGTGGTGTGGATATATATTTTTTTTTCAAAGAAATTTAGTAAACCAATTGTAAATCAGGTGTGCTCAAAAAACCTCTACACCGACTGACAAAATTCAACCTTGCTAATGAGTTTATATGACAGTTTAAGTTGCACATCAAAGAGATCAGATATTAAAGAAATAATGTTATTATATTTATCAAAACACTGTCCTAAATACAAACTGTAACATGTTACTCCTGTACTGCCATAACCTGTTGATTCATTCTCCACATTTTCTATTTCTGGAATAGAATGTAGACTAGAAGATGGTATATGATAGTTTAACATAACAAATCTTACCTGGCCATTTAGGTGGTGGAGTATTGACAACATCATCTGCTGAAGTAATAGACTTGTATCTCATTTTTCTCACTCCAGACATTAAATGACTAGCATCACAGACAAAATTGGCACTGGAAAATAAATTGTTAATGTTAAACCCATAACCTGCTGGGACTGAAAATTAACTAGCCATCACTGTCACCAGTATAGAGCCAGGCCAGATTGAAAATTAATGCAGTCTGATCAGGCGCTATACTGTAAAGAGGTCATACTGTATCACTGTAATATATTATGCACTATAAGGGTTACATATTGCTGGCACCTTTCCAGGGAACTTTTAAATTTTAACATTTAAATCAGTAACAATTATGATGACCTTAATCTGATTATTTTAAAACAAACATACTCTGATCTGGTAAACTTTGAATACTTACCCATTGTAAAATCCTTCAAATCCTACATCCATATTTTCATTTAGAGACACAACAAAGCTGTCACTGTCACATAAACATTGGTACACACACGAAGCAAGTGCTACACTTAAATTCCTCATCACTAACACAGTGTGTAATGGACTACCGAGACCCGGGGGTGATGTGAACTCTATCACAGAGTGTAACAAATCTTGTGACAAGCACTGTATGTGCTGTATAGGATCTGCCGTTACAGTCTTTGAACTTGCTATTGCAGCCGAGAGTAAGGGTAACGTGGTTGGGAACGGCAGCGGAGACAACAACTGTTGCTGCGGCTTCTCCTGCTGGAGTTCTTGCAACAATAACAACAGTTCCATCTGAACTGATGCAATCCCTCCACCAGCAGCTCCTTGAAGTACACAGTATGCCACCAATGTTCGCAACAACTGCGAGTTCTGTCGCAGCCACTGTTTTCGCTGGCCCATTCTTTCCATTTTAGCATCTAAATCCATCTTTTCGGCTATCAAGACTTCGTGTAATGTTGGTTTGCTTAAGGATGTTTCAGAACGAGTTGATCCTTTCCTGACAAATGGTTGTGGAGACTCATTCCTCAAATCATCACTCTCAAAGCAACCTGAAAATAATTATCAATGACACAATCATACAACTCATTTCACATTTTAACAATCGTTTGTAAAGTTTTTTTCACAGACCATCTCATAACATAACTTTTTCATTTCAACGTCTGAGTTGTCAGTAAATCAAGTACAAAGTTTACCTTCACTTATGATAGTGCGTTCATCTTCAGTAAAATCGTCTTCACTACCATAGTTACACAGCAGACGTAATGCCTCTACTTCCCTTTCTAGCCAAATATATACCTAAAACACGTCAAATATAATACATGTACCTTAGAAATGTTTTAAATTCACCATGATTAAATCATAAACAGTTATGTCCATCCGAAAGTTCAAAAATCAAAGAAAAACTCATCAGATTTCAGATGTCATGATTAAACTGTTGAGCATTCCACACTTTGAGCATTGCCCCTGAGAACATATTATGTATACAGTAAGTAAAAATATAAAACAGGCAATGTTTCAATAATTTACCAATAGCAAAAGATAACATTCAAATATATCAAAAAATGTATGACAAAAATGTAAATAAGAAATTTTATGTCCTGATTGTAACAATGCTAATCTTAATGACCAAATAACTGTTTACAAGTTACATCTAGGAAATGGACTTAAAGTGGTAAAGATTTTTGGCAAGAACTTGTTTCAAAATAGAGCTTCATTTAACCCAGACTCTATCCATACCAAGGTAAGTCAGCACATCTGTGCTGTTTAACCATAGTCAGCACTGTTTGCTATTAGTCTTTACAAATTTTGAAATTTTCCCTAAAAATAATCAATGGTTATGTTCAAAATGATGGACACACAAGTCATTTAAAGATATTTAGAGGGGAAAGGATTAAATATATCTACACATAACTATTAATATACCTGGTATCTCAACTGACCACCGTCCACCTCAAAGCCTGTTGCTAGTGTCTGCATTTCTTCCATCATTACCTTCAAACAAGCTATAAACTTATACTGCTGTGCGAATATGTCCATTTCTTGCTGCCTGCTTTTACGCTCGATTGGACCTTTCAATGTACTTGGAGTTTCAGCATTCTCATTAATATCTCCAACAACAATACTTGGAATAGTATCAGTATCTTGTTTATTGTCATTAAGTTTGTCATTGCCGTCATCAGATTCGCTTTCTTCACTGTCCGACAAGCCAAAATCTAATTTAAGCTCATCATCATCTCCAAATCTTGAGACAGGTTGACTCCAATCAAGAGCATTAGCTGTTGCATCTAATTTACTTGACGTTGGTTGACTCCAATCAAAAGTGTCGGCTGTTTGTGCTGCTGACACCGGTTTACTCCAGTCAGGAGTGTCCTCATTTTTCACCTTTTCTCGGTCTCCGTCATTTTTTAGAGAAGAATCACTAACATCCGACAGATTTCCAGTGTTTATGCACAAATCGCTTTCACTTTTTGAAACTTGCGTATCAAGCTCATAGTCATCATCTGACAGTATTATAACTGGCAATTTTGAAAGAACTTCAAGCGCTAAAATTGGATTTCCATTTTTGTAATGTGAGTGGGCGGTTGCAAAGAACAGTCTTCGTTCCATGGGCGTAACCCTGTCAACAACTGTTGCAACATCATCTTCGGGACTTCCGACCATAGTCTGCTGCTTTGTAAAACCACTAATTACACATTTATTCTTCAGAACTGGTGCTGCCGTGGCTATTTTATGACGAATTAAGAGTGGATGGGTGCGTAGATAATTGTAGAAATTGAACACATTGGAGATGGAAAATGATTCCGAGTCTGTAGAGCCGTTTAAAGCTTTCCCAGATTCATTTTGTAACAAAGTCTGCAAGGCATTCCTATAATACAATAGAAATTTCAAATCTTAAATCTTTGACCAAACAACATTCATAGCAAACTACCATTTACAACACAATTGTTTCCAGGTAATTAATTGAGAAAAATAAACAACAGAAAGATGCATAAAATATTTTATTGGTATTGAAGATATTATTGTATTTTATTCCACATGATGTAAAACACATAGCGTACATGTTTACATGAAAATCATCACTGTCATCTTCAAACATTAACATCACACTAGGATTTATTCTTACAATATTTCATGCACTTTTAAAGTTTCTATACCAAACATAAAAACATTTGGAGTGCAATGAGAAATTGAACCAAATGAAACTACTGTTAATGACTTCTAACATAAAAACATTTGGAGTGCACCAAATTGGCAACACTAGACCAGATTTACAACAACAAAAAAATCCATACAGTTATGGTCAGTAAAGTAAATGAGTCATTGAGTGCATTAACCTTTTCCCTTATATTGACGTGTTTTGACGGCTTTTTGTCCACCCCCCCCCCCTTTTTAAGCCCCAAACACTGTTTTTCGTTTGAGAAATGTTGTTAAAAAAAAGAAGAAAATTTTGGACATGTGAATGGCCTCCTGTCGATCTTAAGGTGACGTGTAACTAACGCTGAAAAGCCTTTTACTCTATCTCATTGCATTTAGAAGTTGCAGCACTTTGAAATCAGTTTTGATGGAAAAAAAACAATGCAAAATAGTGATTTTTCGAGTGCATTAACACAGATTTGTCATTTGAATTTATCGACATTTTAAAGAAAATGTCCAAACTGAAACAAACCAAAAGGTTATAGTTTTTTTAATTTTTTCACCCCAAATGTTACTATTTTTAGACCTGACAGCACAAAGTCAATTGTTGCAACAATACATGGAAATTTTACCTATAGTCCTTAAACAACCAGTATGTCATGCTTCTAAGGAATGGGTCCGGGTGCATTTTGACATGGTTTGTTTGGGAGACATCTTCTTTGCCAAGGATATTGGTACATAAAATCTTTTTGACAGTTTCACTCATCATATCTTCTCCGTCGTAGAGTCTGCAGACGACAATGGCAAGTTGGAGGTCATGCAGCTTATCCAGAATTACCTGTATGTATATAGAATAACTTAAGATAGATTTAGATTTTTATTAAAAATTTGAAATATCAAAAACCTGTAATTTTCTATGTCTTGATAAGAAGATATTTGTTGTGGTTCACTTCTATGTCAAGATATATTTCACAATGAAATATCAAAATATATCTCAGGGAGTGAATACAAGATCATGTATTTTCACATGTGCTGAAATGTTCATTCATTTATGATAAATCCCAACCTCTATACCACTCTGCACTCAAATATACTAGTTGTTCTGCTACAGTGAAATTATATATTTTGATATTTCACTGACGAATTAACTGTTGCTCAAAACCTTTCACATTACCTCTACAGCATCATTTAAGGATCCGCCCAGCAGAAAGAAGCCAGCTGCATGCTCAAACCTTTGCTTCCCAAGAAGATCAAAGGCATTCTTTAACGCTGCTTTTCGCCATCGGTCCTGAGTAAAGTCATTACGGAAAAACTCAGACATTCTTTTGTTATCTATAGACCTAAAAAATAATTTGAAAATTTTGTTAAACAAATTATAAAGTAAAAAACTTTATTAATAAAATATTACAAAGGTCTCTGATATAGTATGGAGAATGATTAAATTTTCGTGTTTAATGATTAAATAAAACTTAACAATAGTATCATTAAAATTAAAGTAGAAATTTTTATACATTTTTTCTGTATTTACTGATACCAAAGAATAGAAGGTAATATGAGAAATCACTTGTCATAATTTGAAGACCTTCAGCAGTTTTTAAGGTGTAATTTTGCCTTTAATTAGGAAATTTTTAAAATCTGTTTATTTAGAAATGTGCTGCTTTAACAACCACTGAAGATGCATTTTTTTCAGCCCTAAATATACTGGAACCAAACTGATAAGCCAAGCCATCAGTTAAGAGCCAGGCCAGCCTGTGAATCCATGCAGTCTGACAAGGGCATATACTGTTGGTAGTTCATTTTTTTGCATATATTGATTAAACAGAACTGTGTGTAAAAAAATGTCACGACTTTCACTGAAAAAATAACTTACCTAAACAGTCCCCAGAGGACATTTTTCTTTTTCATGGCTAGGTAGAACAAAGCAGCGTCCATGGGATCCTTGTTCTTTTGGAAAGCATCTTTTGCCAATTTTTCTGTAGTTCTCTTTAACACATTGATATTTTGGATCCACCACCCAGCTCCGTATGTTTTTAGATCAAACCATGTGAGGCCTAAACCCTGGCTTGTTGGAATCAGGGAAAGTAACTCCTGCAACACAACAATAAAACATAATTAGATATCTATTATCAAAACTTACAAATTACAGCAAAATTCAACAAAGTGTAGCCAATAACTACAAGTGGGTTGATGCACTTGCAACAACATGCAGATGCATTTAAAGCACGAGCCTACATACATGTATATGTCTCCTCTGATCAATCAGTAATATGTTACTCCGCTGTTTTTATGTAAATAATCTGATTTCATTATGCTTTTCAAGTGCTAGTGAGATGTCATTTGATAGTAATGTTTTGATAATGAAACTACCAGGCCATCAGTGAAGTAAGTTATTTTTACATGGCATCATATACTAAAGTGTCTAGTTTTAATGCAAGCATGGCTGTTATGCTGATGAATTATTTCCGAACATCATTTTGACATAGTAAACTTAGTGACACATGGAGAAAACAAGAACCGGTTGAACCGGGTGATGCTCCCCGAGAAGGTTCTGGACACAGGAAAGTATAAAAAAAAATGAACAAAGGGCAAAAACTCCAAAATTAGGCAAAGCGGAGTTATGTTTTTTTGTACTGCACTTCTATTCAATGAGATCTATCTATCTATAAAGTTTCCTGATGATATCAGAGTTATGTCCCGGGTAAAAGTCAAAGTGTAAAAATGAACAAAGGGCAATAACTCCAAAATTAGACCAGGCTTTGTTTAGGTTCTTTAAGCATTGCAGTTCTATCCAATTATATCTAGCTACTTACAAAGTTTCATGTTGATATCTCTAATAGTTTTAAAGTAATGTCCAGGACAAAAGTCAAAAAGTAAAAATAAACAAAGAGCAATTACTTCAAAATAAGGCAAGGCAGAGTAATGATTCTTAAGCACTGCACTTCCACCCAATTAGACCTATCTATCTACAAAGATTCATGTTGATACCTCTTATACTTTTAGAGTTATGTCCCGGACAAAGTTCAAAGTGTAAAAATAAACAAAGGGGAATAATTCAAAAATTAGGCAAGGCAGAGTTACGGTTCTTGTGCACTGCACACCTACTCAATGAGATCTATCTACCTACAAAGTTTCATGTTGATACCTCTTGTTGTTTCAAAGTTATGTCCCGGACAAGAAAAGGGGACGGACGGACGGAAAGACGGACGGACAAGGCGGCGACTATATGCTCCCCCGAAATTTTTTCGGGGAGCATAAAAATTTGTTTTTACAAACAAATTTTGTACTGAAAATTTTTAATTCCCAAAATTTCCACATCAGTCATAACATTGGCCAAGTAAGACAAATCAAAACATGAAATACAGTGAGATGTAGATTTGTCTAAAAATTTGCCTAAATTTCATTTTGGTTTTCATAGAAATGGAAATATGCTATAAACAGCCATAATTTACAATCAATTTTCATACTTGATTTGATATAAAAATAATACTAAACATATCTCTGTCAATAATTCATACTTTTTAAGAGTCTTAATTATGCAAATAATATAAGAGCTAAGTACTATTTAGGATATGAAAATACTGAATTTCCTGTAGGTATATATATTATCTATCTTTTTCTTCAATAATTAATGAAAGCGCTGGTGACAATGACTTAAACTACATGGATTCAGACTGAGGACTTTATGTTGAAACTTTCCTTTTCAGTCGGACCATTATTTATCAAACAGCTGTTTTCCTAAAATAATAAAGATTATTTTAGAATTAAAATAATCCCATTTATTTTAGAGAAATAATCGTCTGCTACCTTGTGTAAAGCTATCATTACGTGGCAATCGGCAAACCTCGGTCATTATCTATAGATTGTTTACATTACACTGGTTACCGTGTTTATCGTATCATTTCTATATAGAGCCGGGTTTAAAGAGTTAGCTGTTAATAATATAAAAGCCCGAGTTTCTCGTGCAACTTTCTCAGTTTTTGTTTGACGACGAAGCATTAACACACTCAATTAGAGTAAGCTGAAATTTATTAGCCATGCCACGAGGTCGTACACGCCGAAGGATTCAACCTTCGAGAAGAGAAATGGCCATGCGACGCAGCGAGAGAGGACAGGCAGCTTCAGTACCTGAAATTCCTCTAGGAGAGCGTCGTTTGCAGAGAAATGCACGAGGGACCGTCGAATGTCAACAAAATTCAACTCCACGTCGTGCAGGTAGAGCAGTAGATGATTGTGGTAGCGCCCAGCCCCAGCAGAGTCAAGAGCACGTGCAGGATAACCCGCGCGTCGATGCCAGACAACCGAGGGGTCAGAAGCGCCAAGCCGACGAATTGGACGACATGGTGGATGTCAGGCTTCTAGAGACTGAAGCGGGTAAGTCCAATGTTATCGACTTCGAGCGAATTTTGAGTGCATCGGATATTATTTCAAATAAAGATTTACCAACACGTGTAAATAATGATCATTTTCTGGGGTCCGACACAACCAGTAATAATGCAAATGTTCATTCTAGGCCGCTGACAAATGTTTCACCAGCTAATGTATGCTCAGCACCGTCTGTTCGCCTAGCAGACGATGACTTAGCGGCTCATATCCCTACAGTTCTCAAACAGCAAAATCTGTAGAGGCGAGTACGTTAATTTTGCGTTGTTGCTTAAGGGTGCAATTGAGCTATCCGAATTTTTTTAGGGCGCGGTATTGTTACGGTTAATTCCGAGTTACAATTGGTTTCGGCTCCAAAGGAGTGTAAAGATCAGATTTATGATATCGAAAAATGGACAAACGCATTCATCATATATGCCTCCATATACCTGTCAAATCATTCAGACAAAGTTTATGAACTGCTACATTATATGTACAATATAAGAGAATGCGCTATGCGACAAGGCGGGTCAGCCTGGAAAACTTATGATGAGCAGTTTCGCTTACGCCAGGCTATTACACCTTCACCATGGTCTAAAATCAACAATGACCTATGGTGGCGGTGTATGCAAGTTAGACAGCCAGATCAAGCCCAAAACGTTTCAAAAATTTAAGTACACGTGTCTTGATTTTAATAATGGTAGATGCACGTGGCAAAACTGCAAATTTCCCCACTTATGCGCGAAGTGTAATGCGCCCCATCCTGAGATAAACTGTTTCTCTTCAAATTCAGTTGGTTTATACACAGAAAAGTCGTACACCAGCTTTTCAACGTAATTTTCGAGGAAGGGGGGTCTCAGTCCCATTCAAAAGGGAGAGGTTACAATAGAGGGCAGTCAAACAAGTAAATCGATTAATCATTGTTGTACATCAGAAAAACAGTCAAATCCAGATATTCATAATATTGCGAAATCACCAATTAAACTTTCGGCCATGCAATATTATTTACAATTTTATAATAAAATTGAAGCAGAGTTTTTATATGATGGTTTTTAAGAATGGCTTTCCACTACAGTATTCCGGTCCCCGTGTTGCACGTGATTCCAATAATCTGCGTTCTACTCTGTTAAATCCGGAAATAATTAACAGTCAAATTAATAAAGAAATTATAGCTGGCCGGGTAGCTGGACCATTCAATGAGCGTCCACTACCAAACTTAATTGTATCCCCGATTGGTCTGGTCCCGAAGAAAAACCCCCGGGGAGTTTCAGAATGATTCATCATCTGTCATATCCGCCGGGCGAATCAATCAATGATTATATTGATCCGGCCTTGTGCACGGTTCAATACACCAGTTTCGATCAGGCAATCAAAATGATTCAAGATCTAGGTCAGCACTGCAAACTATTTAAATCCGATATTAAAAGTGCTTACCGTCTGATCCCTATTAAACCTTCAGATTTTTGAGTTTGCTTGGTTTTTCGTTATAATGATAAGTTTTATTTCGATAAGGCACTTCCGTTTGGAGCATCTGTAAGCTGTATAACCTTCGAAAGATTTTCAAGATTCTTAGAATTTTGCATTACATTTAATTTTGAATCAGGCAATTAATTCACTATTTAGATGATTTTTTGGGAGGTGATACGTCGATGGACTCTTGCAATAGGGCATTACAAATATTTAGAGGAACAATGTCGGAGTTAGGGGTACCCCTAGCCGAAGATAAGACCGAGGGGCCCACGGAGAGCCTCGTTTTCCTCGGCCTCGAGTTAGATTCAAGCAAAATGGTCGTGAGGATACCCACGACTAAAATAACCGAGGTTGTTGAAAAAATAAAGAATATCTTATCTCATAAAAAGTCAACATTAAAAGAGGTACAATCTTTAATTGGATCTTTAAATTTTTGCTGTCGTGCCATAGCTATTGGTCGGCCATTTATTCGCCGCTTAATTTATTCAATATGTGGGCTTACTAAATCTCATCATCGAATTAGAAATAAAAAAAAAATAAAATTGGATTTCTATGTGGCTAGTTTTCTTAGAATCATTTAACGGTATTTCCGTTTTTCATGACAGATTTTGGGTCTCAAATTAGGATGTGCAGTTATTTTCAGATAGTGCCGGGGGTATAGGTTTAGGTTTTGGTCTTTACTTCAAGGGTCATTGGTGCAATGCAAGATGGCCAACGTGGTGGCATGAATTAGGTATCACCACGGATATTACTGTTCTAGAACTCTTTCCCATTTTAAGTCGCATTATTCATTTGGGGCGAGGAATTAGTGAACAGAAAAATAAAATTTAATTGTGATAATTTTGCAGTTGTACATATACTCAATAAGTTAACGTCAAAATCAGAGGCAGTCATGTGTCTTGTCAGAATTTTAGCATTACGCTGTTTAAGACTCAACATTTTAATTAAGGCTAGTCATCTCCCTGGCTGTCAAAAATGATATTTGTGATGCTTTGTCTCGGTTTCAGCTATCTCGATTCAGGAAGTTGGCACCGGAAGCAGACCCCACCCCTTGCCAGGTTCCAGAGTTTCTATGGAACGCATTCAGTCTAGAGTTGTACAACTGCTACAATCGGGACTAGCATCAAACTCTTTATCAACTTACCGAACTAGCGTCAATATGTTCGAGAAATTTAGACTATCATTCAAAATGCTAAGTCAATGGCCTATTCCAATTAATCACGTGATTTTGTTTATGGCATTTTGTTTTGAGAAAGGCCATTCGCCAAAAACTATTACAACTTATATCGCTGGCCTGAATTATTACCATAAATTATATGGTTTTTATGACATAAATAATGTTTTTATGGTCAACAAATTATTAGAAGGTTGCCGCAGAAATCGTATAACTAACGATTGTCGGGCACCATTAACAATACGCACCTTGGTTTCGGTGTGTGATTCACTACCGAGCGTGTGTTATAATATTTACGAAAACAAGTTATTCGAGTCACTTTTTACCTTGGCCTATTATGGTTTGTTTCGGGTCAGCGAATTGGTTACGTCATCCGGCATGCAGGCTGAAAATGTGCTCAGTTTATCGGATTTGACATTTGTAGGTCAAAAAGAATATGCAGTTATTAAATTGCGTCATTTTAAAACAAATCAAAGAGGGACTCCTGTTCTTCTGAAAATACCTAGAGAAACAAGTGATTTATGCCCTGTTAACGCTCTATTTGAATTTGTGTCAATCAGGCCTCGTTCAAAGGGCCCTCTATTTTGTCACGCTGATGGTTCGCCGGTAACTAGAACGCAGTTTCTCGGCAGTACTAACTAAGTGTGTCAATCAGTCCTAATTTGTCTGACGCACATTTCACCTCCCATAGCTTTAGAATAGGCAGAGCCACAGACTTAGCCTACAAAAGGTTACCCTTCATCAGTAATAATGAAACTGGGAAGGTGGACATCTCAAGCGTTTCGACTTTTATATTCGTCCTTAAATGTTGATTCTTCTCAATCACTATCTTACGCTGTGTAATCTTTTATTTATATTTAGATGTTTGGGTCCTGGGTGACTCGATCCCGTTCTGGCTGGACAGCGGGCAAAGAATACAGGAAAGCCTAATTTGAGATTGAAAGATTTAACAATAGCCTGGTGGGGGTGTTCGAGGCCTACGTTGGCAGTCTTTCCGTCACTCTATTGAATCACAGGTTGTTATTTTCTTCACCTCCATCCATTATAATTGTTCATTTAGGAGGTAATGATTTGGCAAGATTTACGATTTTAAATTTGAAAAAAGATGTTATTCGGGATGAAATTTTTTACTTACGTGAAGCTTTCCCTACAACGGTACTAATTTGGGTAGATATATTACAGAGGCAGACCTGGCATAATGCCACGGGGGGTTGGGTTGCTATGGAAAATAAACGAAAACGAGTTAACAGGGATAGGCCGTCAATTGTGTCATTCATCGGTAAAAGTGACACAATTAAGCCAGACATTGATGCTAAAACTGCATTTTTTTCGGGCAGACGGGGTTCATCTCAATGATCTTGGTTAGTTGGAATTCCTCCTAGATTACTTCAAAGATTCTATCATTAAAAATGTACCAGTCTCCCAATAAGAATTTGGGGGAATAAATTTTTTGATAAATTTATTGTGGCGTAAAATTCTTCCGATCGAGAGGAGATCAGACATTGTATTCTGTTTTGTTGGCATTTTGAACTTAAAAACCCTGTGTATGGCTCTACTGCTCGTGACGGAATACCCGTCAGGGTAGGCCGACCTATAATCAGGAAATTAATTTTGGGGAAGTATCATACAGTTTGTCCATGTGTTTGGACTGCAGTTTGCGTTATTTGGTTTTGCCCGTAGTACTTGGCAATTCCTGTTTTTTGCGTTGCAGTGTATGGCGTTGCCGTACAATGGCGTCAGTTGTGGTTCTATTTATACGCTTGGGTTCCCAGCGATGAATGGAATCTTCAATTTGATGTCATTTGCGGTAATCTTTTGGACTGTTGAACACTGTGTTTTTGCGTTTGCGTTGCGTTGCGTTTGTATGATACTGTTTGCATGTTTTTGTATGTATTTGGACTTTAGCAAAAAGTAAATGTGTAATATAAAGCACGTCTGATCTCCTCTCGGTCGAATTATTTAGACACGGGATACCCTGTCAAATTTGAGCGGCCAAAACAATCCAACCTTGAATTGTATTTAGTGCGATATTGCTTTATTGTTTGCAATAACATTGTTGAAGCGTTCATGTATGAGTCATATACATATAACAAAATTAAATATGAAAATGTTACTCATAGTCGTTTTATTTTATTTCAATTATTAAAATAATAAAGATTATTTTAGAATTAAAATAATCCCATTTATTTTAGAGAAATAATCGTCTGCTACCTTGTGTAAAGCTATCATTACGTGGCAATCGGCAAACCTCGGTCATTATCTATAGATTGTTTACATTACACTGGTTACCGTGTTTATCGTATCATTTCTATATAGAGCCGGGTTTAAAGAGTTAGCTGTTAATAATATAAAAGCCCGAGTTTCTCGTGCAACTTTCTCAGTTTTTGTTTGACGACGAAGCATTAACACACTCAATTACCCGCCCGCCACACCCTGTTTAAGCTAATATATTAAGAAGTTAATAGGCAGGTTCATTAAGATCGAAACTGTTAATTAAATATTTTGACTGTTAAGCCTTATGTGTATTGATTTGATATTTAGCTTGTACAAGATTACTGCTGCTGTTTATCTATTTGCAGGATTGAGTTTGAGTTTTGTCAATAATCTGTGTTTGTCCACAAATGTCAAGAGTTGGCTACGCACCTGAACGCAGAGATTGGATGCTACCCTGATGGAACACTTGGGAGCAAAAACATTGTGTGTTATAAGTAAAAACCAGCTAATGTGAAGAGACTGTGTACTTTATAAATTACAGAAAACATCTTTGTGACTGGTTAATAATAAGTATATAGAATTACGTTCGGTGCTAGCTTAGACTTAAATAAAAAAATGTGGACACTTGAAATTCGAATTTAAAACTGTAGTTTAATAAACTTTCATAGACTCACAGAAATTTATATGTTATACTCTGTTTTTTCATATTTAATTTTGTTATCGTCGCTCACAGTGGCGTAAAATTCTTCCGATCGAGAGGAGATCAGACATTGTATTCTGTTTTGTTGGCATTTTAACTTAAAACCCTGTGTATGGCTCTACTGCTCGTGACGGAATACCCGTCAGGGTAGGCGACCTATAATCAGGAAATTAATTTTGGAAGTATCATACAGTTTGTCCATGTGTTTGGACTGCAGTTTGCGTTATTTGGTTTTGCCCGTAGTACTTGGCAATTCCTGTTTTTTGCGTTGCAGTGTATGGCGTTGCCGTACAATGGCGTCAGTTGTGGGTTCTATTTATACGCTTGGGTTCCCAGCGATGAATGGAATCTTCAATTTGATGTCATTTGCGGTAATCTTTTGGACTGTTGAACACTGTGTTTTGCGTTTGCGTTGCGTTGCGTTTGTATGATACTGTTTGCGTGTTTTTGTATGTATTTGGACTTTAGCAAAAAGTAAATGTGTAATATAAAGCACGTCTGATCTCCTCTCGGTCGAATTGTTTAGACACGGGATACCCTGTCAAATTTGAGCGGCCAAAACAATCCAACCTTGAATTGTATTTAGTGCGATATTGCTTTATTGTTTGCAATAACATTGTTGAAGCGTTCATGTATGAGTCATATACATATAACAAAATTAAATATGAAAATGTTACTCATAGTCGTTTTATTTTATTTCAATTATTAAAATAAATAACAGTTAAAAGTGCTCAAACAAAGTTCAAAGCAAAACAAAAAAAAAATGACATTTCATAACGTTTATGTAAGATCTGTGAACAACAAATTGCAATAATGTACTTCAATTTCAAGGATAATACCACATATGTGTACTGTTCAAAGTAAAAACATAATTATATTGCTGTTTTTGTTATTCCTTTTAAAGTTTCATAATCTTGATGTCATTTACAAATGTCAAGATTTTCACATTGATCTCATCTCAAGTCTGAACTTTTAAGATCTTGAACTAAAAAGGTTATGTTATCAATGGTAAACAATTTATATGAAAAACATTCTTCAAGTCCTGACAAATGAAGTTCTTTTGACAAATGAACACCTCATATTATGCAGTTTGCCTGTTTAGCTTAACCGGATCAATCCTGGGGCAAGGCATTTCGTTATCTCTGTGACAATCAATCTCAGACAGGGAGTCTAATAGTCTTTTGTCTCATATGGCTGATTCAGAAATCATACTGAATTAATAGTTGGTCACTTGTGGAGAAAATAGTAAATACTAGTAAGACATTTGGGTTTATCTACCACCAAGTAAGTGTCGTTATATTTCAAATTTTAACCTTTACCCAACTCAATATCACGAATGAGCATGTCAACTTTCAATCTGTAGAATATCATTCTTTACTTAAGAATACTGTAAAACACTTATTATTCACAAGAATTTTATTTTCGGTAATATTCGCAAGTTTTCTAAGACGCGAATTCATATTTCTCGCGAATATTTCACTTTGTCTATACACTTGTCCGAAAATGAACTATTCCGAAAATGCGTACACATGGATAAAATTATATCTGCGGGAAAGTATCGAACAATACCGGCCTGCACCCACCCATGCTTGATCATCTCATTCTCTGCATTTATTTTTTGAAAAAAAAAAAAAAACAACCAGAAAATACGATTTTCAGAACAACTGTTTTGGTATTTGGTACACATACTTTAGCACCTGCGAGTTGTTTGTAACATTTCTATTTATTGTATCCTATTGTATTGTACTACAGTTTAAGCCGGAGGCTAAACATAATCGTTTACTACAGGTTAGGCAAATTACAGTACCGTTTAATTGATTTTCGTCTGATTGCCTTTGAATGGCTAATCAGAGAAACACTTTGCATGATGGGGAAATTATCGAATTAACGTGATACGGAACATTCAATTCTAGTATTACTAGTAACAATGCTAGAGGCACGGAGTATAATCAGGGACAATACATGACAAACACAGTGAACACATATCAAATAATTATCAAACTTTATTGACATATTTTTAGACAGACGGTTTCACTTAACAAGAAGATTAGCAAGCTATCAGAAAAATCGATACAGATATAAATGCATTCGTCGCACAATAAATGACGCAGTTAGTAAACGGACAGAACAGAAAATATTCGAATGACATCGGATTTCCGGTTTCACATTTTTCGGGAAGACGCGAATTCATGTTGACACGAAATAATTATTTTGGACATTTTGCCTCAAATTCGCGAAATAAGGTTCTCGCGAAAAATAAGTGTTTTACAGTATGTACTGACTGGATAGACAGCAACAGACTGCACAGGTTAGCGCCCACTGGTCTTGATCTACACTGGTTACATGGGTAGAAGCTGTCACAGTCAACAGGGTATTAAAAAACCCTGATTAATCCTATAAAGTCAATGTTCTACCGGCAATCAACTTTATGGGAATGGTGATTAACAAGTTGAAGAAAACATGGTCACGTTTTTATCTTGTTTATAATATTATCGAAGAAATGATGTAAACAAGATGTCAGTGACATTTCAAATTCACATGTTCATACATGTGCACATCACAGATGTTTACCCTATATTAAAGACTGTTTCTAGTACAAACAATATTGGGAAAACAGAAAATTCTTTTACATTTTTTTTTTCTCTTTTTATTGCATCCTCACTTTAGGATTTGATTTGACCTTGTCCATGTGTCCATACATGTGTCTGTTCTCATGCTGTGTCACATGTACCTCTTAAAGTGCTTGAGCTTGAGTAAAGTTGTGCACCTGGGTTTTCACATGTGCATTAATCTAGTTTTGTCCTTGACTTACTTGCTATTTTCAACTTGTGTTGAGCGTAGCCCCTTTTGCTTGTGAATTAAAGCAGTATTTGTAAAGTTATTACCCTTGACTAAAAAAAAAATGCAATTTTCACCTTGTGTTGTGCAAATCCCAAAAAGTATTTGACCTAGAGTCATGAAACTTTACAGAAATGTTAATCAGCATGTAAAGTTGTGCACCTGGGGTTTCCCATGTCGATTTATTGAGTACTTGTAGACTTATTACCTTTGACTTAGAAAAAAGCTTGCAATTTTCAACTTGTGTTGTGAACTGAACAGCCCAAAAAGTATTTGACCTAGTCCTGAAACTTTACAGAAATGTCGGTTGGCGTGTGTAGTTGTGCACCTGGAAGTTTGATTGTGGATTTATTTGGAATTTGAAAAGTAATTGCCCTTCACTTAGTAAAAACATTCCATTATGTTTATATTGGGGGTTATGAAACTTAACAGGACTGTTGGTCAGCATGTGTAGTTGTGCATCTCTGGTTTGGATAAATCAAGATGTCAACATTGGAAAAATTGCATGTCATTTTTTATGTTCCAACCACTTTAAGGAGTGTGGGGGCATCTGTATCCTATGAACGCATTTTATTTGGAATTTAGGTTTTTGTATTTTTTCATATAAAAACAGTAGATTCTATAACTAAACATTTTATTAAGTTTTATAACTTTCTCATCAAACTTCATTGTACAGAAAACTTGTATGTTATTGAAACACTCTCAAGTCTAGTAACTGGAACAAACCAGTACTACTGTTATATGAGGTATGTAAATGTTTCCTTTGTAAGGCTCGAACCCCCGATCCCTGGATTGACAGACAGACACAATAACTACACCAACACCACTCTCCTTATGCCACTGCTACCCTGTAACACCATTTGTAGAACAGACACTCTGGTTTTGATCAACTTGACATTGTTGGTGTTTGTTTTCTTCTTGTTGTCTTTTTTGTTTTTGATTTGTTAATAAATTGAAAATATGTTTTTGTTCTCCAGCAATTTTTGTACATTGTATTTGAATTAGAAAATTTACAATTCATTGGCAGTAATTAACCAGTGGATGATAAATCTCTGATTGTATAACTAGTTTAGACGTATGACTAGAAACATGACTAATATATTCTACATAAATCAGGTTTTAACGTTATAGGCTAAATTCTTCAATATTACTCATTCTTTATACACAGAAATGACAAAGGAAACCTTGGTAACATTACATCAGAAATTATTCTGTCTGTCAAATTAATTAACAACAAGCTATTTTGCTTCTATTCAATGACAAAATTTTATAAACCTGACATTTCATTTACATGCTTATTTATAGTCCAATCAATGTAACCTAAAACATGGGTCAACCTAGAACAAATTGCAAAAGATTTGTTTTCACAATTTTTATGACAAATAGAGTGCTGTAAATTACATCAAAAGTTACAATCAAATAACCTAGGCAAATTGGTATAAGGTGACATGTTTTAAGGCACTGTTGAAATACATTTTGATTTTTAACCAGTTAGAAAAAAATTCTAATCTGTATGCAAGCATTTCTTCTTAATGTGTCTATTTCACAAAATATACATTAAAGTGTGTTTTCAATTTGCTAGACAAGATGTATCATGGCTTCTCTGGGCCAAACCATTTTATTCTAAAATTGCAAATTTCAAACCTATATTGTAAAAAAATGCCTGTTGCAAATTCATGCAACTTTTGTACAAATGTAAATGGCATCATACTCTAACTTGTAGTGTGGCTTTCAAAATGTTTGCAATTAGTTTAACCTAAAAAGTTATATTGACTAGACTTTTAATCAATATTTTGTATTGTAACTATTTTATGTTGTTAGTTTCTCTACTGTATCTCCATTTGTTAGCAAAACAAGTAGTACATTTATCTCCCTAATTCTAAATAGAAAAAAAACTCGGCCTCTTATGTTCTTTTCATTTAATTTTCTGATAGCATTCAAGCATTCAAAGGAGGATGGAAGTCAAATATTGGGGACATTAGGTTCATTGGAGAAGAGATGCAATATGCCTTATTCAAGCATTATTTCAGGCATGGACAAATCAAGGACTGATATCACTTTAGACACAATCAATCTTCTGAAAACCTGCACATAAACTTCCTACCAAGAACAAAGTAAATGAACCATGCAAAATGTGAACCATTTTAGGAAAGGGGAAAATCCTCTGACGAAACTTTACAGGATTTTTCTACATGTGCATCTGAGCATCCTAGTATAGACAGAGGTGGGCCTAGAGCAGGATAGTGCTAGGTGGCCATTTACCCTTACCTGTACCCTAATGAAACAAGAAGTGATTAGCCTTTGCCACTACCACCTTGATAGAGCCTGGCCAGCCTTCACATCTGTGTAGTCTGACCAGACTCTATACTGTTGGTAGCTCAATTTTTGTATTTTGATAGTGAAATCCCTTAAACTTTAAACAGACTGTTCCACACTCAAAGCAGGGCAAGTGCATTACACAAATTCTACAGGTTAAAGTTCAAGAAGAAAGCAATTACCTCAGTGGCCTCAGAATGGAACGCCCAGACTAAGTTGAATGTTTTCAAGCCTTGTTTATGAAGTTGCACTCTTTGAACTGGAGGTAGAGATCTCATCAGGTAGTGGTAATGTCTCATTGCCAGTAGAAACCTCAAACCGCAGTCATCCAGGGTCTCAGCCGTGTGCACACCATCTTGCTGCAAGGTGCCTTCAAATATAGATATCATTAATCAAATATTTTATTACAAATACATTGTAAACAAAACAACTTGCTTTTTTTTAGATATTTTATATATATTATTATAAATACAGTGTATATATGTAAACAAAACAACTTGTTTTTTTCATTTACAGCAATTTAACAAAACACACTGCACTCTTGAAACTGAAAATTAAAAAGAAAACATTTCAATACATTTCTCATTTTCAATCTTTAAAATTAATGACAGAAAAAATATAATTAAAATAAATGTGCACTTTGAAATGTAATTAAAACATTTAAAATCAATTCAATCTTGAAATATGTATCTGAAAACCTTAGTCTTCAGTTTATAAACACTTACTTGTGGGCTCAAAGCTCTCCGCAAAGTCTGTTTTAGTTTGTGCAACAGTGTCCGCTAGAGCCAACAGGTACATCTGATCTTGACCTGACAGGCCAGGTAAGTGCATATGGGTCAAGTGTTTCCCTAGCAACTGAGCTTGTGAAGAACTGAAATGATATGGATTAACAGTCACCCCGGTTGATGAAGTGGATCTAATTAGTCGTGGTTTGTCATCTAATGAAGATGACAGTACATTTGTATCAAGTTCCTCATCATCGAAAACATTTGTCTGGAAGAGGTCTTTGTAATCTGATTTGTCTCCGGGGCTCACGTGACCAGTATGTGCTGATATGTCAGCCGCTGACTGACTTGAATCATTATCTGCTGCGAGGAGGGCATATAGCGGTAACAAAGGAATTGATGTAAGCTCTACATAGTCGAGGGTAACCTCGCCATTTAATACTGGTGGTTCTCCAGGACTCTGAGACATGGAAACTGTCCTTTGTCTGTACAACTTAGCTTCATCTACATTTATTTCATTTACTTGTGCAGTATTTGTGGCTTCTCGACCAGCAATGCATCGAACAAGATGAGCTAGGATAGCTTTTACGCGTCTTACTTTCCCAAAATTCAGCAATTCCATCAAAGATTTTGGATGATATTGGGGTAAAACAGGATTAGCTTGATGTGCTGCCTCAAACAGACCAAATTCATGGATGACAGTCAGACTCATACTACTCTCACTACGTTCTAAATTACTCTTACTGGCCTTTTTACGCAGGTTGGAACTACTTTTCATGGACTCTTTTTTGAACACATTGGATGCAAAGCGTTTAAAGTTTGGCACTGAAAGGGATGACCGTATTGATGGAAGACTTTTCTTATTCTGAATCATTGCTTCTTTATGTAGATCGACTGTTGAAAAATTTCTGTCTTCAAAATTTCGAACATCAAAACTATCTACTTGATCAAGGGAAGTGTCTTCTGCTCCTTGTGCCCATCGCCACTGTGAGTATACATGCATCTCATTGTCCATACCAACAACCAAGATTCCTCCACGAACCCACGATATATGCATTGGTAAGGGAGGTAATCCATCAGCAGTTGTTAAATCTATACTACGTAATTTCATCCACTGCAACACCTCCTGGTAGTCGTCAACGACCATTGACTTTGATTTTTGCAACAGAGCTCTTCGACTGCTACTACGATCACCGAGACTCTTCTTTACCCCTGGCTCGTTCATCGACGTTGTTTCTGTACCAGTCTTGTCCTCCATATTGTCCTTTTTAGACTCCTGTACAATATCGTTTGACACTTGTGCATACATCATGATCTTAGACCCGACCCCAACTGTCAGTATGTGAGAACCATCCTCAGTTGAGACCCAGTCGAGCTGAACCAAATGTTTCTGCCTCAATATCTCCAACTAAAATAAAATAAAAACGCATAAAAATATTTGAAATTTCTATTTTGAAAAGCATATTCATTTCCTGCTGTCTGACAACTGAAACTTTGTTGCTGGGCCTTAATCTTATAACTTCTTGCTAACTTTCATAGGCTGACATTACATTTCAATACATTCTTTGTTAATTTGGATAACTAAAGATTTCTGGCTGTTTGGGTGGAGCAAGCTGTTGTTTCCTGGAGCAAGAAACTTTCTGCTCATTGCTTCATACTGGTTGTAATGGCTATAAGTGTGTCTTACACAACTTAAACAAAACAAGTTCTGTATAAACTAAAACAAACAATAAACAACCTGGTCCGACAGCAAGGATGTTTAGATTCAAACATAGCATGAAGTCAAGTGTGTCAATGAAAACACTGAATCTTTTTTACTGTAAACTGTTCTTATTTTGAGTAAATGATAAATAGAATATTATATTTCTATAGCTTCATTACAAAACTTTGATCTTGTTGAATAAAATATTAAGCTCAAATATAATAATCTTATTCAACTTACATCAATAAATTCAGTATGGATCTATACTAATATGAATATCCAGTATCTGAGCAACACAAGTTACCTTATCTTCATGGTCTTCCTGTTCTTTCCTAGCACAGTAGAGGGCGCTCAAACTTGGCACCGACTTTGTACGACACATGTTGATGAAACTTGACGCTAAAGGAAGAGTCTGGTTTACGCTCTCTGTGTCATTATGGACGAGACTGACATCTGGACTAAGGTCAAGGTCAACCTCAACATGATTCTCTGGTATTCTAATATTACGTAACTCTATTGTGTCTTCTTTAACCCACTGTGAACCTCCTTGATAAGCAAAGCAAACATTCAAAAGGCTTATATTTTTATACAGATATCATAATTTGATTAAAGCTACATTCAGCTTTACACAAAGTTAAATATGTTATTTTTTAGACAAATTGTTTCATATTACTGTCAAATCAAAAGAATTAAGGTAGAAAATGAAATTTGCCAACAATAAAATACAACAAACAATAAGGAAACCCCTCAATACCTCTAATGTACTGCTCTCTCTATTAAAATTAGCAAAGCAGACAAATCATTTACCGATCTTCTATATTTTAAACGAACATCACTTACACAATAAATAGCTCTCAGGATGTTGTCATGAGAAAGGCTTTACAGTGATATGATGCACTTTTCCAAATTAAATTTACTAAGATACTTAGTTTGAAACAACAAAGAATTGTTTTTCCAACAGAAAATAGAAGCTGAAGGCTGCATTAATCATGTCTGATTGTAAACATATAAAGATTTTAATCTGATTAAATTAAGGCAATTAACCAACTGCATTGAAAGTGATTCACATCTGGTAACATTTAAACAAGAGGGCCATGATGGCCCTGAGGTCGCTCACCTGTATATAGCCCCCCCCCCCCCCCCACACACACACTCATAAGAAGATGTTTCATGCTAAACATCTAAGCTCTAGCTCATTGGGCTTTTTAAAAGAAGATTTTTTTAAAGTTTTTACTATACACATATAGTTAAAAACAATGACAACCCTGGGGCGGGCCAGTTTTGACCCAAGAGCTTTTATTTGAACAAACTTTGTAGACACTTACTAGAAGATGTTTCATGCTTAATATCTAAACTCTAACTATTTGGGTTTTTTCAAAGAAGATTTTAAGTTTTTGCTATACACATATAAGGAAAATCAATGACCCCGGGGCGGGGCCAATTTTGACCCCAGGGCTTTTATTTGAACAAACTTGGTAGACACTCACTAGCCCATGTTTCATGCTTAATATCTTAACTCTAGCTTTTTGGGTTTTTTAAAAGAAGATTTTAAGTTTTTGCTATACACATATAAGGAAAATCAATGACCCCCGGGGCGGGGCCAATTTTGACCCCAGGGCTTTTATTTGAACAAACTTGGTAGACACCTATTAGAACATGTTTGATGCTAAATATCTTAGCTCTAGCTCTTTGAGTTCTTTAAAAGAAGATTTTTTAAGTTTTTACTATATGCATATAGGGAAATTCAATGACCCCCCTGGGGTGGGGCCAATTTTGACCCCAGGGCTTTTATTTGAACAAACTTGGTAGACACCCATAAGAAGATGTTTCATGCTAAACATCTAAGCTCTAGCTCATTGGGCTTTTTAAAAGAAGATTTTTTTAAGTTTTTACTATACACATATAGTTAAAAACAATGACACCCCTGGGGTGGGGCCAGTTTTGACCCCAGGGCTTTTATTTGAACAAACTTTGTAGACACTCACTAGAAGATGTTTCATGCTTAATATCTAAACTCTAGCTATTTGGGTTTTTTCAAAGAAGATTTTTTTAAGTTTTTGCTATACACATATAAGGAAAATCAATGACCCCCGGGGCGGGGCCAATTTTGACCCCAGGTCTTTTTTTTGAACAAACTTTGTAGACACTCACTAGCAGATGTTTCATGCTTAATATCTAAACACTAGCTATTTGGGTTTTTTCAAAGAAGATTTTTTAAGTTTTTGCTATACACATATAAGGAAAATCAATGACCCCCAGGGCGGGGCCAATTTTGACCCCAGGGCTTTTATTTGAACAAACTTGGTAGACACCCATTACAACATGTTTCATGCTAAATATCTTAGCTCTAGCTCTTTAAGTTCTTTAAAAGAAGATTTTTTAGGTTTTTACTATATGCATATAGGGAAAATCAATGACCCCTGGGGCGGGGCCAATTTTGACCCCAGGGCTTTTATTTGAACAAACTTGGTAGACACTCATTAGAACATGTTTCATGCTAAATATCTTAGCTCTAGCTCTTACGGTTCTTTAAAAGAAGATTTTTTAAATTTTTACTATATGCATATAGGGAAAATCATTGACCCCCTTGGGCGGGGCCAATTTTGACCCCAGGAATTTTATTTGAACAAACTTGGTAGACACTCACTAGAAGATGTTTCATGCTAAATATCTAAGCTCTAGCTCTTAGGGTTTTTTAAAAGAAGATATTTAAAGTTTTTTCTTTCGGTTGCCATGGCAACCAGAGTTCTGCATGGAATTAAATTCTTTGAACAATATTTAAAGGTGACCACCAAAGGAACATTCCTGTGAAGTTTGGATGAAATTGGCCTAGTGGTTTATGAGGAGATGTCATTTAAAGTAAAAGTTTACGGACGACGGACGGACGACGGACGCCGGGCGAAAAGCGATCACAAAAGCTCACCCTGTCACTTTGTGACAGGTGAGCTAAAAATCTAAGCCAGATCAAATATGGCCTTTAATTTATGCGCATAAAAAGCCCCAAAAAAATTTATTCATAAAAATCATTTTAAGATAACATACATTTAATGGCTTTCAATAACACAATAACACAACCTGGTTACTATTAACATACCTGTAGATTCACACTCATAAATGACTACACAAAGGTTGAAGAAACGACTATTTGGTGCTGTGCCCGAGTGTTTATGACCAGAACTGCGGTATGCTACAGCTACTCTACCAGTATATGCACAACTGATGGTCAATGGCTTTCCTGTAACACAAGATTCACAGTTCAGTAGAAGTCTTTAACCTCACTGTCATATAAGAAAACCTTTACTTATATCTTTACCTTTACCCTGTGACTTGCTAAGCTATAAATTTGGAACTGTCTAACAATATTGTTGGTTTAAAGAATTATAATTAAAGTTTTAAGTTTGGTAGATCAGACAGATGTTTTTGGGATTTTTTAATGGTGGGGGTTGTTGGAGGTTGGGTTTTAAATTTTAAATTCAACAACCTTAACAATTTGGTCACAGGCACTCTGCCATATGGATGTGAAAAATAGAATAACACCTGTTTGTAGTAATATGGATTCCCTATTCAATGGATACTAATACAGTCACATATTCTTTAACCCATTACTTCATATACACGCCTTTTAACGCCTTTTTCACCCCCCCCTTTTTTGTTGTCTCAAATGATGAAAAATGCCTTATTTAGGCCCCAAATACTTGTTTTTGTTTGAGAAATGTTGTTAAAAAAAGTGACCTCTTTTTCGGCGCGGCCCCCCAACCAAAAGATACATCAGGGGGTTGCCAGAAGGGGGATGTGCCCCCTTCTGTTTGGGGGGTTTGAAGGGGGGCGGAGTCCCCCTCATCGCCAAGAAAATTTTGGACTTGTGAGAGGCTGTAAATGACCCCAGATTGATGATAAGGTAACGTGTAACCAACGCTGAAAAGCATTTGACTCTATCTCAATCCATTGAGAAGTTGCAGCACTTTGAAATCAATTTTGATGGAAAAAATCAACGCAAAATAGTGATTTTTGGCAATTTTGAGATGTCCCCTCGTTGCCATGGTAACAGAAAATTTAAGCCTGAGCATGTTGTTGCAAGGGCAATGGTCCAGTCAACATTTGTGCCAAGTTTGATTAGTGTTGAAGCAGTTTTTTTAGTATTATAGCAATTTGAACTTGTAGCGGGAGACTTTTCAATGAAAACAGCCATTTTTCACAAAATGCTCATGAAGTAATGGGTTAATAATAAATAATGTGATCAAGTATTTTACAAAGTATATTGTACAGCAATTTTACTTAAAAGATACTATATAAATTATATTCTTACTAAATACATACAGTTTTAATGGCTCTTTTTTGTTCATACTTTTGCTAGTTTATGGCAATTCTTTAAAAGAAATTCTAACTAAAAATGAACACCGTATTACTTTATGGTAAACATGAGTGTGTTTGTTGTCAAATTTATGTCTTGAAAGTTCACCCTTTCAATAAAACATTGAACGATACCTTGGATATGTATATCACTAGATTTGTCGTCTCTGTACATTAGGTTCCACGGTGCCCAGCTGTATGCTGTATCTTGGTTTACATTCATTACACATGATTTTCTTCTCTGCTTACGTATGCCGTCTTCCTCCTCCACTCCAAACTCAAAACTCTTCATGGACAACACACTAGCTGACCCTACACCACTTAAATTGACTAGACCACTCATCACAGAGTTTGTATTGCACTTCCAAAATCTATATAGAGACAAATAAACAGATTACATTTACAAAATATATTATTAAACATATAAACAGTAAATTGTATTCCAAAACTATATAAATAGACTCGATGTACTATGTTTCCAAAATCTATAAACAGTTGCATTATCAGTGCATTGCATTTCCAACTTATAAATAGACACTAACTGTATTGCGTTTCTTAAATCTATGAATATACACGTAAGTAGTCATATTACACTTCCATAATCTATAAATAGAAAATTTTAAAATCTATAGACACACACATTGATAGAATATTGCATTAAATAGATACAAAAACTTTCTATTGCAATTACATGTATAAACTTTATAAATTATAAATTTTTTTTTCTTTTTACTTTAAATTCATGTATAAATAAACATACTCTAGCTGTGTATCTTTTCTGTATCAATTATATATGTTTTAATGTTTGAACTTTTAGAAAATAGCATACAAAATCGTCAAAATGATACAATAAAAGTTGCATCTTCATTACCAGAACTAAAAATGTAAAACTAACTTTAATTCAGACGAAGAAAATATACAACAGCAAAAAAACAACAAGACTTACTTAATGCTTCCATCGGAGCACGCAGTGACTAGAAGATAAGGTGCTAAGCATGCTGGGTATATGGAGGCGGAGCTAAGATGACCTGCCGATACATTTGCACATTTGACTTCAACCCCATCTGGTAGGGGCAACTTTTGACATGTTACCTAAAAAAAAAACAATGTAAGTAACATTTATATTTATAATTTATACATTATACAATAACAACAATTCTGTTTGAGACATAAAAGAGTTAAATGTGTATGTTTATAGAAACCTTACATATCTATCTCAACATTTTTATCATCCTCACTTTTTCTTTAATGGTCTAGCCAACTTCGAGATGATAGTCAAAGGTTTACACATTTAATACCAATTACCTTTAGAAGTTAATTTGGAAACTTCAAAGATGACTCCTTTCATGCAACAGTATTCTGAGACTATGGCCCCAAACGCAAAAATAATATCAGGGACTTACACTTATATAGCAGCAGAGAGCCTAACCGACTGAACTCTCTCCTCCCCCCCCCCCCCCCCCAACCCACAAATTTAAAGAACAAACAAAAAAACTCTTCTACAAAGCTGGAAAGGCTATACCACTACTAATTTTCTGTTTATAAAACTGCTTTGTTCATCAAGTCCCCATCAATATGCGGGTTAGAAAATAAAACAAAGATATATCTGCACCACTCTATGATAGAGGAAAGTCCAGATAACAAACAACTAATGCATTGTAAGTAGAAAATACCATAAAATTTACATTATCTTTACCTTTGTAGTGGAGACAAGCAGTTTAGCTGAAGTAGATTTGGTATTTGGAATTTCTGGAGAACCACTGCGAGAAGGGGGATTTGAACCGTCCTCACTGACTATTGTATAATCCATCATATATGTCTTATCTCCTATGTCTGGTTAATAAAATCATGAATAAATTATTTAAACAAAAAATAAATCCACAGGTTACAGTATTCACATTTTTGTGATCATTTTATTTCTTTAAGAAAGAATGGTAGATAGTAAAACTTTCTAGCGTCAATATAAACAACACAGCTAGTTCTTCTACTTAAGGTGACAACGGAGTCAATTATCTCTGAAAATACCTAAAATGAGATTTTTTGCTAAGAAGATTTATCAACCTTTTCTGAACACATTTGTGATTTAATTTTGGAAGCAGTTAGTCCAAAAAATGTGTTTTTAAACGTTTTAAAACGGAACCTATACTATTTGTATCTGCTATTCGCGTAACCTGTCAATTATCAATAACGCTCCGCCCCCTGTTGAGGCATCAATGAGGGAAATCGGTAGTTCCATATATCCGTGAATTACAGGTCCATACTGGTCCATACTTCTCGTAATACATGTATCGTACAACTAACGTACATCTTTTATGAATATCTCAACATTTAGCCTTTTTTATAAATTAAGAAATTGTCGGCCAATGTACGTAACATAATGTATGAAACATAAATAATTAAGCATAGCGGCAAATCGCACGACCACGGGGTTGATTAAAAATGTAGTTGCTAAAACATCCATAATGTGTGAAAATAATTTGTCTGTCCTGTTAATCTGATAGATATTACGTTGAGTTGATAGACTTTTGTACGGATTCAAGGGCTTACTTTACATTCAACCTCGTTTTCTAACAATGTCAAGTAAAACAACAACAAAAACAGACAACATTTTTATATGTGAACGCCTATGTGACTTGTGGAAAGGTGTCCCTGACAAATTTCTAAACCATTTTAGATTGTCTAAGGATGATTATTTCTCTATAAATAAAAAAAAAGATATTAAAATTTATTATATACTTATAAATGAAATATTGAGAAATATTGATGAAATAAAATGCGTATTTTCATTTTCCGTATTTTCACTGTAGAAATTTATTTTTCACTGCAGTGAAACATATTTTCCGTATTTTCACTGGTGTCTTGCCGGACTACTTTCTTTTAAATTCTACCAGTACACAAATTTAAGGGAAAGTCTTTCAAATTTTAATGTGAAAAAAGAGAAAATTGTATATAATAAACAGAAAATTCAAGTTTTTTCTTTAAATACACAATTTATTTTCATCTTGTGGCATGAAAATTACCATATTTCACTCGTGGCTACCGCCACTCATGAAATTTTTTTTTTCATACCACTCGATGAAAATAAATAATGTATTTATAGAAAAAACTTGAATATCCTCTATATATTCTCAGTGTAAATAAATTCTTCGCCAGTAAATCGGACACAGAACTAATAAATCTGGGACAAAGTATGAAATTTATTGTCTATCCCGGTAGAAACTGGATCTCTATGCCGTGCATAGATGATATTCATAATAGAAGTCAAGAAGGCCAGATCATAATGATCTAGTAATACCTTTTATTTCTATTAAAATATGTGAAGCATTATCAATTTGGTGGAAAAAATATATAATATCCCGTGCTTATTTGTACATCTACCATGGACTTTAAAAGACTGTCACAAGCTTAGTTTTTTGTTATTTTATTTTATATTTTAACGGAATTTCATACACGAATACACAGGCAGAGTGATACTGGTATAATACAATAATAATGCTAATGATAATAATAATAAACTTCAAAAAGGAAACAATTAAATACCCCGCTAGCGGTGCGCAAATGCGTTCCATTTCCCCCCCACTGAGTGCCTCAAATTTTACCGATAGTCACGTGACATGTGAGACAGATACCAGACGATCAGTAAATCACGTTAAGAATTGAAGAAATTTCAGCTATAAACTGATATTAATCAGCAGCTTTTTAATTGGTCAGATGTCACTGGGTCATAAAATGTTGTTAGAGTATGTTACCGCAACTTGTGACCCTCTCTGGTGCGATATTTGTGTATTATGCAATTATTTAGCGTGAAACGTAGGGGTCCGAGAGAGAACAGCCGATTTATGACACTTCGTTTGATGCGGGTCGGACTAACTTTGAATCGGCATAACTTCTTTAATAATCAAGCAATTAACATGCGGTTTAAAGCACATGAAAGGAAATTCATTTACGGAGGGAACCGTGTCAGGGATTTTTGTTTGCTCAATAGGCGACTTAATTATCTTTAATTACGTAATATGTATGGTGAAAAAAGTCGCATAAAATGTTTGACGTTACGTAATATTTTTTTGAGAAAAGATAGAAAAAATTTGAGACACGGTTCCCTAGATAATATAAGTATGGTTATTTTCAAAAAGTTTGATGACAAAAAATTAAAAAATGACTTTGATATGACGATTTAAAATTTTAGGATTTTTATTCAAAATCAATCATTTACAAAGGCATTTTTTTCAAATATGTTATTTTTTATGATGATCAACGACATTTAATGCACAAAGATTAAATAAATAACAATTATTACTAAAATAACTTTGTTTAAATGACATTTATGTGAGTACCACGGAAAGTGTCTGTTGTCACCTTAAAAGCACTCTAGTGATCTAACTCCATAAAATTACTATATGACCTCACAAGTTTGACTTTAAACCCAAATAATTCTTTTAAACAAAAATCTCCATAACTATTTTATATAGCAATGCAGTCCAAAATTTTATTATGACTGTTCTTCAAGCTAGGCACAGTTTATAAAAGACTGAGCATGTTCAATTCCATTGTTCTTTGAAACAAACATGTCATATACCGAAGAAGAATTTGCTCAACAAATCTTGCCATAATTATATTAAATTTGTTTAACAAAGTCGTAATAAAAATTTATCTATAAGTTTCCTCTACAGATCATTTTCATCAATAAAATGTGAAAGTTTAATAACAAAATTATAGAAAAATAATTTTTCTACTACAGTTTATTTTTGTGCACCTGACATTGTTTGAAGAATGCAAAAGAAGACATAAGCTGCATAGAACAATAAATTGATTACTATGTTCAAACTGACAAATCTATAATTATCCAATAACATTCATATTAGGAAATATTATATATATCTTATTTTCAAAATGCACCGGATCATACATACTATCTGATATTGCTGAACCTATCTGTGCAGAAGAAATGGTAATTTTCCACATGTGAAGAGTAGATCCCCCTTCTTGTAACTTTTCTAACCCAACTAGAAAGAAATTTTCCTCAAACGAGCCAATATTGCGGAGGTCGACTATCGGATCAATATTACTTTCTCCCCTGACACTGCTTTTACCCGTAACTAGTGGTTCTTGGAACACATGTAGGAGCTGAGTGCTCTGCCATATCTGTTAAAAGACAACAAGACAAACTCATAGAATGAAACCTTTTGCATACTAGGCCACAACAAAGACCTGAGATACTGTTATCTTCATCACAGTTAAAACAAGCAATTATCATAGTATTGCAAGCAATCCATAAGTCCCCTACCGGTTAGAACCCCAGCAACATTCTGATGGGCCATTGGCCATTCAATTTTACCAGTGAATGAATGACATGAATGAACTTAAATCTTTTGAGTTCTAAGTTTGTCTATATCACATTAATGTGTTAAGTTTCCCTGCCTAGTAAGGAAATTATGTTTATACAACCTTGTCATATTATTACAATGTGGGATTTTAAAGTAAATCCTATAAGGAATGAAGAAGTTGGAGTGAAAAATACCAATTTCTCGAAAAAAATCTAAGTTCAAGGGGGACATAATTCTGGAAATAGTCTTGCTAGAGTATTTAACCTTCTCAAAAATGTTGAGTGATAATAAGAAACATATATATGAAGTTTGAAGTAGATACATTAGGAAATAAAGAAGTTATTCAAAAAAGACAACATTTTTTTTTTCATAAAAATTCTAAGTTCAAGGGAGGTAATACTGATAATTTTTGTGCTAGAGTTATAAACCTTGTCACATATGATGTGGTTGATGACCAGAAACTTATATTTAAAGTTTGAAGTAAACACCTTAAGAAATAAAGAACTTATAGTGAAAAAGCTTAAAAATTTAAATCAGAAATCTTGAAATTCAGGCTATTTGTTGCCATAGCAACCAGAATTTTCAACATAGGAAGAAAAGAAAAAAATGTGCATAATCTCCAGACTGCCATCTACCCATATTTCAAGTTTCATAAAAATATTTTCAGTACTTTTTGAGTTATCACTGGATCCAGTTTATGTGTTAAATTTGCCATATTTTCAGACTATTTGTTGCCATAGCAACCAGAATTTTCAACATAGGAGGAAAACAAAAAGACGTGCATAACCTCCATACTGCCATCTATCCATATATCAAGTTTCATAAAAATATTTTCAGTACTTTTTGCGTTATCGCGGGATCCAGTTTTGTGGACGGACGGACTGACAGACAGACGGACGGACGGACGGAGGGAGGGTAAACCTAAAGTCCCCTCCGGTTAAACCGGTAGGGGACTAACAAGAGCATTTAAAGTTCTTTTCCTATGTTAAATCAGTGGATTGTGGTCAAACTGAAGTACATCCAAGTTTTGATATACATAAAATAATGACAAGTTTCCTTTTTTAAAAAGTATTTAATTATACAACCAATTTTAACAATATCACCTCCATTCGTATGGTTATGTATCACAGTACAGTTTTTGGAAGGTCCAGTTTTCTGAAAGTCTTGTTTTGTTCAGAGGATTTGTTGATAATATTTTTTCAATCCAAAGAAACACATTACCTGTTGGGTATCTGTAAATGCATCCAGCTCTATTATACAGCCTGGTCTAGCGGAGGATTGCACACTGACAACATTAAACAGTTCTGATGGAGGGTCCTGAACCTCGTAGCTGTAACCAGAACTTGTTGTACTGCAAAAACTCATATTCTAAAACAAACAAAAGTGTACATTTCATTAATAATCATCATGCAATGAAAACTTTTGATCTGACTGTTCCTTTATTCTGATTCTTTAGTTTTTCAAAATATTGAGAATTTTTCAAATGTTGACAGATATAATTATATAAACATGTAATATTAAAATGTAGTACAAGAGACTGATATATATGAGCAATAACATAAGGTAGCAAAAGTGGGCCCTTGGGGCTCTGTCTCATTCTGTTTCAGATAATATTACATCTGTGTATTAAAATGTTTTAAATCCATGACTTCCTCATGGGTTATCACCTGAAAACAATGAGACAGACAAACCCACTATTTGACACCACTTCTAAACACCTTCTGAACTTAATTTATTCACTTATCAAGTCTTCAACACTTATCTAGTTTTCAACTAAGACAGAAGTTGGTTTCATAATAAACAATGATACCTCTTTTCTGCAGTTGACTTCAGTGAGTAATGATCTGGCATCTATAACTGCCTGGTATAGTTTCAGACAATCACCATCTGATGCAACAAACAGCGTGCTCGGAGAGTTACTGTATGCTCCAAGGATTGTGCTTAAAAAAAGAAATTATAACACGTCCAAATTAAACTATACAATAAAACATAATACTTAAGGTTGTTTTCAAATTAAAACAGCATAGTTCACAGCATAATTCAATAAAAAGACATAACAGTAAAGGCCACAATATCACTTTCCCATTTCATTAATTAATTCAAACAACTGAATATTTAAACAGATGACTGCAAAAGATTTGTTTGTTACAAATAAAGAATTAAACATCTTAGATTTTATGTAACATGTAAAAGAAATATAACCAACCTGGGTAATAATGTTGGAACCCATGCTACATCACTAAATGCTGACCGTTTTGTTGAATTAATTTTTGCCAGTTCCACAATTCCACCTGATTTTGAAAGTGGCCCAACCGGATCTACCCGCCATAATATAAGTTCACTGCAGTAGGTAAACCCGGTTTTACCTATATCATTTTCATCCTCTCCAATATCAAAACTGCTATTATCCGCTTCTGACTTAGGTACAATATGTTGCGAGGTTGTGATCAATAGTGGCAGAGCCGGGTGACAAGTTGCTGTATTTGTTCTAAACCTATGCCCGCAAGCACGTGAAACATGCGCTACGCTTACTACAGTTTTAAATTTTGACTCTTCCGCAAAACTGATTTGCCACTGGTTTAGAGAGCCATTGGAATGTTTAGAGATCATTAGCACATTTGGAATTAACATATTGTCATTTTGTCCCGGAGAAGATTTTCCGGTTGCCGCTGACGACTGCTTGACCTTGTAATCAGCTTTGTCACCTTCCGACATTTTCATGGCAGATTTAATATCCATTTTACTATAGTTACAGTACATTAATGGTACACATTCCATAGTTCTAGCATCAGGAATTGGAAAAGCTCGTGGAAGCCGTGAAGAAAAACTAATTTGTGCTTGTCTAAACGAGAATGGGGTGTATTCATCTAGCCAATCAATGTGCCTGAAAAGATAGACCAATCAAATGTGTTCAATGAAATAACATTGCTCTAAGTTGTAACCAGATTATTGTTTGCTAAACCCTTAACATGCTTTAATACTGTGAATACACTTAATTTCGTGAACATGAAATTACGCGGTTTCTTCACAATTTTTTTTTTTGTGGGTTCTTAAATTTGTGGACTGTTTTTGTTTTTAAAAAGTAAAATGTAAATTTGATGCAAAATAATCTTACAGCAGATGAAATGAAATTTCACTGGATCTTAATTTCATGGATTAAACTATCCATGAAAACCAAAAAAAATAAGTTAAGTTCAAGAGTTATCATGGTCTTCACTGTTCAAAATTCAGTAAATATTTTTCATTTTGGTTTTCCCTAAATTCATAAAGAGTTCAGTCTATGTTGAAGGATGGGCAGGTTTATTTAAGATTTTTAGCGTAGTATGGGTTTGTTTACGATGTGAATTTTTTGTCAAAATGTCATTTCTCAGCATGCATAACAATACATCAGCATAAAATGTCACAGTTTGTTGCATACAAGTCTTTTACAGTTACAATATGTATATTATTTTCTTAATTTGTATTCTCTCCTAACATAAAGTACATAAGATTCCTTCTTATAAAACTTACCAAACCAGAAAACTTCCATCTACAGGATGAATACTAAACAACATATCTGCATTTGTGTGCCAATCTTTCAATAAACCCTCAATCTTTCTGTCTATACTGTCCAGTAGTGAACTCTGAAAACATTTTTGTATTATTCATCTATATCAATATATAACATTTTTGTCTCCATAAATTGTTCTCCTTAATCTGTATTATGACAATTATATAAGACAGTCTACAGCTAATATCTACTTTAACAGACACTGCATCAGATATCACTAGAATGTGTTATTCTATTTGGAAAAATGTAAAATATATTAAGAGCTACTTTCAAAGGAGTTAAACAATGTGTTTTTTCATAGACTAATTTGAGGAAAATGCAAGCATTGTGCTGGTACAAAGGTTCCTGTATATGACCAAAATAGCATTACAAACTGACATTTAACTTAATCAGCAAAACATTTTAAACTTTCAAATATTTGGATGGGTTCTTTATGAAAATAGTCATGAAATTGTTCAAGATAAACATAGACTCTCCATTAATTCTACTTGTGATCAGCTTGCTTTCATTACCAAAAAACTTTCAAGTCAAACAGACACTGTAATGGTCACAAAATAACATTCCAGCTTTTTCTGTTGAATTATACCATTGTATTCCTGTGTGCATTATTTCAGGCAGTGGCATCAAGCAGACACCTGGGTAGAATAACTAACCTTCAATAAAGTAGCTGGACAGTTATAACAACAATTCTGACACTCCACTCAAAACTTACATGTGACTCAGGACTTGACAAAGGATCGGACATATCAGAGCCAATGCTAGAGCTAGTCCCTGTATGATATCCTAAACCTGGTAAATCTTTCCCCAATCCTGTAGTCTTACTATTCTTAAACATTGTTCTTCTCTTTTTCTGCCACACACCTGAAATCAGATCAACATTTATACTATTAATAGAAATAAAGTTTGGTGGGTTTTTTTTGGACAAGTTATGTGGCTCGTTGGAAAATTCGTGGGCTTCTCTATATAATCAGTTCCATCATAACTTCATGAAGCATGCAAGAAAACCAAAATTAAACTGCTACTACTTTGACCCTATTCAACTAAAATACAACATAATGATTGACACTTAGCTTGTACACTTGACAATTCCCAGAAACATTTTCATTTAGCCTCATTCCCACTCCCCAATTCCTAAATATATTCCATTAAACATTACCATTTTCATCAGGTTCTTCATGGTAGGCATCACTATCAGAGTCGGTGTGACTCTCACCGTGACCATGGTGATCGTGATCATGATGGTCGTGATCATCGTACACACCGTGTTTGTGCATTTCCTGTAGTATCTTCTCTGACTCCATCGTAAACTGTAGCTCCTTATTGTTTAACCAGTGTAGTTGAAAATTGTGCTCCACACCTTTATGACTGACCACAGGTAACAATGGAATGTCTGGGGAAAAAAATGCAAAAATATCTACAATTCAAATCATATGCTTTTGATAACTAAACCCCATATTTCTGATCATTTTTAACCTTTCATTGTCATGATTTTAGAAGAGAACTTCTGCCGTGCTTTGACTTTGGAACTTCATTGGTTTAAACATATTTTTATTAAAGATATATACACATGTTAATAATTTACAACTTAAAGCAGAAAGGAATTGGAAGGAGAGCTGCAATTGCTCATATGGTAGTCCTCTCCTTGAACTACACTTTGATACAAAGAGGAATTTTAAAATCAACCTCTTATTATTAAGCAACTAAGAACGTGAGGATTATTGGTGTGGAGGCTGGCACCTGGCTCTATACTGGTAGCAAAATCTAGTTCGAGGTAGCCGACACAAGAGTTTTTCAAAGCTGTATAGTCAAGCCTGGCCAGCTGCACATGAGTGCCTACTGCTTGACTCTACACTACGGACAATGGCTGTTCCCTTACAGTTCATGCGTTCTATGTGTAAACATACCTGTTTCAGGGTTAATACTGGCTGCTAAATGGAAATGGACTGCTGGAACAACACCGTTCTGGTAAATGTGGAACTTGTGGAAGTCATGGGCGCTGTTGACACTGCTCAAACTTGGCATGCTCATAACAATCTCCGGACCAAACTTGGTGTGCTTCTTTCTCTTGTGAATGGCATGTCTAAAAATATTATAACCATAAAATGAGCCGCGTCATGACAAAACCAACATAATGGGTTTGCGACCAGCATGGATCCAGACCAGCCTGCGCATCCGCGCAGTCTGATCAGCATCCATGCTGTTGGCTTACCAACCCTATTACAAGTAGAGAAACTGATAGCGAACAGCATAGATCCTGATCAGACTGTGCGGATGCACAGGCTGGTCTGGACCCATGCTGTTCGCAAACCCATTATGTTGGTTTTGTCGTGTCACGGCTCAAATAATCTCTGTAACTCAGTAGATAATTTTATATGATAAAGATATTTAAGGTGTCTGATATAATAATAATTTGATTCTATTCTGAGTAACGAACATTGGAAAGAAGAAATACAAATACAATACATCCAACAAAATAGTTTTTATCATAAAAAGTAGGTTAAAAATATTGGTCATACATATCATGAATATTTAAGTAAAAATCTTACTTTGAAGTTAAAAACTAATTTAATAAGTCATTATCAGAGGTAATTAATTTCATTTTATACGGAAAAATCAGCTGTATTCTGGAATATGCTGGATTTTTGTTGTTATTGATGTTGTTTTATTCCTGTGAAAAAAATCAGAAAATTCTTAACTTCCATTAAAGGCTTAAATCGTCATTACTTGTATGGAATTATTTTACATAGATGTTGTATGGAATTATGTTATGTGTGTGCTGTAAAAGACTAAATAAAAGAATTGAGATACACATATAAGGACAAGTTAAGCATTCATATAATGTAACAATTATGGACATGGCGACACAGCTCGGCATAATAAGTAAGTCGTTAATTCTAATTACCTGTAATATCCCATAATGATAATTCATGGTTAGTGTATACAGATTACAAAATGTCAGCTTAGTAACATATATATTTCTCTAAATATTAAAAATAAGGTTAATTTTTTATATACAAAGTGCATAAATAACATTTATATTTGTTTACTTTTCATAAATACATTACTAATTGTACATTCTTTAATAATCTGTTAAATTAAGCACACATACCAGTAAAAATACCTTTGTGAATCTGTCATTACTTCATGTTATAAAGTCAAGTTTCTTCAATTCTTGTAACAATTTGATGCATTTTTATTTTAATTTCAGTCAGGAGTGACCATCACTTTAAAAGTAAACAAAAAATTCATCCCATGCAGGATTTAAACCAATATTGGTGAGGGGCAAGTGATTTAAAGTTGACAACTTAACCACCTGGCCACAAAGGACCCTTAGGACTTATGGTTAAGGGGAAATGGTGAAAAAGGGGAAATATAGAAAAAGACAAGAAAGTCCATTTTAAATTAAATTGTGATACAATACCCTTATCATTTCAAACTAAAATTTAGTGTCCCTCATTATGGATTATGGATCTCAAAAATAAATAATCTGTTTTGGCTGTTGGACAGGATTTTTCAGTAATAGGGGAAAGATATATACTTTTGCAAGAGGGGAACAGGACTGGATATAATTTAGCTCTAAAAGACATTGCCCTACCACTACTTCTGTCACATAAATTTAATGGCAGTTTAAGAAACCTGAAACCTGTGACGTTTTTTCTTTACTAAAACTAACCTTTTCTCCAGTAGTTTAGTTCTAGGTATGCAAAACTGTCCAAGTTAACTTTATCTTGCTGTCTTTTTTACAATTTCAGTAATATATAACCATTTTTTTCTTTGTAGAGACTCTAGAGGACAACTAAGTTGAACTAACCCTGTAAATCACTATCAGTATAAGATGGCAAGTGTGCTTATTTAAAAGTTATTTTCATACAAAATTACCTTTCAGTACCTAAGTCATTCCCTCTAAAGTAGAAAGGAAATATCAATAAATAGTATCTTAACATATCTTTATACATGTATATAAATTCAATACCAATATACCAACAATATAAGTTACATACATGATATATCTAGGACCTATCCTTAGCATATTCTGGTTATACATTCCTTTACAAGAAATCAATAAACTTATCAAACTAAAATAAATTCTGTAAAAAAATAAAGTCATACTCATTGACTGGATCTCAAAAGTTCAAAAGAAGTTTAAAAGAACTAAACTATAGTTTTGTTCCAACCACCAATTTTATTCATACATGGGCAATGCTTACCGCTCATCTTTGAAATATTAAAATAAAACATTGATGTTGTGCAAGGGATGTGTGAATTGTTGTTCTTGTTGTTTTCTTGTTATCTTCGAAAACAATTATGGCATGCAGAAACAGAAAGTAATTATTATAGTACATTAAAAATACATTCCTAGCTGTATACGTAACTGAAAATATATCAAACAATAGACAGAAAATATATCTTTTTCATAAGCAAGCCTATAATTCCAAACACCAAACTTATGTTTGCATAACCATTCCTTTAACTTTCCCTATTTGCCATAAAAGATCATTCACCAGCCATCCCTATTTGCATAAGAGGTTATTTCCCTGCACATGTCAGGCCATCCTTTTGATCCCATTATGGAAAGACCATTCCTGGTTCATCCTTATATATAATACAATGGTCTGATATATACTGACTACTGTAAAACCTGATGCCATATATGTTAAGCATGCATCTTTATTAAACCACATCTTCACCATCCTTGTACTGTTCCAAGAGGTTCAACTGTTCAGTAAAAAAAGCTTGGTTAAGGAATACCTATCCCAAAATGATACATAAAAATATTCTGTAACCAGCAAGCTTTGTTTGTTATGTTTTTTCCTTTTTTTTTCTATACCTGATAAACTTCTGTCTATATACAGGACAGTTCATTAACCTATCCTTATAGGGAGCTCTTTGGTTGTCACATACTTCATTGCTAAAATATTAAAATACCAACATATATCTTCACATTGTTTATGTTTAAACATAAATAAGCCTAAGCCATTATACACGTGCCTGGTTAAGTGAAGATAATAAAAATAATACATTATATAATTAAATTCAGTGATTTTTAAAAAATACATTTTTTTGGCAATAATTTATGACTTTTAAACTATGACATTGTAGTGTGAATTTGGGAAATTAATTACATAAACTTATATAAAAAAATCAAAATCACTTTATTTCAATTGACTTTTATTATATAAATGGTATAATTTTATATAAATCTATGCTTCAAAACTGAGCTTGTTGGCCAAAAAAAAATCAAAATATTCTGAATTTTCAATACTAAATTGACAAAAAGAAAAATTCTCAATACTAAATTGGAAATTTTATCAGTTATGAAAATTTGGAAAAAGCAAGAATTCTGCATATATTTCATTAAAAGATCACTGACACATAGATAACTCATCTTATAATCATACAAATATAAACACTGAAACAACAACAAAAAATACCTAAATCAAAACAAAAGTAAAATAACAAATTATATGATAAACAAAATATCTTTCTACAGAAACACCCCAATGCTTTAAATAACTCTCCTCTTTTGAGTGTAGCCATTTCTGAAAGGTGGTCATTTCCTAAGCATATATCAATCTAAATGCTTTTAACTTTCCTTATACAAAGAGATTTCCTAATCAATAATATGGCTTTATATAAATGATTTCATTGGCTGCACGGTTCAATCCATTCATCTGGTTTGCATTTGTTTAATTAGGAAATAGATATCAATTCTGAGTGCATAGTTGTAGAATAATGCACGGTTTGAATTCAAATGCGTAGTAATATAATCACGAAGGCCGATAGAATGAAGCATTTGAACGAAAAACGTGCATTATTATACAATAATGCTTGAAGAATTAATATCTATTTCCATTCTAACACATCAAGAAAAAATATAATTATTATTATAAAGTTGGACTTTATGCTTGGTGGTTAAATTTGTTTTCGCCTCAAAGTTTCCAATAGTGCACTGCACAGCTATATAATGTATATCAATGAATTTTGTACAGTTACTAGTACAATTATGTCAGGTAATGTAGTACTGAACTGGTGTTGCTCTGTACTTCTACATAAACAAAGGCTGCTCTAGATATAAACTAGAAATGTGTCCATAGGACACGGGTGCCCCCACCGCGCCACTGTTCTGTCAATCTTTTTACTAAGTCAAGGGAAATAACTCTACAAATACTGGATAAATCCACAAGCAAAACACCAGGTGCAAATCTAAATATGCTGAGCAACCTGCCCATAAGGTTTAATGACTATGTCAAATCCTTTTTGAGTAACTTGCGACACAAGTTGAAAATTGCAAAAAATTTCTAAGTGAAGGGCAATAACTCTAAAAATTCTAAATAAATCCAGACGAAAATAACTGGTGTACAACTGCACATGCTGATCAATATTCCTGTAAAGTTACATGACTCTAGATCAAATACTTTTTGAGTTACGTGCGACACATGTTGAAAATTGCAAAATTTTACTAAGTCAAGGGCAATAACTCTAAAAATACTAAAAATATCCACACGAAAATACCCAGGTGCACAACTACACATGCTGATCAACATTCCTGTAAAGTTTCATGACTCTAGGTCAAATACTTTTAGAGTTACGTGCGACACAAGTTGAAAATTGCAAAATTTTACTAAGTCAAGGGCAATAACTCTGAAAATACTAAAAATATCCACACGAAAATACACAGGTGCACAACTACACATGCTGATCAACATTCCTGTAAAGTTTCATGACTCTAGGTCAAATACTTTTTGAGTTACATGCGACACAAGTTGAAAATTGCAAAATTTTACTAAGTCAAGGGCAATAACTCTGAAAATACTAAAAATATCCACACGAAAATACACAGGTGCACAACTACACATGCTGATCAACATTCCTGTAAAGTTTCATGACTCTAGGTCAAATACTTTTTGAGTTAAATGCGACACAAGTTGGAAATTGCAAAATTTTACTAAGTCAAGGGCAATAACTCTGAAAATACTATAAATGTCCACACGAAAATACCCAGGTGCACAACAACACATGCTGATCAACATTCCTGTAAAGTTTCATGACTCTAGGGCAAATACTTTTTGAGTTACATGCAACACAAGTTGAAAATTGCAAAATTTTATTAAGTCAAGGGCAATAACTCTGAAAATACTAAAAATATCCAGACGAAAATACCCAGGTGCACAACTACACATGCTGATCAACATTCCTGTAAAGTTTCATGACTCTAGGGCAAATACTTTTTGAGTTACATGCAACACAAGTTGAAAATTGCAAAATTTTATTAAGTCAAGGGCAATAACTCTGAAAATACTAAAAATATCCAGACGAAAATACCCAGGTGCACAACTACACATGCTGATCAACATTCCTGTAAAGTTTCATGACTCTAGGGCAAATACTTTTTGAGTTACGTGCGACACAAAAGTGAACGGACGGACGGACGGAAGGACGGACGGACAAGGGTAAATCTAAATGCCCGCCACTAACGTGGGGGCACAAAAAGGTTGCACTGTGTACATAAACACAGGTAGCACTGTGCAAGTATACATTTACAAATGATGCACTGTTCTAGTTAACATAAACAAAGGTTGCTCTGTGTATATAAAAACAGGTTGCACAGTACTTATAAAAATAAACATAGGTGGCACTGTGTACACTAACAAAGGATGCAATGCATATACTAACAAAGGTGGCACTGTGAAGATTAACAAAGGATGCACTGCGTATACTAACAAAGGTGGCACTGTATATATTAACAAATGTGTCACTGTATATATTAACAAATGTGGCACTGTGTATGTAAAATCAGGTTGCACAGTACTAATATAAATAAACAAAGGTTTCACTGTACTAATATATATAAACAAAGGTAGCACTGTACTAGGTTGCACTGAGTATATTAACAAAAGTTGTAATGTAACAGTTCAACATTGTTATTCTACATCCAGAAAAAATTGCACTATGCATTAAAAGAAACAACACAGATCTGATTGTATGTTTTCAACATAAGACAGCACATATAAGTATGCTCAGTGCTTGACAGAAAGAAAAGGAGCACAACTCTGTAAAAAGGTCACTCAGACTTACTGGATTGTGCCAAATATATTCGATAATCAGTAATAATCACAGAGAACAAGTGACTGAAGTTTCAACAAATTCCCTCCAGTGGTTTTTGAGATACCATCTTGCACCAAAATATCATGAGTTGGTGAGTAAAATAGCAGTCCCTATTCTTTGAAAATAGTCGAGTTAAAAATTGGATGGTTTGACTCACAAGACAAATATACATGTAATTATTACTTCCATCATTTAACGGGCTAAAGTCAATAATTTTATAATGTTATCTGCTATCTACACAAACAAACTGCATGTTACACAAACAAAATACATGTAAAGGTCAGATAAAATCTATAAAACTTGGTTTGAAATTAGCGATAGACTGATGATGTATTACATGAAAGTTAAAGAGAAACAATATTGATAGTCTGGTCGCAAACACACTATGTTGGTTTTGTCATGACACGGCTCAATTATGCACATGTTGTTTGGTCAAATTTGAAAAATGGTGCGAGGATTATGAACATACATTGTACTACATTCATGTACACTAAGGCTATGAAAACATTATGGCCATGACTGCCCTACATCACTCACCTGAATTACATTTTTTTTTAATGATGATTTAAGATTTTTATCTCAGATGGTCAGTATCAATTTGGAGGTTGTTGAGAGACATTTCTATACTGAACTCTAGTGGCCCCTTATTAGGGGTTTAACAAATTCATTTGCATAAATATTAAAGAGGACAAAATTGATAAACTAATTAAATTTTATTATAGAAGTTATTTTTTGTGTTTTTTTTTTTGTTTTTTTTGTTGTTGATAATTTACAAACGAAGCCATTTTAAGATTTTTTTTAGCACTTACAGATTTCTGCTTCTATTTTCAATCATAAGGCACCTAACTTCAAAATCTATTTGACAAACTGCTACATAAATGTACGTATATCTACGCTTTTAGCCTGATGGAAAATTTTCAATTGGAAACAATTTCCTGCTAGTGCTATAGTTTCAGAGAAAAAAAATCTTCCTACAAAATATACATGTACTAGTAAGTGAACCCAGGAGAATGCCATTTCAGACTCCAGGAACCATTTTCTATCACAAGAGGACTGACCAAAACAAGCACAACTTATTATTATAGAACTTTAGCTGAGGACAATCACGCAATGAATACAAACCAAAGTTTTACGTCTATTATATTTTATATTTAATTTTCAAATTCTATTTTTAGGTCTGTGACCTACATTATGCATCAGACCAGAACCACTTACTATACATGTACTATAACAGGGCTATTCATGTGAACATTTTTGTTCAAAATCAACTCTCTAATTTTGGGAGGAGATGTCAAAAAAAAATTGTTGATAAAACACAAGACAGAAATCAGGAGATCACATTAGCTAAACAACAACAACAACAAAAGCAGTAGGAGAATGATATATCTAACATTTGTGCAATATGCTGTTGTGGCAAATACTTGCTCATATATCTAATTATACTACATACTGTCCCATATGCACTGTCCAATCATGTGCCCGTTATCTTAAAGTCAATTTTTATATGGTTACTACATCAGCAAAATAGTAAGCAACTATGATTTCGTAACACCTTGACATAAAATCAGATAATGATTCATGGAAATTCTTCTCCCTCCCTCTTCAGGCTATATGGGACAATATGTTACAGGCCATGCCTTTGGTAGAGTGGGTATTGAATAAATGGTACAAAGCATGCTTGTATTTCTAGTATTGCCTACCAGCTCAAACATTTTACACTGAACCCTTACCCTGCTGAAACTGAAATTTGATTGACTTTGCTTCCAGTATAGAGATAGGGCAACTGCAAACTTCATGCAGTCTAACCAGGATCTATACTGTTTGACTGGCTAACTTGAAATTTTCATCATAATATCTCTAAAATTGATAATGGACAATTCCAAAAATGGACATTGAACCAGTCCATTTAAGGAGTTCAGCAGGTTAAAGGTTAAAACATTGAGATATATCAGATGGAACATGGTGCATGACATACAAGTCTTGAATGTCTCACCTCTCATATTGGTGCATGTGAATCCTGAGTGCAATAACAAAAAAATAAAGCATGTGTTAACATAAATTATTTGAATACATAACAACAAATCTTCAACAAAAAGGAAGCATGTGTTATTATTGTAGAATAACTAATATAATCATTCACAGCTCAAAATTTTAAGGCGCTCCATTCAGTTGTAGCTAATAAGTACCCGGCAAAATATACCTTTTTAATACTTATGTGGAAAAATGGTCATTTAACCATGAATTTATAATTTCTATAACATCTAGGCCTGTATTTGGTAGTAACCATTGTCAAGATCAAAATTAAAATTTAGTGGCCAAGTGGCCTAGTATTTAACCTGTCACACCAGTCATCTAAGGATTTGTGGTCGGATGGGTTCAAACCCTGTCAGGAGAATGCTGGTTTTCCTAGAGCAAGAAATTTTACACTAATTGCTCATTGCTTCCAGGAACAGATTCCAAAGCTTATACATGTAGCTTCCTACACAAGCTAAAACAAATTCTGCATTAATTAAAACTTGGTTTGAATTGACATAAGATAATGTAATTTCAGAAAAGTTTCTTCAATACTATCTAAGATATGAACTTTTGATCAAAATATTTATCCTGATCTTAAATCTGATCTTTATTTTGATCTGGTGGCTATTGTTACTCCTAAATCTTATTCCAAATTATTTAGCTTCATAAATCTGAAGTTTATGAACTAAAATGTAATTTTATCAGTCTAAATGGACAGATTTGATTTGATCCTCATTATTTTCATTGTGAGCAGAGGGCCTGGTTACATAATTCTTTATATTTATCTATATAATAAAAAGTATAAATTAGGTAAACAAGCTTATAATAGATGCATCACCTTAACCAAGAAAAGAAGCACATGTCAAATGTATCATCTCTTTATACACCTATCTTCATTACGCAAAAGAGCAACAGAAGCAAAAGATGGTTCAGATAAGTTACTTTTTGGAAACTTTAACAAGACATCAAAAATAAAAGCTTTTGAAAAATAAAAACAATCCTGACACATATATGGGGCCTTTAAACTGATTCTGATTGAGACAGGTTTATTTTTCAATCATAAAATTACCAAAACAGACTTTATTTTTTAATGGATGTCAAATAAATGCTTGTATTCAATTGTAAAATTTAGTTACCCTATTAGTTTTACATCAAAGGTCATGTGTTTGAACTAGTGATGGAAATCGGATGGAATTTGTCCCAATCGATCATCGGTTCAATCGGATGGGCCATAATTGATAACTTTTCAAATAAAGTTGTGTTAAAAAGAAATAGGGAAGAAACATTTCTTCCAATGGCATCGGCAAAGAAAATTACCGTCAGAAATAATTCCCTTTGATACTTTAAACATTGTCGACGACGTCGCGGAACAAATTTTTGTTAATCGATTATGTCGCTTTACATAACAGTAACCGATTATCGGCGACTTACGACAATTGGAACATCACTAGTTTGAACTACTTCAATCCTTCTTATTTTTCAATATGATAATGAATAATAGCTAATATTTCCTAGAGAGTTATGAAACGTGTTCACAATAATTAACAACCTCTGACAAACTGTGAACTATGAAACAAACAACACACAATCCTTTGTCATACATGTACACATGCGTGAGTATATTTACATGTACATGTATATATATATATAATCGTATAACAAAGAAGAATGCCCAGAAATCATAAAACATTGAGTTAATGGGCATCCAAATACTGTTTAACTAATAAAGTAAGTACCAGGGGGAGTTCAATAAAACTGTAGAACTCGTTTTTTTCCCCCATACAATTCAAGATTGTGCCATATTTTTTCAAAATCTCTTGATGCATGACAGAGCTATGGTCCAGTCAAGATTTTCAAACTGCTGACCTTTAACCTCTTTGACCATGACCTAGCAATTGGGGGAAATAGATCTTGCGAATGGCACACCATCTCATAATGCTTAACATTTGTGCCAAAATATTTCAAAATCCTTTAATGCATAGCAGGGTAATTGGCCAGACAAGGTTCCGAACATCCATGCATGCAGACGGATGGACGCGGGTACCAACATAGGCCCCATTACAATTATCATTGTGGGGACATTAAAAACTCCTATTCACAAAGTTCAGGAAAGGAAACCTTGACTGAAGAATAACAAATTAATAGAATGTTAAAATGCCATTTTGATACTCCAGTCTTACAAGTCTCTACACTGTTTGCTGATTCACTTAATATTTTCATCTTGATATACAACAAAGTGATAAATGACACTTCCAAAAATGGAAGCTGGACAAGTCCATTTAAGAAATCAGCAGATTTAGGGTTAAGATATACATAACTTTCAGAAAACATTTAAATATTACGGATATATTTTTCTATTACTATATGCCTGGGTCATAAAAAATTAAATATAAAATTAGTTTGGTTGTAGATATTTTAATTTAGTAAGTTCTTTAAAAGCATAATACCACTAACAATACAGCACTGAAATTGTGTTAGTGAATATTTTAGGATGAAAATACACAAGTACTGAACTTCAAAATTAAAATTCAAAGACCTTTTATTTAAAAGATAAGAGTATAAAAACAAGGGCAGTTAAACTTGTTATATAAAACTGTAGAATTAAAAGTACACAATGTTTATCCAACAACCTTTGAACAACTTGGTAAACAAATGACAAAGCACAGACTATCCCAACAGTTCAAAAGCCGACCAAACTCACGTGAGGTAAAAAGGGATAAGTTTATTTACGACATTTATCTCCTTAGCAACAGAAAGCAGGAATGGTACTGACGTATATGGATAGGTTTACGTAAACATATTCATGTTCTTGAATATACATGTATATGCATATACTATGTTAATACATGTATATTTCTTGAAATATGAAAAGCTGGAATTTCTTACTGTCACAAAAGCTTCATACAATTCCAACCAAAACATAGGTTTTAAAGTTTATGACAAACCGAAATTAGTAAAACTATATATTTATACAAAAACAAAATTAATGAGAATCACATTTATATTGAAATATATACTTTCAAAACATAAATACCTGATTGTTTTCAACCTTTGCATGAACCTCTTCTTGTGCCGTTGCATGTGAAATTTGGGGTCAAATGAAGAATTGGGCTCAAACTGCTCGAGATCAACGAGGCCGTCATCTGGCAGGATGGTTTCCGACCATATACGACATACATTGTCTTTACATGATGTTATCAACATGTTTGCAACTGATCCTCTGATAAACACAAAAGTAAAAATACATTTTTCCAACAGTTCAAAGTCAGGAAGAACAGTTACATTTTGTAACAATACCCAATGTCAAAAATCAAATAAGCTCATTATAGTGAACCAGTTTACTATTTGGACAATAAGTATCCAAATGTAAGCTTCCAAAGACAGACGTTGGACAAATTGTGGACAAAAGTTCATCTTGAACAGAAAAAAGGGGCATAAAAGTTGTAAAAATGCAAGAAAAGTTGCAGAATGTGGCGAGATGAACTTCAGGTTTCACTATTTTAGTCAGATTAATTTGCAAGTTACCTACCTTGGCATATATTTGCTTGTTTTTCTCCATGACAATCCATTAACTGCTCTTGGATGTGCTATGTATACGAAGGAAAAATTCAATTTTTCTGATTTTGGACTAACAACACTGTCAGCATGTGATAACGGCAACTGAACTGAAAAAAAAGAACAACCATCATTGTTTTTAGCATAAAGTTATCATGCCAACACTTAATATTTAGTTTGCTGCTTTTAGTTTAGCTTAAACCTATTTATTTTAGCTTGATCCTGATAAAAGTGCTTATTTGAACCAATTTCTAGTCTGTTTTCTGGAATTACCAAGCATTGGTGTAAATGTGTAAGCAGTCAGGTAGCTTAGTCAGTAGAGCTACTGAACAGTGTACTGATGGTCTTGGTTTGAGTCCCAGTCAAGATGCATATTTTCTCTCCCTTTGATATACATGTATGACTTACAATTTTTGGTTTAAAAATTTTCATATTTTTCTTTTTTAAACAGTTCAGACTTTTCCTTTTTGGAATCTACGTGCAGGACATGTTCTTCAATGAAACTTTAAAATGTCTATCCGAGGGCCCAAAGAATTTCTCTAACACTCTGTTACATTTCATACTGTGTTAAAGTGTACACAGGCTGGGCTCTATATTAATATCATAGATCAGCCATTATAACCCCACCACTCAGAATCTCTAAACTTACTTTTCCTATCTTCATACCATATTTTGACCATTCTATCGTGCTGAAAAAAAGATAAATCAAATTTAAACTGATTACATTTTGAAAATGCCCTTTATACTAAACAAATTGTTGACTTAATTTTTATTTTTTTATATTTAAATCAAGATTAGTTATTTTTTAAACAGAATTAACATCAAATTTTGTTTATGTAAAACTTTTCATATATGTTTATTTCAAATCAACAACCCAATAATAAGTAAACAAAGTAAACAAAAACATGTTTTCTGTCACATGCATCGTGTGAGTTCAACAAAACATTGAACCATTGATAATATTCAAGTAATCAATCCTACTTTTTCTTATTTGCAATAAATAGATACCAGAATAGTTAAATGTTAGACCACCCAGGTCTCCTGAAGTCACGTACCATGTGTCTTATTTCCTGTACACTGACTCAGATAACTGAAGGTCAACTAACCTTGACCTTTTTTAGCCAAGAGATCACTGTCTTATTTCTTTTAAATGGATAATCAAAGAAAGGTTTTGATTTCTTTATAAAGTGTTTTACATGATAATTGTTAATGCATAATGTGGTCCGTAGAAGCAAATACAAAATCTTGTGTTCCAACTTACAACATAATTACATGTTACATGTATAATGTATTACTTTATCTGTCTGAAAAGTTCATTGTGTCCTGTTTTCTGTTTATCAAAAGGAGATGTTTGTTAACATAGGGAAACCAGTTAATGACAGATAAGGGAATGACAGGTCCTGGGAAAACTGCTTTTGACAGAAAGGGAAAACTCCTATTGAAAGTTTGTGAGATATACAATTGACAAATAGGGAAATCTCATGTTGACAGACACATAAAATCTCAAATTGTCAGATAGGGAAATTATCCTACAGACTGCAAAACCTCCTTCTGACAATAATCTCCTATTGTCAGATTGGGAAATAACCTATTGTCAGATTTCCTGACCGGTTAGAAAATCTCCTTTAACAGACTTTTAACAAAAAAGTAAGTATATGTTAATAGCAAAATCTATCTCAAAAATGTATTCATCCATTATGTAAGTAATCAAAATGAGAAAGAAATGAAGTACAACACTTCAACACCAGTGCAGGTTGAGTAATTTAATAATCTACCCGTTTCGGTTCTTAACGATTATAAGTAGATAAATCAATATTTATCATTACCGTTCCAACTGAAGCAAAAAGTAGTCCGTCTGGTGAAAACTCTAAATGATGAACTCTGGTAGCTGGCCTGAAAATTGAACAAGCAGTGTAATAAGTTGTGATATTTTTTTCTTCATCAATTGGACAAAAAAGTTTTTAAATTATTTACACATGCTATTTCCATACAAAGTCTTGCTACTTTCTTTAAGAACTTTATAAATACAAGTTTTATCTTACTATTAAAGCAGCACACACCTAGATTTGAGTAATTTTCAGAACATTTTAAAACTTGTTTTTGCTATTTAAAAATTATCATGTGATTTTACAGGCTTAAAACATGTTTATACTCAAAAGATTTCTGTTACAGTATAAGTAACAGGGTAGAAATATGGGAAAATTGCAACATTTCTGTAACACAAGAAGCTAAAAACTCATTATCATTCATATCTATTAAAGACAAATAGTAACATCCTATCTCTTCACAGAAGATAATTATAATCATAACCACTTAAAACACATCTCTTTATTTTAGCCAGGAAGTTCTGTTTGTTTGTTTTGGGTTTTACATCACATTGACACAGTATAGGTCATATCGCGGTGGATATCGCTTTACTGGTGGAGGAAGACCTCATGTGCCCTTCCGTGCATTATTTCAGGCACGAACGGGCACCTGAGTAGAACAACCGACGTTCCGTAAGCTAGCTGGATAGCTTCCTCACATGAAAGAATCCAAAGTCCCTGGTGGGATTCGAACCCACAGCGATGAGGGTCAAGTGGTTTGAAGTCAACAACCTTAACCACTCGGCCACGGACGCCCCTAGCCAGCAAGTAATTAAAGGAAGCTTTTCATTAATTTCAAATTCAGTATTGTTTGGTTTTTAACACATTTTTTGTCATATCTCAACGGCCTGTCTACCTAACAAGTGGCTTTCATGGACAACTAACCAGTAACTACAGATTTCTCTGCAAGTGACCGTCTACTAAATCCCACAAGGTTCCTCAATCAGTGATCAAAGTCAGTAACATCGTTATCACAAGACAGATACTAAACATTACATGATTCAGTGGCCAAAATTACTAACTTGCATTTCCAGATATTTTCCCACACAGTTTCAACCTCATGTTCAGGCTGAACAGTTTCATCCTGTCCATGGCCGTGCCCCAGCTCGCCATGCCCCAGTGAAAATTTGACACTCTTCTTTTGGTGAACATCCTCATGTACATCTTGCGATACTGACCATAGCTGTATAACTTCACCACCTGTCAGGAGTTTACTGCCTGTTATAAAAAAAAATAATTAGCCAACCTCAGCTGACTGTCCAGTTTGCTCATGTGGTAGATTGGTATTATGACACTGATTTCACTTCTCACTTCCCCTTGAAGTGTGCATGTCACTGAGAAGGCACAGGACATCAGCAGATGGTCTGAAGATATCGGGATGGCAAAATATAAACAAAGACAAGAAATTGTGTTTAAATTTTGCAAACAGTTGTCCTTTAAAGCATATAGCTGGCCTATGCTGTCAATTTTTTAATTCTTTTTAGTGCCCATTAGGAAAGTACATGTAATACAATTATACACACTTATTTAGAAAATTAATATTGGTGTATGACTGAAATAATACATTACTACAAAGCTTACCTTCAAGGTTCCAGGCCAGACACTGAACAACACAGTCTGCCTCAAATACAGCTGTCTGATACCAGTGGTAATCAAGTTTCTACAAACAAAAACCATCAGCTTCATTCCAATTACACATCAAAATGACAAATGCTATGACCAGTTTTGCAAGCTGCAAACTAAGTCTCAAACTTGTTAAACCAATGTTGAAATTTGACCACAGGTATAAATCAGTTTATAAATATGTTCAGTGTTCAATCTAGAGCGCGCCATTGCCCCCTAAAATGACTGCCGGCACAAAACAAATTTAACTGTGGGCCAGACGGGCGCACTCGCTTAGAGAATACACTTACGATATTTAAGGTTCTTTCTGTTTATTTTTACGCTTAACGCTTATTATTCACGCACCTGTTGACTGTGCTAGTATTGGTTTTTTCAAGCGTGGTAAATATTCTCCTGCGCATCGTAAACCAGTCGGTTGCTATAGCTTTACATCAGCAGCTCAGTTCTAAATTTATTGCACACGATAAAAAGAATATCCGACTTCTTTTACCGAATTCAAATGCAAAAATATCGAAGTCGCCTGATAAAGAGCCGACGAAAAATGTTGATAGTGGTCATATACATCCCAGTCCGACCCCGGCCCTTCTGAATCGTCTAAAAGGCGTGAATTTCAAGCAAAATGGCTCAAAGATGACCGATTTAAAAATTGGCTTGAGATGACGATAAAAAATATGTTCAATGTTTGTTATAACATTCACTTATTCATAGTTTACACAGTTTATTATTATGTAAAGTTTGAACTGTTAAGATTTTATGCAGATTATGTAGAGTGAATTTGAATTGACTGTTTAAAGCATACCTGATATTATACATGTACAGTACAGTATGAGTAATTAAAAGAGTTGTCACTGTTATTTTATATTTTTACTTAATGTATATCTGACTGTTACGTAAACAATCCATCTAGAAAGTTAAAAGGTAATACTTTATTTGAATTAGATGGTGATTTTAAGTATGGGCCCCCAATTTTCTCAAATGACCCCCCTTTTAAAGTTTATGGGCCCAAAGGGCCCCCTTGGAATTCATTCTAGATTGAACACTGTATGTTTAATAGCTCTAATCCAAAATAGTTACTAACATCACAGATTATTGTTAAAACTCTTTATTTCATCATGACATTGATCCTTGACTCATGCAGGTCATAGGTTTTAAGTATGTATTACCCCCTACATATTTATCAGCTCTAGAGCTATTAATTCAAATAATTACCATAGATGTAGATATCTAATATAGTAGTAATAGTATGTTGTAAAAGGGATAATAAGTGCATTTTACTTACATGAGTGCTATCATGGTGTAGAAGGGGTGCTGGTTCAAATATGTATACTTTCTGTAAATATGATGCTACAATCTGAAACAAAGAAAAAACACTGTAAGATCCAATATAATTTATAAATATCATTTACAAATGAAATATCCTTTATAAATATTCTGTAGAAACACCCATTTATATGGTATATATAGTATAGCGTACACTGACACTCATTGGGACTTGTTTAATGTTAGTTATTTTTGCATTAAGCTCCATAAGAAATATCACAATTGGAGTGACAGTCTTAAAGTTTGCAGACATTACTTTATCAAGCATAGCCTTTTAAAAGTGGGATATATATTAATAATTTCTATTTTGGCAAACTGACATAGATACACACACATACATATGATGCTGAACATGTAGCATACCTTTCCTGAATCTGTGGATGCATCAATACAGCTGACCTTCACATTACCATGGGTTACCCCTGGAATTATTTGTACCCTTTGAAGATCACTTGCTAAAATCACAATGTCACATCCAGCCGCATACACCTGATGTATCAATAAAAAAATTGATATTGAAGTATAATACAATCATTAAAAAGTACTTGAAATTTATCAAGGCAGTTTGTCTCAGTGGTAAGTAACTCAGGTGTACCATGTAATAAAGTTAGTTTTATTTGTAAATATTGCCTGTCCTTTTAATGATCTCCTGAAACATATTGCATCATACTCTGTATTGTGATATAAACTCAAAAATCAAGGTTCTCAGTGATGTTTATTTCAGCTGATTACTGCTGCTAGACTAGTATATTTCAAAGGCATGATTCTAACAAGAGCTGTCACAGAAATGCATTTGTCGACACTGATTTCCATGAACAGACTCTATCAAACCAAGCATGTTACATTAACATATAGGCCATGATGGACAAACTTAAAATGTAAGGTGTCCCTTTTCCCATGCAGTACAAGTTTTGTCATGTCAGTGTAAATGATCATGTTACTAAGACAGTCACATCATCTCATTGCACTTAACAAGAAAGTGTCAAGGTCATTCAAGACCATAAGATATAAAAAAGCAAATTAAATATGTTAATTTCATTAATAAATAGAGGATATTGAATGAGTGTAAGTTCAATACTGAATTTATTGCACGAGTTAAATCAAATTATATTATGCGAGCCTCTGGTAATGAACTTACATGAATTATCAAATACCCAAAATAAAGATCGTTTAAAGTGAAATAAGAGTCATTTTTCATTGACGCGCCTATAGTATAACGCTAATATTTAGCGCGTCTTTACACTATGTTTGTATAACGCTAATGACGTCACGTAAAAATATATGCACGGCCGTGCAATACCATATTTAAAGAGTCGCAAAATCGGCACGGTGCGTGATAAAAAAGAGTTTGTTAAAAAGTATATGGCAATCTCCTGGATTAAAACCCTATGTATATTTCAGAAGAAAAAATGTATATAAATTAATATTTTTTATAATGCACAAAAGAAAATGGAATGAAACTTATACATATTTCTGGATAAGTCTATTCCAGGATATAGCCAATTTTACACTGTGCAATTAAATTTGTAAATTTGTTAAGAAATGTTTTGCATACTTCATTACTTGAACAATATAAAGGCTATTTATTACTGCTTAATACATTGTATATTTTGTTATAGCGAGCTCGAAGAGCTGACCCAAAGGGCCTGCTTGCAAAGCCAGCTTTAAAGTTTAAGATAACGTGAGAACCTTCTAGATAGTGATGGTTTTGAAAACTTTTGTTGGAAGTACTGAATTGACACATCACAACTTTTCAAATTACTAGATAACAAGTAATATGCCTTTTTTTCACAAATTTACGACATATCGCGCTTTTTTCACAAAATGAACAGGACCAGGCCCCTTCACAATTTGACAAAAAATGCCCTGCGAAGAAATTTAGCGTCCCAAAATGTTACATTTATCTGGTATCTTTTTTGTTTATGAAGACTCTTAAAAAAAGTAGATTTTGATGTAGCAAACATAAAAATAGCAAAAATTTTCGAAAGTGGGACGGGGGTCCTACCCACCCCCATTTTCACAAAAACTTGCCCCTGTGTCTGGCAAAAGTCATGGGGAAAGGCATGTATTAGTAAATCGAGCTCGCTTTGAGGCTTTGCCTTTTTCATATTAAGTTTTTTGTAACCTTTATTAAACTTTAAAGGTAAGTAAATTCATACAGACATATTTTCTTTATTTTGGCCAGCAAGAAATTAAAATGTCATATTTATTGTTTTGATGTAGAAGATCTATCAAAAACCAATGGAATATGAAAAAAACTTTTACATATCTTGTTACACCCGAAATTAAAAGTGATTATCATTCAAATCACGTAAGTCTTCGCTTAAATGGGATGTTGAAACATCAGCTTCACTCAAACTGAAACTGATCACAAGATCTGTCAGATATCTTACAGTGAAATGAATGCCTTCAACACTTCCAACTGCATGACATTTTTCGCCAATATTACAGGCACCAGTCAAAACTTGATGCCTATTCATTGTATAAGATCAGCGAAATCTAATTAATGCATTAATATTGATTATCTGGTAAAAAATAGTTGAAATGTCATTTGACGTCTTCCATCTTGGATTTGTTACGAGATCCCGCTGATTCCCGCGAGATTGGACGGTGTCTTGTTAAAAGTAATTACACGTGTGAAAATGAATAAAAGTTAATACTGCTATTGAGTTTCGCTCAGTCTATTTGGTGACGTTCAACGCATGACGCATCTGGAGTCCCACTTCATCCCTAAAATTTGAAAATACTTCACCTCCCAAAATCAGTGAGACCCTTCGCCCCCACCCCTTATTATTTATAGAGTATTTTCTTCAATAAAAAATAAACCATTTTTATCACATATATAGTACTATGTTTAGTTTATGATATCAAGGGTATATACTTGCATATTTACTGCTACTGCTAGTAAAAGCAACTCATGTCAGTGCTACTGATTTAAATTATCAAAAACACTTCGTTATATGAAATCTAACTACCGCTGGAAATTGATCCGATAGCGTTCTTATCAGGTGCGCTGCATCTTAATAGTATCTCCAGTCAATGAACAATAGTTTCATAGCAATGAAATGGGCCGTATTTGTGTAATATAATAATACCAACCAAACCTACCTGTAACGAGCGGTAAATTTCAGCTATCTGCCATCACTGCAGTGATCTGCCATCACTGGCGCCAGTAATACGGTGTGATACATACCCGTACATAGCGTAAAAGCGCGCTAAATTATGGCGCGTAAATAAAATCAAAGGGATGCAAGCTCTGTGGTATTTTCCGAGCTTTGCAATCTAAATCGTATTGTATGTATTTTCTGTATAAGTTTATTTTGATATACTATAATACATCTTTCAGGGCACCGAGTTGCAGCGACTGCGTTTAGATTTTTTTGCTATAACAGTTTGAGTTTGATAAGAAATTTTGCATGACCAGAGTTTCTTATTTGCATTATGAAATCACTTATTTTCAAATTAAATTCGATCGGCATATCTGGTCGTCTTTCTTCTTGGTTTTCTTCTTAACTCAAGAACAGAAGACAGAGAGTCGTTCTCCCCGGTTGTAAATCATCTTTTAGTTATATAAACGCTGGTGTGCCGCAAGGGTCTATTCTTGGGCCACTGTTGTTTCTTGTTTATATTAATGATATTGTTATCGATATTAATGCAAATATAAGACTTTTCGCTGACGATACAAATCTTTTTATTGTTGTAGAAGACCCTATCACTGCTTCCACTATCCTAAACACAGATTTGCAAAAGATAACTTCTTGGGCCAAAAGGTGGTTGGTAAAATTCAATCCCCTAAAAACAGAATCACTATTAATATCGCGTAAAACAAACAGACTTATAAATCATCCTCCTATTATAATGCAAAACACACAAATAAAAGAAGTACGTAATCACAAACACTTAGGTATAACTTTTACTCATGATTTACGTTGGTCAACACATATTGAATACATTAAAAATAAAGCTTGGAAAAGAATAAATGTCATGAAAAAACTAAAATTTCAACTCGACAGGAACTCACTACAAATCATATACCTATCATTTATTAGACCGATTTTAGAATATGGAGATGTATTATTTGAGAATTGCAATCAAAATGATAAAAAAAGAGCTCGAACAAATTCACCAAGAAGCAGCTAGAATAATTACCGGAACAACTAAACTTGTGTCTCTTGATAAACTCATGAAAGAAGTTGGGTGGGAATCCTTGGAAAAAAGGCGTTACAAACATAAACTGATTCTTTTCTTTAAAATGAAAAATAGTCTACCCCCTCAATACCTCTCTGACCTTGTCCCTTCGTCTGTTGGTAGTGAGCATCGGTACCCACTCCGGAACTCAAACGACACACAGAATATTCACACAAATACAGATTATTACTATAAATCATTCTTGCCTTCTGTTATCAGAGATTTTAATTCTCTTCCACCTCAAACGCAAACTGCCTCAACCATAGCTTCTTTTAAGCGCCTTCTTAATAATGATTTGCCAAGTGTGCCTGCTCATTTTCTTTCTGGTGATCGCAAACTTCAAATTTTTCACACAAGATTACGCACTCACTGCAGTTCGCTTTCTGCCGATCTATTTGAAAAGAATATTATCGAATCTCCATTCTGCGAATGTGGTGCGAGAGAAAATGCTTATCACTATTTCTTGGAATGCCCTAAATATACTAACCTTCGACCAGAATTAATAACGGCTATTTCCCAATTTTGTAATCCTTCTTTAAATGTCATTCTTACTGGAAACACTTCTTTATCTTACGAGTCTAATGTATCTATCTTTACAGCTGTTCAAAAATACATCCGAGAAACGAAGCGCTTTTAGCGCGTACCCCAAGTCTTACTTACACTTGTTACATCTAAACATACATAGTTACTATATAATGCATCTTTGTTTACTCCTACTGCTTTATTATTGTTCATCCACCTCTCCTTTTCTTTCTCAATTTTTTTTGTCAATATTAGCTGGTAGTTTTGTTTTTTTCGTAATTGCATAATTGTACTTTAAAACTATCAATTAAGATTCTTATTACATTCTTTTGTCTCCGTTAATAAACAGTTGTCTTTTCGATTGCACATTCCTAGGTGAAAATTAAACGGCGACTTCTAACTAAATTAATCTCTGTCATATAATAATTTATTTTTTCACCTCCATTTTGTTTCAATTTTCTTTTGCTTTTTTTTCTCATGACCATTTGGTTTAGTATTTATTAATTGCAAAATACATATTTTTTGAAAATGTCTTTGATATATTTTCAACTAAATGAATTTTGTGCATGATAATGCCATGAACTGTATATAAATTATGTAAATTGTTGAAACTGGGACAGGACACTCATAAGCTTTCATAGCTTTCTGCCCAATCCCAAATGTATTTGTAAATATTGTTCATCATAATGTAAATATATCGAATAAAATATGTTTAAACCAATCATTTATGTACATTTTTTTAATGACAGCAACACTTTATCCTTGCATATCGTGGCTTATCCCTTAAGAAAGAATGTTCAAATCGCTAAAAAAAACACTTAAAAAAATCTGAAAAAATGTTTGCTTTAATGGGACTCCACTGAAGTTTTTTGACATAATGGGACTGAAAATATTTTTTTCCAGATAAATGGACCATTTGAAGTAGGTTTAGACCACTAATCTTTGTGCAAAATTTCAGATCATTCGCGCACTTCGTTTTTCCGGAATATTATTCAAATTGTAAAAAATTACACAAAATGAAAGACATTTAAACGCTTTTTACTCAAAACGGGCTAAGAAAAACAGGCTAAGAAAAACATAAAAATAGGATTTTCAATTTATTTCAAAGTATATTTCTTAACTATCTTTGCATATATTTCTGTTTAAACTGCCCCAGCTCATGTATGTAAGAAATTCAAATGTTATGTTTTTAGGCTTTTAAACCTCAGTGAAGTTCCTTTAATTGGGAATTGAACACCAGTCCTCTCACTTCCTACACGAGCGTGTTACTATGGTGGCCGATAGCGTCCATTTTAATGCCGCGATAAATTTTACCATCAGTTTATAAAATGTTGCGGGCAACTTTTTAATCCGCAAGATTTTATGTCGAAATTGTATAAAATGTCGCGGCTTATAGAAACTCTCTAGTATTTCTGTCACATTTCTGTCAAAAAAGTCGAGTTTTACAAAGGAAACCGCGACATTTTCTGTCTACACAGTAGACTAAGCCACGCAAACATACACCTTCTTTAGGTAGCCGATTGCGGCCATTATAATCCGCGAAATTTTTTTATGATGCATACCTTGTAAAAAGTCGAGTTTAAGCATTCTGCCTCGACTTTTTGTGCCGGGAAATGTCTCTGCGCAAAATGTCGCGGCTTAGAAGTCGCGGATTTCTTTTTATAGAAAAGTCGTTGTTGAGGAACAAAAAGTAGCGGCCTATGATTTTCCCCATCGACTTTTTGTAGAATTTCTACAACACTTGCAAAAAATGTAGCGGATTTCTTTCTGTTCCTTGACTTTTTATAGACAAACGAGGGATAAAATGTAGAGTCAAACCATGGACGCTACCGGCCACCGAAGTCAAAATGTTCCTTGCTGCTATCAACAACTGTTATAAAATATCGAGGTTTATATGTTCCACGCGACATTTTGTACGATTTCGGCAGAAAATCTCGCGGATTTTTGTAAGTTGCCCGCGACATTTTAAGAAAAAAAGATAAAATTTCCCGCGGGTTTGAAATGGCCGCCACCGGCCACCATTATGTTACCCCCGGACCACAGCTCGGGGAAGTTAGAAGAATATATTTGAAGTAAACCAAATGATTCTAAAATTAGAATTTCCATTAGGGTTTGTAATCCTTATTAATTTTGAGATATTTTGTTCACGGTAATCCTGTTGTTTAACACTGATGTAAATAATTTAGCAAAAATCTTCTCGCCCAAACAGTCCAACATGTATATAATATATCACTACTCGACAGTCAGATTTATTTGTGTAATACGCGCTGAAGTGTGGTAAGTAAACGACATCGCTAAAAACAGCGCTTTGTTAACGTGGATTAAATTATCGGGTGCTTAACTTATAAGACTATTAATTATGGTAGAAATTGATTATCAATCGGCGACTGCCCTAAATTTGTCACTGTCAACACCCTTACTTTATTTTTCAGAAAGTCTAAATAACAAATGTTCATTTAGGCGGCGTTTAATTCCGATCACAATAATCCGAAGCTTAACGGAAATAGGTGAGCAATTTTCCTTGATTAAAATGATATTCATCCGCGTAATTTGTGATTGTCCATTTATTGTCAATTCTATAAGTCAAAGTTCCTTTAAACTTTGAATGCATTGTAATTCGCTGGGTACTTGTAACAAATAAAAATATTTCTTTCTTTTACATCGCTAGTTTTAAGCTGTTTTGAGAACTACTTTTTGTTGTTAGGATTGTCGGGAAGCGCTGTTCCAGACAATGAATGTTAGCATTGTATTTCCTGATCTGCGATCAGAAAATACAAAAATGATTGTTTCAACTTGTTCTTGTTCAGGTTATATGTGATATATATATATAATGATATTATATTCGTGTATGTCCAATGCTAAATTTATTCAACTTGTTCAATAAATTCAGTAT